AGACTTACTAAGTACGGCTAAAAGCGTGCTTATTATAACATTACCTTACCTTTAAATTTACTACCTTTGTTATATATTTGCTTATAGTTAGCTTATATTCTAAACAGCCTTTATTACTATATTCTAATCTATGTTAACTGCCTTTGTTACTACTTTTATAATAATAGTAACAGTTACTACTTCTATAACAATAGTAACAGAACCACTACTCTAATCTACTACTACCTTTATAGTAACAACAGAACTATTACTCTAATCTATTATACATCTATCCTGCTTATCCCTCTAATCTACAGATCTATCCTACTTATCCCTTTAATCTATTACACTTCTGTCCCGCTTATTCTAAGTACAAGCATTACTCTAATCTACCTTAACAGCTATATTCTGATCTAGTATAGAACAAGATGTCTAACGTAAAGAAGTATAATAAGGACTATAATAGAGCTAATAACACGCTGTTCTAGTTCTAAGCGATACTATAAGACAAGTTCGGATCCTACTATTAAGTAGTATAGAAAGATACTTAACCGGCCTATAAACAAGTAGTACAAGACATAAAGGATGTACTACTGGCTAAGAAACGTAAGGACGACGTATAACGTAAAGATAAGGACAGTACCCTTACTAATGTTCCTAACGTTATAGTAAACTACTAGACTACTAGAGTAGATATAGGCTTTTAGCTAATTATAAGACAAAAGGTAAGGGATAAAGTACGTAAACTATAAGGTACTAAGTATATCTAGCCCTAGAAACATAGAATAGACTATAATAAAGACCCGGACTACCCGCGCGCCTAGGCTCTTTATAACCTAGTAAAACTACTAATACTATACTCTTACTAGTATTATAATAACAAAAGTACTAATAGATTTCTAGCTAACGTAATACTTATAAGTAGAGTAATAGTAGTAGTACTAAATACAAGTATATTAGTATAAGAGAGGTTAAAGCTCTAGCTAGGAAATTTTGCTTTAAATAGTTAAGTATATACTAAGATAAAGTAGTATAGTTAGCTTATATTAACGCTAACAAGAAAAGTTATTACGCTAATAGCTAATAACTCTAAAATTCCCTTAATAAGTAATATACTAGAAAGAAGAGTAGAAAAGGTAGTACTATTCTTTTAGACAAAGCTAATTAAAGTAGTAGAGCTATTACTAGATTACTATAATAAGGAGGACTACTATATAATACTACTTCTAGAAGTAGACAAAGAAGTAGCTATAGACGTAGCTACTATAGTATCTATACTAGCCTAACAACGATTATACTTAGTAACGATATCTACCTCTAGATTACGTAAGATACGCGTAGTAAAAGCTAACTAGACTAAGACTACTCTTATACTATTAACGTTAAAATACGCTTACGCTCTAGCTTTTATAAAAGTCTTTAGAGTCGTAGCTATACGTACTAAACAAGAGTTAGATAGGGCTATTACTAAGAGTAACAAGGCTATAACGACTATTAACGAATTATACGTAAAGCTAGAAGACCTTAAGATAAATGTAAAGGTAAAAGACATTAAGGCTTAGATTTAGAAGATACGCTAAGACCTAAAGGATTATAAAGGCCGTGTAACTAGTAATAACGTTATTTACGAACTAAAGAGATATAAAGCGTAGTCTTACTTTAAGCTACCTAATTTGTTTCTTTGTTTTAAATAAGACTAGATAAAAAAGGATTTTGTAAAACCTAGCTAATTCGTTAATACTACCTTATTTTCCGGAATTAGAATGTATAACCTATATAGTAAAGTTAACATAATCTATAAGTATATACGTACTTATAGATTAGTAGTAGCGTAAGAGCGTAACTGTTACTATAAGGATAGTAAAGTCGTTAGAGGAAGTATATAAGAATATAAGGCTATAAAGGATAAGGATAAGTACTTAGTATATAAGACAGACAGTTTTAAGTTATAATAGTCTAAATAGTCTATAAAGACTTTAAACTACGTAACTAAGACTACTTTAACTAAGCTACATTTTTACTTTTACTTACGTATTACTTATTTTAACTACCCTTTTAATTATATTTACTTTGTCTATACCCTTTTACTTACTTTTATACGGTTTTATTTACTTTTTGTATAGTAAGGACACTACCTTTTTCTTTAGTTAGTAAGAGTTGTTATAGTAGAGTAAGTAACGCTATATATAGCGTACAGGACATAGTACATAACGTACAAAAAGGAAGGAGCGTAGCGTGTACAGCCTATAAATAGCCTATATCTTAAGAAACAGGACAATTATAGAATTTAATATACATAAAACGCGCTATAAGTAGCGATTCCACGTAATAACCGTGACACTATCTATAACCGTTATATACTATCTTGTATCTAATTAATAGACCTTTAAGCCTAGCTACTATACTACTTAAGAAGGTATTAGCTTTACTACTACTCTTTTATTAACTAGAGCCTATACAAACTTCTAGCTATCTATATAAGTATTTATATAAAGGTACTACGTTTCTAGTATATTAACTAGCCTATTGTCTATAACCTAGGGTAGAGGTCTATTTATGACTACTATTACATTAAGATTCTTACGCTAACTACGTCTACTTAGTACTTTAGCTTAGAGGTATTATACTAATTAGGCTTAGATCTATAGTAACTAGTCGAGTAGTTAGCTAAATTTAAGAGTAATATTAGTATTATAAAGAAACTCTCTAATATTAAATCTTATAAGTACTACCTTATCTAATAGCTTAATTAGGATAGATTTCTTTAGGCCTAGCTTAGTATAGTTAGGTTATAGGAATAAAGAAAGCGGTATAGCTAGTAGTTAAGGAGTATACTAACACTCTTATAGCTAGTAATCTAGTATAGTTTACGACTTATTAGCCTTAATATCTTCTAGATCTTTAACTCTTAATGTTAGATTAATTTCTTAGGATACGTATAGCTAAACGTAAGGTCTAGTCTATAAGAGACCTACTATAGTTAGTGTTTATAACGTTAGTAGAGGAGTCTGTCTATCCTCTTACCCCTTACCCTTATTTTCTCTTAGTTAAGTATATAGCTAAGTTTAATTAGAAGTATACTAGTTATTTATAGAATAGATTACTAGTATAGTAGGTATTAATAGTATACTAGAAAGTAGCGCTTAGGCGGCTTTTAGTACTATATTAGTACTATAGCCGTATATTAGTCGCTTGTAATAAAGTGTTATAGCTATAGTAAGGAATTTCTTTAACGACCTTTTAGCTACTAGCTTTAATAATTCTAATACTATAGGCTAAGTAGGCTATTAAGCTAGATAGTTAAATTAATAAGACGTCTAATTCTACGTAACCTCTTATAGTTCCTTTATAACTATGTATATAGCTGTCTACTATCTTATAAGTAGTACTATATATCTTGTTCTCTAAGTTCTTATTATATTAACCTTCTGCCTGTTCTTATAATACTAGGATTCTATAACCCTAGTCTATAGACACGTTAATACTATATGACCTTAACCTAAATAGTTATAACAGGTACTTATATAGAAAGTTAATCTTTACTACTAAAATAGTATAGTTAATAAAAAAGGATTAAGAGGATAGTATAAGGGTAGTAGAGCTATAGTCTTTAATAGTTTAGGCTTTTCTAGACTCTTCTTTAATAATTAATATAGCTTAAAGTTAATTTGATTCTAAGAGACTATAGTTTCTTTAACAGGCTCTTCTTTATTAATTTCTAAGGGATTCGGCTTCTTAATTAGCCTTATAGCTATAATAAACACTAAACATATATCCTTAAATTTAGTATCCTTAACTAGCTACCTATCCTTATTAATCTTCTTTACCTAGAAAAGATAGCTTTATATATAGTACTAAAGTTCTACATTCTTTAGCCTACCTAATGTTTGTCTAGTAACCTTTAATACTAATAATACTAGGTATTTTTTACTTAATTTTTTAATTTGTTATAAATACTATACTTTAGTCTCTTTATTATCTTACTTAAGGTTATAGATCTGTTACTATAGTAAGAATTATTAGTTAAAGTCTACTTCTTTATCTACTATAAATTTTGTCTTAAACTTCTTCTTTAATACTTTCTAGTCTGTCCTTATAGTCTTAGGTTAACCCTTATACTATACTACTACCTAACTAGTTAGCCTATATCTAAAGACTACTTTTATCCTTCTAGTCCTCTTCTCTCCCTTATATAGGTCTATATAGTATTTAATCACCTTAATATATTCGCTTATATCTTCTCTCTTTATTCCTCTAAAGGTTAGTTAAGGGATCAACATTATAATAGTTTAATACTTAGCTAGTACTATAATAAGGGTTACTAATAGTAAAGTAGTTAATATCCTTATTAATAGCTTTACTACTTTTATAACTAAATAGTCGATCTCTTTCTCTATTAGTCTTAATTAGCTTAATTCTAATACTTTTACAATACTTGTTAATAATCCCTTTTTCTTTAGAAGAAGAGATCTTAGAAAATTTAAAGTAGGTTTAAATAGATTAGACATTAATAACACTTAAAAGGTAAGAAGAAAAAGAGACTAAATAATAAGAGAAATGTAATAAGTAATCTACGATCACTAATGTATAGGAAAGTACGACTGTACTACTAGTTGATCCTTAAAAATTACCTTAATTCTTGACACTAGTTCTTTATAAACTAAACCCTTCTTCCTATACTTGAATACACTAATAAAACTAACTTTAATAAGATAAACCGATTTTTACTAATCTTCCTTAGGTCGCTATGTAATAGGGTAGGAGTCCTTGCTTATTAGTGGGTTGTATTTCTAAGAATAAAAGTGCTACTACTATAAGGGATATATAGCTAAGCGAACCCCATCAAATAGTAGTAATATCATGTGACCATTTCCTATCGCTACAGTACCTAGGTAGAAATCAGGTAAAATTCAGGTCACATGATACCCTCGGTTAAGGGGTCCCACTTCTGTATATATAGCCTCTCTAGACCTTACCTACCTACTTTACTCTTCAATCGAGTCCGATTCCCCCGTTCGACATCAATACCTTGTCCTCTGGGACCTGGCCCATTCCTCATCGTCGTGCCCATGCGTTTTAAGCACATACTCCTCAAACTCGTTCGTGACATCAATGGCCTGATCAAAATGGCTATACGCAAGCTTCTCCTTCCGATATTTTGCAAGCTGCCTCGCTGTGCTGACCGAATTCCTGATCTGTCTTCCATTGAGCTTGTGCCTAGCCAATATATCAAGCTTATCCTTCAGTTCTTCATAATTAACGCTATCTCCTTCATCTTTGAGCACGTTCACGAAGTTCCGCCAGATCTCCCAACGTCCGTTCTCGTCTAGTGAGGGGTAGTGCATTGCTAGCTGCACGCGCGACTTGAACGCTTCATCGAAAGTTCCCACTCGATTAGATGTTAGAATGAGGATGCCATCGTAGTATTCCAGCACACGGAGGAAGACAGATACTAGTGCGTTACGCTGCAAGTCCATTTGTGAGCGTTCTTCAAGGAAGACGTCTGCTTCGTCCAGGAGAACGACACAGCCCCAGATGGTGCCAATGTGCAAGACGGAATTGAGGTACTTCTCAACGCTTTCAGCGTCGGTTCCCATGTCACCACATGTCACTCGATAGAGGGGCCGCTCGGCGAGTTCTGCCACGCTCTCTGCCGTGAGGGTTTTTCCCGTGCCTGGTCCACCGTGCAGTAAGATGATAAGCCCTCTCCCTTTTCCTTCGATGATATCGGTTGTGGAGGAGCTGCTGCTAGCCATATGAACAGTGACCAGAGCTTTTATAAGCTCTTTCTTTTGTGGCTTGAGGACGAGATGGCGTTCAAAGGCATCTTTGTTCCATTGGACAGGGCGAATGTGCTCAACCGAAAGCTCCTCTATTCGATGTCAGTATGGTCCGGCATGGCTCATTGAAATTGCAACAGGAAACTCGCGCCTGCTAATTTTACACGTACTCCACTTCTTATCATGCATTCCGAAGCCACGTATAGTTTCTGGGAGAAGCAGGAGAAACGGGTCTTCGGGAGGGTTATTGGAGTCCATAACTTCTTGCCCGAGGTCATCCTCGTCAGCAGACGGGTCGCGATCGCTGGAATGCAACTCTCGGTATGTGGCATCATCTACCATATACCTTGGAACTATCTGTCTTATTTGTGAACTTTCTAATTCTCTCAATTACGTTGGAGTTTGTGTTCATACTTACAGGTTGGACCTCGAGCCTTGGATTGGGATAATCATAGCCCACAAAAGCTCTCTTCCGACACTTCCAGAATTGTTCACCACGCTTTCTTAACCGCTCCTCCAGCCCGGAAGTATCATACTGCAGAGGGTATATATCCAATTTCGTGATGGGTATGCGGTCGTCCCCTGGCGGCCAATACACGTCAAGATCAATTTTTTCCTTTCTGAAGCCTTCGTCAAAAGTCCAAGATGTGGTCTTTAGTTCGAGAGAAGTTGAATTCGGAATAAGAGTGCACGTCTCGATTTGATAACCCCTTGGCTGAGAATCTACCATTTCAACTACCACGTCTCCAGGGCGGAAAAGCTTTGAAAGGTGAGTTTCTTCAATCATTCCATTTTTCAATACGGCGTCTGCAGCTGACCATTCCTGGCCACAAGAGATTGCCATGAAGTTGAACAACAGGGCGAGATAATCTCGACCACTAGTGTCGCAATCAGATACAAGCTTGTTCAATATCTCTCTAGTATGATAGAATGGGAGATACGGGGCTATTAGATGTGTGTTGGTACTCGGACCAAAGTCGACTAGCGTACGTCCAATCGCTGCCTCTGCCTCTGAAATAGCCCTAGTCAAGTTTGGAGATTCGATCTGGATAGTTTCCCCGACAGGCTTCGCATTCTGGCCCTCTACTCTGAGAGAGAAGAAATATGCTTTGAGCCGAGAGATGACGTCGGGATCGATCGGTGGCATTGGTAGGCGATCGAAATCATCCTCTACCTCATCATGGTACGAATTGCAGTCATATAGTCGGTAAACGATGAAGGCGATGTCAGAGCGACCTTCCATATAGTCTTCGATGACTACCCGTTCCTTGCCTCGGAGGACATTACCTTTACTGTCCCCTGCAAAAAGCTTCGGTGAATCCAGATAATGGGCTAATTTTTCATGCTTGACATGAAAACCGCCCCTGTGGCATATGACTTCATGAAATATCTGATACTGCGCGGTTGAAGAGGAAGGGACATATCTCTTGCGTTTCGATGTCCCCGAGTGTGAGCCCTCAAGTTGAGTCTGCCCTATAACAGAAACGCAGCAAGTCAGAAATTACACAGAGGACTTGCGTAAAAGTATGCGAACCTAGTTCATCAACCCTGCCATCTATCATCAGAGCGTTGTTTCCTAGATCGTCCCTCCCACGCTTATTGTTCGTCGACGAACTATCCGCCGACAAGGCTGGCACACCCAACCTCCCTTCCCAGTCGTCGGCATCTGAAGGCGATGCGCTCATTACGACACGATAGGGTCCGACTATTGCTGCTAATAGTCCGGAAAGATATAATCAATTGCAGCCGTATCGAGAAATGAAGATCCGTTGAATATTCCTTGGACAAAAAGGCAAGGCTGGGGATCGGGCGCGAAATGAGGGCTGTTGCAGGAGAACGTATTTATAGCATATTGAGAAAGTCCAGCCATGACTAATCCTATTCACGATTGGCCAGCCCTCTCCGCGAATTGAACATGCGGCATAGCCACATAGGTTTGGCCCGCAAGACGGATCCTTGATCCTTGATCGTTGTGTTAAGTCTGTGGATTGGTTAAGCTATCAGACGTTGCTATATACATGATATAAGCGAGGTCACATGCCATGCTCCATGACAACGGGGGTTTAGACAGACGTAGGGGGGACGTACCGAGCATATGCTACCTAAGGTACCTACTCACGGATTTGATTGGGCACGTGAGGCTAGAAGAGTCTAATTTAGGAGAGGAGTCTGTGTCAAGTCTTCATTAGGATTGTTCAGGTCTCAATTTTTCATGTCAAGCTTGAACAATGATGTTGAGGGCGGATATCTCGAGCAATCGCTAGAAGCTCTGGATACAGCCAAGAGCTTCAAGCATCTAGCGAATGAAGGAAATGAGAGACAGAAAGTCAAAATGCGACTTTATGTCTCTGAAGACGGAGCAAGATGCGGACGTGGACCCCGCTATTTGGATAAGATCTTATCTAGGTACTTATCTAAGGTACTAGAAGATTAAAGATGTTTAAGGTTAATTGTATAGCCTGGAGCACTAAGGTACTTACCTACTTACCTTACCTAGCGAGAGGCGGCTCTAATTTGCTTAATCCCTTAACAACCTGGAAATGACGCAATTGCCCAGATACGGCGTTATTACTGTCGCATTACCTTATCTTATACTTCCATTACAGTAGTACATTATTACTATCATTGTATACCACCTCGGAACGCGGGATATTGCCTATCCGGATTAACAACAGTTGATTTGTCAGCAGCTCCCCGCACAAAGCATCACTTTCTACATCTCTCCCAGAACCTCATTCACATCAACTTCTTCAGCTTCATCTTCGTAAATTCTCTGGATTGGAATCTTCACATACGAATACCCCGTCTCCAGTTATCTCGGTCCTACCCAATTGCAGGTGTTGAGAGCCATGACCTCCCGTATTCTCGTTCTAGGGGCGACAGGTAACCAGCCAAATATGAGAATTCCTCACGTGATATAACATACTGAACTGACAGCCTACCTGCAGGCCAGACGGGGATTGATTTTAGCAATGCAGCTCTAGAGGCCGGTCACCAGTTAACTCTCTATGTCCGGAACCCATCCAAGGTACCCGAAAACATCAAAAGTCACGAGAAGGTCAGCATCGTCGAAGGCCAATTATCAGACGAAGAAAAGCTGAAGCAGGCCGTTGCCTCCGGCGCGACTGTTTTTGTTTCTTTTGCTGGACCTACCTTTGGCTCGACAGGAACCGTACGTCACCTTGATCTTGCATCTAATTGAAATTCCCACCTCTCTAACACCAAAAGCACAGCCCGTATCAGACAGTCTCAAACTCCTCCTCCCCCTCCTAATCTCCCACAACTATCAGCGCGCCATCATAACCGCGACCTGTTCCTACACCGCGCCCGAGGACCAAGGCGGCTTGAAGTGGAGAGCTGTCGTAGGATTAATCCGACTAATCGGCGGCTCCGCCTATCACGAGATCCAGGGTATCGGCGCCCAGGTGACGAGCCAGGACCCGGCGAAGCTTAAGTGGACGCTGATCCGTCTCCCGTTCTTGGATAACGGGGACGCGAAACATGTCACGGCTACGTTTACGGGGAGTGGCAAGGATGGTCTGTTTTTGAGCCGGAAGAGTGCGGCGGCTTGGGTTTTGGACCAGTTGGATAGTGAGGAGTGGGTGGGAAAGTGTCCGGCACTCTGCAATTGAGTTGTTTCTTTTGGCGGGGGATTTGGTGGAGTTTGGGAGGGATTGTTCGAATTTCTTTTCTGGGATTTGCTCGTTTTGTTCGGTCTGGGGAGGTAGTTGTGATATCCTTGTCTGACCAGGAAGAAGAATGATACATTCAGTTCAGCGTCTTATCCCAACCCCTCCCGGAAACATCACGTTGATTTGTTACTAGTGCTAGAAGCATATCTTTCTTGTCACATACTTGATTTGAAGACGAAGCTATCTAATCTACGGCTTAGGCGCATATTCTAAAACCACGCTCTTCGGCTCAACATACTTCCCCAGTGGCTTATACACCACATCATCATAACCCATAGCAGCCGGGCCCCCAATCTCCAGCCCCTTGGGGGTATCGCTCCACCGGGGACTACACGTAATACCGAGCACCGTAACCATAACTCCATACCTATATTCCGGAACACCCAAAGCCTTCCCACTCTGCGTATCCAGCACCGCGATCAGATCCGGAACCATCGCCACATACTCCTCGGTCCCATCATCCTTCACATGCTTAGCATAGATATTCTCATTCTTGAACGGGATCTTGAGCACCCCCCCCTCTGCCACCGTCTTTCTGAGCCCACTCGAGCTCTCCTGCTCCTCATCCGCAATCTGCTGGATTGTGATCTCGCCATATGAATGCCCTTTCCACAACCGCCGCTCCACCCCAATGATCTTCCCCCTGAACAGCACCTTCGCCGTTTCCGGCCCCCCAACTTCCTCAATCATCTGCTCCGCGATCGAGCTTGTCGTGTTATGTGCCTTGGCCCGAGCTATGCACCTCCCAATGCGCCATGCAAGACTCATCGTGTTGAGCACAGAGTACTTGACCACCCTCTCCTTGGTCGTCGGCTTAGCCGCCATTCCGACACGGCTGCCCATCTCCGCGCAGGAGGCACGCAACGCGCGGTCTACGATCTCGTCGTTGGTGGTCTTAGTCATCAGGATGGATTTCCCATCGCCGGACGCGATGGCGCACGGAACCAGCTGCCCTGTCTCGTAGACGCAGAGCGTCGTCTGCCAGTAGGTCGGATACGCGCGGCCCATCCAGTCTGCGTCGATGGTGGGCCGGTCGAAGAAGCGCGAGCTCCCGACGAGCAGAGGCTGTAGGCCATTAGCACCGCCGATCTCGAGACTCATCGCTACGTCGAAGGACTCGTGCTTGTAGTATTCCATCAGCTCGATCATCGCGTCGTAGGTTTCGTTGGCCGAGAGCCGCTCGTTCGATACGGCGGGAGAGCCCATGTGACCGCCCCAGTAGATCAGATCATCTTCTTTCAGAGCGCTGGAATCAATGATCCGCATGGTGTACCCGGCGCGTATCATGTCTCGCAGCTTGATGTATTCTGAGAATGGAGAGCCGCCGCCTGCACACCCGAGGACATAGCATCCATCTGCGAGCCATTCGACATCAGTTTCTGAGACGAACCATTCGGGATGCCCCGTCTTGGGGTTGTTGATGACGGTCGGCTTGTATGTGTCGACGTCGATAATGGGAGTCGCATCTTCAACTCCGGCTTTGGATTCTTTTGCTGATTCCTCAGCATATGTTTCCTCCTCTTCTGCATCTAAGCTCGCGGCCGCATCTTGGCCCGAGAAGGCGTCAGGGGAAAACTCTCCAACGGCCCGTGCAATGACACGGACTTGGTTTGCAACATATTGCAGTGGCATGGCGTCTACCTCTGCCAACATGACCGTCTCACGGCTTGCACCAGCGGCGACCGCACGCTCAATTGCCATTGCCTTTGCTTTCTCAACGATCTGTGCAATTGTCTGCTCTGCAGTGCTTTGGATCATATCAATCGTGCCTCCGACTTTCGAAATTGCTGCACCGACAGCATTGGCAACTGAATGGAAAGGGGGTTGGATGACTTCGGACACGCCATCGATTTCCTTCGGGGCAATGACCGATCCACCTCCGACCAGAAGGACTGGAAGAGGTTCGGGGGACGTCTTCATCATATCTACGACCCGATCCACGAGAGTCCTGATCCTAGCTTGTGCAGCAGAAATTGAAGAGGGAGTCAAATCTGCGACCTTGCTGGAATCACCAATCGGCTCACCGGCTGCGACTGCGATGTCCGTAGCGGTAAGAACATCACCGCCGAAGACCTTGGCCTTGGTGGTCAAATAATGGCCCACAGAGTCGGGTCCTACAGTCACACTTTCGCCGTTGATTCGAACAATCGAACCTCCTCCCAGTCCGATGGATTCGACATGAGGCATTGAAAAGTTGATCTTGACTCCTGCTACAGTAACGTAGGCCGAAGCTTGACGAGGGAATCCGGAGGGCAGCAACACGCCGACATCAGTCCTAAAGCCATGTGAGTAACGAGCCTGCTCACCCCTGGAATCATACTCACGTGGTACCTCCCACATCTACCACAATGGTGGAAGTCTTCTTTCCTTCGAAGTCAGCGAGACCGAGATATGCAGCACCGCGCATCGAGTTCGTCGGCCCGCTCGAGAATGTCCGAATTGGCAGACTCGCAGCAGATGGAGCATCGATCAGAGTCCCATCATTCTGAGTCAAGTAGAGCGCACAATGCAGATCCAATCTCTTCATTGCTGCTCTGAACCCTCTGATGGTCTTTCTAGCAAACTTCAGGATCGAGGCGTTCAATATCGAGGCGTTTTCACGTTCCAGGAATCCGATGTTGGAGACTTCGGAAGAGCAGACGATATCGACGCCGGGAAGCTCGCGCTGGATGATCTTACGCACGTGCTCTTCTTGCTTGAAGTGCTCATCAATGGGGGAGAAGACACCAGAGACAACAATGGCGTCGATGCCCAGCTCTTTGATCTTCTTGCATTGCTCTACGACTTCAGCTTCAACAATGGGAGCTTCTTCGGAGCCATCGATATGGAGACCTAGATATTTCCTCTTAAACTGTGTGGTTCACCTTGTAGTACGTGGAGTAATCTTACCACCAGAAACGAAGCAGTAATACCCATTCATAATCTTCTTCAAAGCAGGCGGGAAATCGGAGAAGGGGGGGATCTCCTTGGTGAAGCTTTTTGACAGCCGCATGATGGCCACCTTCGACAATCGCCGAGCATCATGCTCCACGATTGCATTCACGAAATGCGTAGTCCCAATTGTAAGACACGCAATTCTATTCCTGTCGATTGCGGATTGCTCCAGCACAATGCGGACAGCAGCTTCAATGCCGTCCGTGACATTAGGGCTCGTCGTCGGTGTCTTGTGCTGTGCAAGGACGCCTCGTTCTGGCGTACTGGATAATGAAGGGTCAAGTACCACGGCATCACTTGAATATGATCAGCAACTTATCCAAAACCAATGTGGCCAGGGGGAAGTCACGTGTTCGTCCCTCCAACGTCGACACCGATACGCAGCGTCTTCTGCACAGCCAAACTGCCCATCTTGTGAGTGCTTTACCTAAGGTAGATAAAGATTGCAGTAAGTACAGGACAAATCCAAATTGAAGAGAGATAATACACCGTAGGATAGGTATGCAAGAGGGCAACAGCCAGAGAATGAAGATATATCAAGCCATTCCACAAGACATACCGCGTATCAAAAGCGGAGATCCGCGACCCCATCTATCGTCTCTACCCGCCGGACATTATCCTTGGCGAGGGATTGTGGAATTCTCCGCACTCTTCGACGCAATAACATCCAATGGCATGTCTGCGGACTGATGTTGTTGATGTCGTTTGAGAGTGGAGGGATTCAAGAATGGGGTGGTGTGAGATCGGCAGATTCGTCAAAATGCCTATTTGCCCCTGACTTCTATCGCAGCCGAGGCATCGTGATAAAACAACGCGGAGAGTATTGTGTCAAAGAATCAGATTGATATTGACCTCTCCGCGAATTCAGCTCGATCAACGGCCGGCGGGGTATGGACTCGGTCGTGGTCTCCGATCTGTCGTTGTGGAGACTTATCTGAACCTATCTTCTTCGTCGAGACTATCAACATCCTTGGCGATTGTCCAGAACGTCCTTTTCAGGATGCATGGCGGAGCATAACTCGGATAGCTGACCACCATGAAGAGCTCAACGGGAGTTATATCTTCCGAAAACTCTCCATATACGAATAATGTCCATCAGAGCTCGGGGGTGTTCTCGAGTCAGGGACCGGGGGGCAGAATCACACTCGTCGAATCCTACACGGTCTTGCAGATCCCTCCCTGTGAGAACCTGCACCTTCATTTGAAGTCTGTACGATAAGATCTCGTCTATCGCATTTTTGGCCGGAAACAGATAACTTTACCGCTGTCACTGCTATGACATGGTGGAATATACGGATGTTCATCTCTTATCAAAAAATGGGGACGACGCGTCGTTACATCTCAAGGTTGGACACCATCAGCTTTGAATAGAATATATGATGAAACCCGTCTATTATTTTGGATAGTCGTCCCGAAGACCCGATCTCTTCTCCAACTGTTCCCCTACAGACGGTTGAAAGATGAAGGCCGCGAGGTTGGTGAACTTTCTTCAGGTCCCTACCACGAAAGGGACCTCGGCCTCCCGATGGATCAACGATGATATCCGTCCCATGCCTCCTTCGCGAAGGCATTGGGGACAGTTGGCATTTATTTCTTTCTGGGCAATCAATCAGATCGTACGTTTTCTTACTCTTGATATTGCGCCCACTGCTGACTAGAGGGATATGGATAGTGCCTCAGTAACTGGCAAGTCGGCTCTTCCCTTGTGGCAGTCGGGCTCTCAGTCTGGCAAGCCATGATTGCCACCATCATTGGCAAAATCATCATTTCAGGAGTGGCTATTTTCAACGGCTACGTAGGTGCTGAATGGCATATCGGCTACCCAGTGTACGCGCGTGTGATCTGGGGTGTGTACGGCTCGTACCTAGCACTCGTGCAGCGAATTCTTCTCGGCCTTGTGTGGTTCTCGGTGCAATCGTGGACCGGCGGGCTCTGCATTACCGCAGTTCTCGACGCCATGTTCCCCTCCTTCCATCATATGAAGAATCACTTCCCCGAGAGCGCGAACATGACCACGACGCAGTTTATCGGATGGGTGGTGTATAATCTGGTTACCATTCCAATGCTGTATATGCCGCCGGAGAAAACAAAGCGTGTCTTCATGATCATGAACGCTATTTCTCTGGTCACGCTGACTAGCATCATGATATGGGCTTTGGCAGCGGCGCGTGGTGCAGGGCCACTTCTGTCCGCTCCTGCAACTGCTTCGACAGGCGCCGAGCTGGGTTGGGCAATTGTGAAAGGAGTGACGACTGTGATTGGGTCTATAGCTGTTGGACTCAGTAAGCCATCTTTCCTGTCCGTCCTCTTCGAATCTAATACTAATGGTATGCGCAAAGCCAACCAACCAGATTATTCTCGATTTGCTCGCCATCCAGGTGATCAAGTATTCGGACAATGGTTCTCGATCCTAAGCTTCGGCACCATCATGCCGCTGTTCGGCTGCCTGACGAGTTCAGCAACGCAGAAGCTCTACGGCCAAGCAATCTGGAACCCGCCCGACATCATCCTACAATGGCTGAGTGATTCCTACTCCTCCGGAACCCGCGCCGCTGCCTTCTTTGCTGGCGTAGGCCTCGTAGTCTGCCAACTCGCCATCAACACCATCGACAACTCCTTCTCCACCGGCATGGATCTCTGCGGGCTCTTCCCCAAATTCATCAACATCCGCCGCGGCGCCTACATCGGCCTGATAATCTCCATCGCCATGTGTCCCTGGGAGCTTTTAAGCAGCGCCGGCACCTTCATCAACGTCATGTCCGCCTACTCTGTCTTCCTCGGCCCCATGTGCGGCATCCAGATCTGCCACTACTGGCTGATCTGCAAGCGTCGCATCAAGCTCTCAGACCTGTATGACCCGCACAAGGAAGGCATCTACTATTATTTCAAAGGCGTGAACTACCGGTCCTACGTGGCGTGGGTGGTCGGCTGGGCGACGCAAATGCCAGGCTTCATCAACGCCGTGACGCCTAGCATTATCGTCAAGAAAGAACTGCAGGAATTGTACTACCTGGCTTTCCCGCTCGGCTTCGCTATCAGCTTCGTTGCCTACTTCATCCTGAATAAGCTGGATCCGCCCCGAGGATTGGGCGATGTGGATGAGGCGGATTATTTCGGTACCTTCACAGCTGCCGAAGCGCAGAAGTTGGGATTGAGGGAATGGAGAGATGATGGTGAGGGCTTGGAGGAGGTTGACAGTGAAAGAAAAGAGGCGGATACGAAAATTACTACTATATCATGAGTGATTAATTGATTAGCGGTGAGAATTAGCAAGAGATAGGGATTTATGACATGATGAAACACCAGTAAACTTCACAATTAATACAACTAGCAACTTCAATCATTCGCTCTTGTTGTTTTACCCGCTCTTGAAACGCCAGCCCAAAAGCTCTGGAAATACACGCAAGAAAACAGTACGATTCCTAATAAAACTTTGGAGCTGCCGCTTCAATCCAGTCCCGGACCCACGTCCCTTGGACGAGGGCGGGGACGTAATGTCCAAATAGCAAATTAGCCGAACCAACCCCCCCCCCCCTTTCTTGTCTCGGAATGGATTGGTATTTTGAGCGATAGGAGAGTATATGATGATGATGATGATGGGAATAATACCTCGTGAGAAGAAGGACTAGTCATGTGCTGTGTAGGGGTGAAGAAGAAAGTGGGACTCGCTGAAACATTTGAGATGGGATGAGTTGCATATATGACCTTACAACAACTGTGTGAAGAAGCTTGGGCCTTGAGAGGCTGATTCATATAATTATTATAACATTCCTGCATATAACCGCAACATATCTCATAACGTAAAACATGGTAATTGAGAGGGCATATAACCTCCTGAATTATTCCCATAGTCTTCTCATGTTTAACATGCCCCCCTCGAAGCTGCTATCAGCTTACCTGGCACTTGCCTTGAAGACTTCGACGGCATTTGAATCGACTCGTTCCTACGCGGACATGTAAGAGACTGTAGTTCAGAAGTATTGACAGTGTCAAATGAGATCCCTTCCTCATTCCTCGAGACTGCCGTCGGTGTAATAATCAAACTCGGCGGGTAAGGGAGCCTCACTCTTGGCCTTTGCATCTCCATCAGCAAGCAGGAACGGGTTCGGCTTCTCTTCTGCAGCACCGTTGCTTGTAGCCACTGGGGCCTCTGTCGCAGCAGGTAACCGCCCTCTAACGATCCTCGTCATGAATGCCGCCCATTCCCAAGGTCTTTCCCTGTCTCCAGGCAGACTATTAAAATATTCCCAGCCCATTACGCCGCCAAACCCCGGATGCCTGGCCTTCAACGTAAGCAGGACCTCCTGTACAATCTCAAACGGCACCCATCCACTCCCGTTCCCCGGATTTGTAACCATTCCGACGACGATCTTCTGCGCCGGCCAGCCACGAGCAATCATATAATCATATCCGTCCGGCTTGCTCACGTCTCCCCAGCCACAGTAAAACTGGGTGTTATACCACGCGATCTGCGACCCTCGCATGACCTCCAACGCCTCATAGCTGAATCCGCTGAGATTATGCTTCGGATTATCAGACATCAGGGCCGCAGCAACAGGTGCTAAAGTGATGATGAAGGCGCTCCCGAAATCGCTCTTCAATCGATCGATGAGACGGATCACCCCAGCGAGCGTCATGGGTTCCTCGACATCCAAATCCAAGCCATCGAGCCCGCGCTCCCGTATCATGTCGCGCAGAGGGATATAGTATTCTTCGAATGTCGAATCGTCGAGATCGAGTCGTGTGAAAGAGCCCTTGGCGGCGCCGCCGAGCATGCCTATGACCTTGATGCCGGAGGCTTGGAGGACGCGGAGCTCGGCCCAGAGCGTGTGGTAGCGGGGATGTGAGGGGACATGGTCGTTCTCCGGGTCAATTAGCAAAGAGTGATTGACGGGGGCGTGGGGAAGAGGCACGAACAAGGGTTATGTTCCCAGGAGGGTCGTTGAGGTGGATTGCTGCGAGGTTGACATGACTAACGGCAATGCCAGGTTGGGTTATGATGGGAAGAATGGAGCAGGGAGTGCCATCTGGATTGTGCAGAGTCTGATAGTATATGACGAGTCGTGGGGTCGGAGGGAGGGAGATGGGAGGCATTGGAATGGAAGAAGTTGTTGTGAAGGTCGTGGTGAGGACGGCCAGGAAACGCGAGGCTGAAGTTGGCGGGGGCAGCTTATTAATAGCCTCGTGCTGTATATAAGGTCTCCGGCGTCTCTTCGACAACGACTGGAGACTCTATATAAGATTCTGTGCCAGCTACGCCTCACTCAGTCTTTTTTCAGCTCAGGACCTCGACAGAGAAGCAACCCCCTTTCATCTTTTCTGTTGGCATAGCAGCAGAATAAGTTGCGTGTAGGGAAGGATTTCAAGCTTCGCGCCATGTTGGGCATATCATGTGCACAAAACCAGAAACGCCGAGAGATTCCTGGATCTTAGATCCTGAGGAGTGGTCTACCAATATAGCTCAGGATATCTCTCTTGTTCGTTGCGTGCCATAGGTAAGGACTGGCAGTCCTGGGGATGGAATCACGTGTAATATCACGTGACTGCACTTACGACGAGGCATGAGATGATACTGATATGATAAGATGTTTCGACACTCTTTAGGTTATATTCTAAGGTCAACTTGTCCAAGCTGACTTCCAGATCGCCGGTTAGGACTTCAATCTTACAGCTCGAGAATCTATTTTCGGCCTTGCTCGCTAAGTGGCTCCTTCGCTTGAATAACACGATCAATTCCGACGCATTCCGCATCTTTCTCCCATCTTCATAATATTCAGGATCCTCCACTCCCACGTGAATCATCAAAGTAGAAGTGTTGGAATCCATCATGTTACTTTACAGATTATGTTGGTGGCCGCGTCGTCATATATTCCCGTGGGAAGTTGGATCTCCACGGAACACAACATTCGCGAGCCTGCGACTCCAAGCGGATCGCCTCAGCCACACCCTTATACCTTCAACTGGCAAAAGGTTTATTCCTCCATAGCAAAGCAGCTGACGACGATGCGGATTTGTCGAGCTCTTTGACACAATGATGACGACGTATGAGGCTCTGGGCCATGGCCATGGATTCCAACTTGAGTGAGGAAAATCCTAAACCTTGTTGCCATTGGCAGCTCTGAAATCCGTTCATCCCATCATCTCCCAATCTCCCCGTCCCAACTGTCCATTCCTTCTCACCATTCGTTCTTATAAACATGCCTTGGCAATGTCATTTTCTCTCTCTCCTTACTCTTTATCTACATGATCATCTCTGATCACCTCTCTCTTTACCTACAATCATATCCTCCGTCTGTTTCTTCACTGCATGCATGAAGATGGCATTCGACTCACGATTAACCTTACGCTCTGCCCTTGTCGCCCTTTTGCTTTCCAACTTGGTGGTGGCGGAACCCATTCGTTTATATAATAGACAAGCTTCTGAGGCCCCAGGCGCGGATGCACTGACTGCGTTAGAGGCGATACCAACGGGTGTTGCAAGCGGCAACGCCGATGTACCTTCACCCTCGGGCGGTAGTTTGTTGGCCTCGCCTTCTCCGAGTTCAGCTGCTAGCCACAAAGGCGCTGGCAAACCGGCCTCTCTCAAGGGCACTGCGGCTTCACCAAATAATGGAACACAACCGGGGGATGACGGTGACTCTGACACACCACCTTCAACACCACCGGGAAGTAGCAGCACTGGCGGTGCCGACGCTTCGAGCTCTTCACCATCTCAGGCCTCTGGCGATAGTGATAGCTCTCCTAGCTTACCAGCTTCAACGCCGTCTAACTCAGGAACACCAGGACCGGGCTTACCCAACACAGGAGGATCTGGCGGTGCCAGTGGCCCATTTACCTCATCCGGACTACAGCTATGTGGCTCTCAATACTACACTCCTTCTAAAGTAAGAACCCGAAGGTTTTGATGATATTAATGACTAGTACTGATAGTAAATAGTATGTCTGTTATAGCGATTCCCTGCTATGTCCGATTGAGAATGGGCAGCCAACGCAAGCTTGCGGGCTTGCCTGTTACATCCCTTCGATGTATTCCTGCGTCAACGGGGAATTGATGCCGGTTAATGCTGTTTCCGCTTCCGGAGCATCTGGTTCTGGACCCGGCTCAGGTTCACCTCACTCAGGCTCACCTCACCCAGGTTCATCTCACCCAGGTTCACCTCACCCAGGTTCACCTCGCCCAGGCTCACCCCCCTCAGGCTCACCTCCTGATTCAGGCTCGAGTTCAGGGTCCTCAAGTTCAAGCTCTTCAAGCTCTTCAAGCTCAGCCTCAGAGACAGACTCGGAGTCCAGCTCTTCTAGCTCTGCAGGTAGTTCTGCAATTTCTGGATCCGGCCCAGGTTCTAGCTCAGGCTCAAGCTCAGGCTCAGCTCCCTCAGGTGCAGCTCCGTCAGGTGCAGCTCCGTCAGGTGCAGCTCCGTCAGGTGCTCCTCCGTCAGGCTCACCTCCGTCAGGCTCACCTCCGTCAGGCTCAGCTCCGCCAGGCTCAGGTTCTAGCTCAGGTTCTAGCTCAGGTTCAAGCTCAGGCTCAGCTCCCTCAGGTGCTCCTCCGTCAGGCCCAGGTCCGTCAAGCTCAGGTTCCAGCTCAGGTTCAAGCTCAGGTTCAAGCGCAGGTTCAAGCTCAGGCTCGGCTCCCTCAGGTTCACCGCCGTCAGGCGCAGCCCCCTCAGGTGCACCTCCGTCAGGCCCAGGTCCGTCAAGCTCAGGTTCCGGCTCGGGTTCCGGCTCGGGTTCCAGCTCGGGTTCCAGCTCGGGTTCCAGCTCAGGCTCAAGCTCAGGCTCAAGCTCAGGTTCAAGCTCAGGTTCAAGCTCAGGTTCAAGCTCAGGTTCAAGCTCAGCCTCACCTCCCCCTGATTCAGGCTCGAGTTCAGGGTCCTCAAGTTCAAGCTCTTCAAGCTCTTCAAGCTCAGCCTCAGAGACAGACTCGGAGTCCAGCTCTTCTAGCTCTGCAGGGAGTTCTGCGACTTCTGGTGGCTCAGATTCAGCTCAACAGCAGCCGTCGGGATCCGGTTCACCTGATCCTGCAATGCCTACAGGGTCAGTACCTTCTGATATTCCAAATTCATTAATGGGTGCGCCCGATGCTGCTGTACCCACTGCAAACTCTCTATCTGACTCGGTTATAGGACTTCCAGAATCCGCCGCGCCCACTGGCTCCGCAGCCTTTGAGAGTCCCAGTGGCTCTCAAGATGCGCCTGGCCGCACGATGCCTATGACCTCCGGTTCTTCCACCGATGGGTCTGACATCGCAGCGCCTTCTGGATCCGGCTCTTTCGGCGCAACAACGTCCTCTGGCACCCCTGCGGGGTTCACAGGGCTCAACTCTCAACCAAGCTCACAGCCTAGCTCACAGCCTAGCTCACAGCCTAGCTCACAGCCTAGCTCACAACCTAACTCACAACCTAACTCACAACCTAGCTCACAATCCGATTCCCAGCCTGACGATCAGTCCGGTGATGAGGGTCCCAGCGGCTCTCAAGGTGCGCTTAACAGTACGATGCCTGCGAGCTCCGGCTTTTCCACCGATGGGTCTGACATTGCAGCGCCTTCTGGATCCGGCTCTCTCAACGCATTTACAAGCCCTGGTACTCCTGCGTCTACGGGATCCTATACTCAGTCAAACCCACAACCAACTTCACAACCCAGCTCACAACCCAGCTCACAACCCAGCTCACAACCCAGCTCACAACCCAGCTCACAACCCAGCTCACAACCCAGCTCACAGCCAAGCTCACAATCCGATTCTCAGACTGATGATCAATCCGGTGATGAAACTGATGATCAGACAAATTCCCAACCTAGCTCGCAATCAGGGTCTCAATCAACAAGCTCTCCAACGCCCACTGATTCCGACTCTCCTCTAGAAGGGACAAATACGGCGATGCCTACTGCATCCAACTCCCCTGGGCCTTCTCCGCTTTCTTATCCAAATAGCGCTCTTATCTCATCTGAAATGGCAATGCCTACTGGACTATTTTCTAGTTCATCTTATACTGGCTCGGGATCTGGCTTTCCAGGCTCCAACTCTTCCTCGGGATGGAACTCGTCTATAAGTACATCGGGTACTACACCATCTCAAGCTGCCTCCTCCTCTGGTGGTCCGGTTACTTCCCCGAGCTCGTCTGATGTAGCTACGTCAACGGCATCCAGCTCGTCCACAAGCTTGGGATCTTTACCCTCTGGAATCTTTAGTGGATCAATAGCTATGCCCGTCATCATTACGCCTACTGGAACCATAGCTCTTAGCAGTCAGGCTTCCGTTCCTTCATCATCTCCCAGCGGATCAACAAGTGCTTTACAAACGCCTACCGGAAGTTCAGATAACTCATCAGCGGCTGCAGTAACCTCAAGCAGTAGCTCGTCAGCTCCTACAAGGACCTGGGATAACGCAGGAGCATCCGAAAATGAGCCCAAGACCCTGTTAATCGCACCCAGTGGAAAACTGAACAGCAGCTCCCCAAGCGTTGACAATTCTACCAGTTCGAGTGCCACTTCGAACAGTTCTTCAGACAATACTGTGCTTCGAATTCGGGCCGCGGAATCATCTGCCACTGGTTCAGCAGTTGAGGCTGTCAACCTACCTTTCGTGGCTTTGTTAGTGATTGGGGTAGTCGCATTTGTGGGTCTATAAAGTATGGGGCTTGGGAATTTGATGATAGTTTCAGGAATATGGAGTTATGGTTGTCGTTCCGTATAGCGATTGCACTCTGGTTTTACAGTCTTTACTTTACAAAATTGCAGCATGGCGTAGAGGGTTGGTTTTATTGTTTGGCGCGTGGGAAAAAAGGACAATCATTGAAATCTTTCCTTGGCATTTATAGTATCAGAGTCTTCTGCTCATCATATTGAGTACCCTGCATACAATTTGGACTTCATATACCGATGCCAAATATATCCTCGAAAGTGCGTTGTGTCACGACTTGCAACCCCTCGCGCTTGCACTTGCACTCGCTCGAAGCTCACTTGGCTTGATAGCCAACCATGCAATCCACCAAGTGAGAGATCCAGACCCAGCAACCGCAGTAGCTACTTGGGTGTCTGAAGGGCCCCGTTTTCTATAACAATCTCGTACCTTAAATCTTGAAGCCATCTTCTGCCACCTCAACCTCACCCAAAACCATCCTCTTATTACTGCGAATACTCACGGCAGGTTCCCACTCTACTTGTTAAGAATCCATTTTATCATGAAGTAGACTAAGTGTGTCCATCGACAATATCATCAATTCCATTCTGCAAGCAATGGAATTAATGATACAAGAATCAGTTCCAGGTAATGAGTAATACAGAATTACTAACGGCGAATCAATTACTAGATAAATTTGAAGCTCGGTGCTACATAAGTTGCTTAAATGTAAGCAAATGAAGCTTGGCTTTCTACAGAGACGCACATTCAGAACCACCTGGCTAGAGTGTGCAGACTATGATTTCATTCTCTGATCAATGGATCTGAATACTGACTATCTGTCTGACTGACTTTGTATGCGCCTAAGCCCCATCCTAGCTGACTTCACATGCGCACCCGATGCCCGAATCCCATAACCTATGCAAGCCTAGTAGCACTGGAGAGCTGCTTTATGCAAACATACCAAGCTATTCCCAGGGTTGCTCCATAAACTCAAAGCTAGTGCTTGGACTTCTTGCCGCGGAGGACGTTGGAAATCTTGCCGCCCAATCCCTTGAGGACATTGATCGCCTTCGTTGGTTTGAGTGCCTTGGCTGCGCGCTTAGCCTTGGTCCAAACCTTCTTGACTCTGCTGGGGCGGCTGCTGGGCAGAACCACGGTGGTGAGGGGCTGGGTATTGACTGGGGCGGGCATCATCATTTGTGGTGGAATCACAACATCGACTGCCTTGGCATCAGCGGCAGGCTGGACACCAGTAGTAGCAGTAGGCTGGGTAGTAACCTGCTGGGCAGGAGCGGGCAGAGTGTTGGCGGCTTGATCAGTGATTGGGGGGGGATTAAAAGTCGGGAAGGCCTCAGCATTATCTGTGATGTGTGTATTAGCTGCACTGTCCACCACAGGATCGGTTTGTGGATTTGCTTGGTTGGATGTGGAATATCTCACCTCCATTTCCGTTGCCAGTCCGGAGGGTTGTAAAGCCAGACGAGTTTCCAGAAGCACCAACGCCCGGAGCGGCAAGATGCTGGGGACCGCTCTGACTCGTGGTAGGATTGTTCAAGCCGGCGGCACCTGCGACGAGAGTCTTGTGTCCTTCACCCGGGTTGTAGTCTGAGATAGATTAGCTGTTAGATCTTGGGTAACAGTCGAGTTCGAAGGACTTACGAGGGATCATGGTAGGATTGGGGCCACTGCCAGCTCGTGCCTGAGCGCCGTCATCTTCAGAAGGAGGAGTAACGCGAGTTCCTTTGGGGAAGAACTCGGCGTAGTCCATGCGGGAGACCCTATTGGGATTCGGAGTCGGAGCTCTATTGTTCTCCATCTTTCCTTCTTGGGTGAGGTTGGTGAGGTGTTTATGGTTTTGGTGGTTGAGAAGAGAAGATTCTCTGGAAGACTCAGAAGATAAAGTGGAGGATGAGGAGGCCTTCTCGACAAGCTAGTCTAGATCAGTCTGTCGGCAGGGCGATTATTATCACGGAAACAAATAGAACAAGCGTCTTTAAATCTCAATTATACACGGAACGTAAACAACTCTCACCTTTTGTCTGTTTCAGACTTTCAGACCTGCGTGAAGAACCAAGAATGTGTAACTCCTCTCATGACACACCTGTGTTTACTCCATCCTTTGGTTGTTAGTGGACTCTCACTAGATAGGACCTTAATAAATATCAGCATCTTAACTGTAACTTGGATGATTGCTTAGATCTCACGAGAAAGTCCTGGAGTTTCTGTTGTCCACCCCTTTATGCGGAAACACGTCTCCTCAATGCCAAACACGTCAGTTGCTGTTTCCATCTAGCATTTCATCTTTCTCTCCACACTGAACAACTCTCCATATTATTCTCCACCCCTAGACATCAACTCTCTACACAGATCACCTATGTCAATGCAGGTGGTGGAGTTTGAGTCTGTCAGTTGTCGTTAGCTTTTTAGCGAGCCCCCCCTTTTTTTACCGAACCCCTTGAAAGCCGGTCCCCTTCTTAGGCGGTCTTTAGACGAGCCCCTTGTTTTAGCGAGCTGTTCTAATGCATCTTCCTTCCTATTGCTTGGAAAGATCAAGACTCCCTTAGTGAATTTCCGTGAAAGTTTTTGAAAGAACACGCTTGAAAATACATCATCATTTTTGGGAATCCCCCGTTTCTTCCTCTTTGCTGGAAAGCTTATGTTCTCTGTATCTCTGTTCTCTGTTCATCAAACAGGATATGGAACCTGGTCAGGTTTGGATAGTTCGCCTCTATAGGATGGCTGATTAACACACAGAACGTAAGGTGACTGGCAGAACTGGAGCTGGATTGTTCTCCTTCGGAGAACAAAGAGACTAAGATATGGAAATTACTGACACGGGCAAGTATGCTTGGCTAAATAAAATCCAGAACTAACATGCTCCTCCGCAGATTCTTAGATATTGGTAGAGACAATGGAGCAAGCTAGAAATGTAAGCTTACTGTCTCCAGAGCATTCTAGCCGTAGAGGCCTACTGGTTCTCGGCCTGGAGTAAAAGTCTCATCCATGAACTTTCTCAAGACTCAAGTTGTCCCAGGTCTTTTGATAACTTTTGTTGGGACCCGTACACGCACGTGACCCACAAACCCTATTGTATCTAGACTCTAGACTCTCCCTCTCTTCTAGAGAATAGACCAACCGTACCCATCGACTGTAATCATATAGTGAAGGGTACCCGTGTCCCTACAACTTTCGATATCCTTCGGTTCGTCCGCAAAAGCCTAGGTAAGGATTTTATTTCTTTGGCCGCCATATTCTTTGTTTTTTTTTAGACGATGCTGGGGAGGGTGTCTCTTTGCTTGTCAGCTGTGCTCTAAGAACTTCATGGAGATAACATAGCCACGACGAGTAGGCGTTGATAGATTCAAAGAAATCCAAGCCAGGTAGAAGAAAGTCAAATGACCTATGGGTACCTAGCGGTGAATAGGCAATTGTAAGGAAAATAATTCGAATATATATAGCTCCCCTAGAAGTTAGAATGTGCCAAAGATTAACGAAAGAAACAGTGTCACAATCACAGAAAAAAAAGACCCACTCTCTCGAATTGTTGGTTTCAATACTCTTGTCGCTGTCAATTCTCTTGTCGCTGCCAATTCTCTTGTCGCTGTCAATTCAAGTGTACGTAGCTAGGGAACCACTAGAACTTCGACTGACGAGATAAAGTTAGTCGCAAGATTCATCAACAGAAGAAGTTGGAACTAGACTGCCTGTCGGTGGCCTGTGGCGCCATGCAAACTGGGTATACCTAGACTTGTATTGAAACGTCGTGGTCAAAATAGAGAATACAAGGCTAGCGTAAGATGTGGAGGGGCATAATGTTAGATTAAGAAGGATAAAGTGAGATGATAATCGGGCTTCAGTATATTAAGCTCAAACACAAAATCGTCAAGTCATTTCAAGCTCGAGAGTTTGCAGGTCAACAAGGCAACGCGGCGAGAATCTTGGGTTGTAAATTTCAAAACAAATCGAGTAAATCTTATTGAAATCTCTTTAGCTCCACCAAATATTTACCCCCGTGTTTTTTCAAATCAAAACAATCCTCTCCAAAGGCAAGTCCATAACTCACGTTCAACAATGCCTCCAAAATCAAAACGCGTACCAGTCTCCAAACCACCACCGCGTATAACAATACAGCCCGAGGTTCCCGTCATTTGTTGCAGCGATATAATTCTCATCGTTGACCCCAAATCAAATCTCCCTGCCTTCCACAAAAGCCTTATCTACTCCCTCATCACCGAGGTCAAGCTCCATTTCTTCAAACCGCATTTCCAAGTCGAACCGGCCCCACCACGGACACCCAAAAAGTTCCGTTACGTGATTCAAGTTACAACGCGGATTTCCAATCCCGACACTTCTTCTAGCTTTCTCAAAGAAGAGCTTGCAACCGACAAACCATGGCGCTGGTTTGTTCCTTTCAACGAGGATTTGGTCCCTAGTAGCGTGGAAAGCGAGGAAAGCGAGGAGGAGAATATTGGTCATTTCAGTTTCCAGAACAGCATCAAATACCCCACATACCAAAGCCAGATTAAGGAAAGAAACTGGGTGGAGATCGAGAGCGCGGAGGTGCCGGTCATGTTTACTAAGGGGATGTACGAGAGGGAGGCTACTGAGAGTTTAAGGTTCCGCTGCAATGAACCGGGGCATATGGGTAAGATCTGGACCTTCCAGGTTCTGGCGCCTCACTGGCTACAAACAGAGCTCCCAAAGCCTGTGGTTAAGAAAGTCAAGCGGGAGATTTCGGAGACGCCAAATGAGGAAGAGGCTACCGATGGAGATGATGAGCTGGATAGTGAGGGAGAGGAGGTGGATGAGGATGAGTATGATGGCCCGGGCATTCGTATGAAGACCCACAAAAGGTCTGCCAGCTGGATTGAGGATGATGAGGAAAATGAAGACGATGATTATAGCACTGGTTATAAGAGTCGCCGGGGCGGGAAGGCGAGAAAGGGCAAAACGGTAGCAAAAAAGGCTAAGGCGAAGAAGCAATTATCAGAGGATATGGACTGGGTTCCTACTGGTAGAAGATAAATAGAATTTTACTAATAGCGTTAGGGATTATTGTATAAGTAAGATTCAGCAACTAATAAAGAGTCGCTTTCATCATGATTTGATGTGCTGCTGGGCTTATGATGGGGGCCGATTTATCCACAATTTATGTCGCTCCGCAAATGTAGAACACCAAAGCGCTGAGTAAATAAATAATGCTTTGATGATGGCAGGTAATGTGAACTATAAATATGAAATGTGGATGAGAAATTAATTACATGCTCAATCCTGGCTCTTCAAAAGTTTCTAAGAATCGTCACATGTCGCCAGTGAGACTCCATTCCCATGACACTCGTCCTTCTCTCAAGGAGAGATATTCAACCATACAGTTTTTCTTTTGATGCAAATGAGATTTAACGAGTCATCAAGACACAAATATATTGAATAGAATCTGCTTTCTCGCGTTGTCCCTGACAAAGGCAGCAAGAATGCTTCTTATGGAAGCCACAAAATTATACACAAGAGCCCCACCAAGCCATATTACATGAATATGGGTGAATTACCAAGAGGTCCCTCACCACATCTCAAAAACTCTCCGTCTCTTTGTTTAGTTGACCAACAATGTCAAGTCACCGTTAGTAGCGTTGGTGTCATTACGTCCGAGAGAACCAAGGCCGAAGTTGGTGATAGCGCCCCGGAGTGCAGCATAGTGAGTGATGTACGTGTCGTCCTTGGTGTTCGGGGTGATGCCATGGCCGAACAAAATAGTGGCAATTGCGTTGTTGTTGTTTGGTGTACTGTCAGAGTCATTTTGCCATGTAGCCTCGTCGAAGGTTGCAACCACCAACGTGCCCTGCTCTGTCAATTCCTCCAGATACATGTCAAGGAAGGCGTTGAACCAAATTCCAGCCGTAGTTGGCTGGTGGACGTAGTCGCTGTTGGATTCTGGGTCGTGGCCGTTGTGGAGCATGTCGGGTACGTAGAAGGAGTAGGCTGGAAGCTTGTGGGAAAATACGTCGGCATCAAACTGTGCAGTGGCGTTGTAGATCTTGCTGCAGCGAGTGTAGTTGGTGGTGTATGTTTGGAACAACAAGGCCGGAACGTCTAGACGGCGATACGCAGGGCTGTTCCAGTCTGGGTTTGTGTTGTCGAGCGGGCCGATGAATAACTCGTTATTGCAGTCATTAGGGCCCCGTGCCGTGGCGAGAGGTGTGTACCACTCGGCATACGTAGCGTAGTCAAGTCCTGCAGCGTCGAGGAGGTCATAGATGGTCGTGGTGTTAATGTTGTAGAAGTCTTCGTTAGCAATGCCGAAGAAGTCCCCAGCGATGAGACTGGCGTAGTTGGGCAATGATGGGTGGGTCACGCCGTGGCTGTTCGTCAAAACCTTCCCACGTTTGGCAAGCAGCTTCCAGTACGAATCATTCATGGTCCAACCGAACACCTCGTTCTCGAAGATTACATGGAGGATCTTCTTGAACTTGCCCTCGCCCTTGACGCGCTCGTCGTTGCCGTCACCCCTTGGCTCAATCGAGTGGCTTTTGGTAACATTGATCTCCTTCGGTGTACCTTCATTCACAGTGAAGAACGGGAACATGAGGCTCTTCTGGCCCGAGTTCGTGATGCCCATTGGCTCTGTCTGAGCCGTAGCATTGTTGATGCCCACGGTGTTGTTGTTGACCAAGTACGTGTAGTATCCTCCATAGTTAGATGCCTTGAATGGTGGCTTGTATTGGACGGTGTAGCCGGCTAAAGCTGGATCACTGGCCTTGTAGACACCACCACCAATGAAGGGAACCTCATGATCGGCAAGTTCGCCCTGGGCTGAGGTGCTGCCAATGAGTGCCGCGAGGACAGTGACGCTGGCGGCCACGGTTTGACTGTTATAACGCATGCTGAGTGCGAGAAAAGGGGATGCAAACGAAGGACGAGAAGGAATGTGATCGCTTTGCTGATGAGCAAGAGCGCACAGCGGCACAGGTAACCTACTTATAACAGAGATAACAACCATCTTTACAGTACTGCTCTGGCCGGCGGGCACGGCCGATGAAGCAGTGACATCTATCCCTCGAAAGAGAGGATCTTGAGGCTGCGATCTTGACATGCGTGAAATTTCCCATTTGAAGTAGTCTGGGGATGATGTGCACGTTGCAGCAATCGCGGAGACGATTGGGTAAGTCAGATATCTGTCCGCACAATGAAGCCTCACCTAGGCATGTTGAAGCCACACGTCCATAGAAACATCCCCAATAGTTTGTGGCTCTACTTCAACGTGCTCAAGCAAGAATTCTTCTTCATATTCCATTTCGGGTAAGAGAATCATTCAACGCCCATTTGATTGAAAGATCGGGTAAAAGCCAATCTCAGTGACATTTTCCCAGTGGGGAATCCTGCGTTTCATCAAGCGACAAGCTTTCCCGTCAAGTTTCAACCAACAAGCCTTTCTGCCAACCGATAAGCTTCAAGATAAGCATACAAACTCTTAGCGGCATTGATTACAGCTTGCAGTCGCATTAGACATTCCAACGTCCAAATGCTCTGATCATTAAAAGTATAAAATAACAATGAAGACAAAGCGCGAAGAAAAGAATTATAAAGAACTGCTTCTTTGAAAGGTGTCAACATCAAGTCACAATTCGCTGACCCCAGCCTTCACCCTCTTCCCAACGCTCCTCGCCTATCGGGACTGCTCTTCAGGAAACCCTCGGAATCGTATAGACCCAAACTGTCGGGACGTCCGTGATTCCCATTCCAATTGCCATAAATGCTCGGCTTCAGCTGCATCGCAATGGTGTTCTCATCCCCAATATTTTCCTTTCCTGGACCGTCCTCACTTGTCAGATCCGGCATGATTTTGCTTTCCATCTCCCATCTGCACTGAGGCGGCAGCTGCGGGGACGGATACTCCCATTTTGACTGGCGGGATGTGACCTGAAGAGGGTGTCTAATCATTGCATCAGACCATCGGATCTCGTTAACCTTTCCATGCTCTGTTATTTCTCGTACCAGCTCCATATACGGATTCGTGTCCATCGACACATCATGCGACGTCCTCAATGTCCACTGATCAATTGGAGAGGTTGAAAACTTCGAGCCCAGAGAATCAGGCTGACCCGGCCTCGTTGCCAAACTGGAAACTCCAGCCAGTTTCAACCTCTGCTCTCCATTCCAACTTAACGCCCGGAGTTGTGAACGTCTCCTTTCTCGTCGGCGTATCTCGCTAATTAGACGAGCAGAGATCTGTTTCTCGACCTTTTTCTTCGGCGCACCAGACTTCAGCCGAAGGGATAGGAAATGGCCCGAGCTTAAATCGGAAACAGAACCTCCTTCGGCACTTCCTGCTCTCGGGTTTCTCGGTTGTGGGGAAACGCTGGGGCTACGTGCGAAGACAGGTTGCGCAGGGCTTGCTTGATACTCGGAATAGATCGAAGAGACCGAATTGCGCATTGACATATCGCCCCTGCGCCCGAGCGTGCCACTACTCATTGGTGAATTTGTTGGCAGGATAGAGGTGAGAGAAGGTGAGGGACGTTGGACAGCTGTGGAGGATGAAATGCTGACGGGTAGAGAAAGTGGTCGTTCTTCTATGGATTCCATGATCTCAGAATTAGAGGGAAGGTCTGGCCTCCCTGATGAGGGCTCTGCGACGAAGAAAGCGGGATTTGGCACCATTCCGGACAATACAAGACTTTGATGCCGGGATTCATTGGTCCTCGAATCGCTGATGGAACCAGAAGCTTCGACGCTGTGATCGCGGATGGCTAGTTTTGGGGGGAAGGTAACAACGCCGAGGGTCGGTGAATCTTCTAAGGACCTGCCTGGCAGAAGTTCGGGTACAGTGACAGAAGGATTGAAAATCGCCGTGGAGGGAGGATGGCAGCTGAGACTTCGGGGGACAGACTTGAGTGGAAAGCATGCGGTTTTAGAAGGCTCGGTCATGCCTATAGGGGTATTCGGAATATCGTTTTTCATCGAAGATAAATGTTCCTCTGACCCTTCGGGTACCTCACCAACACTTGATGGGCGGGGAATGCCAGATATTCGTACCACATTAGACCGTTGATGGCCCTTCTTTCGGGGAGACCCAGCACGCTTTTGGTTTGCCAGAACTGGGCGGGGATCCATTGGCTTCTGGGGGTACCATTGGAAGGGATTCAATTCAGCCCCCTTTGATATCGGACTTGATTGTGTTGTTTCACGTCTTCTGCTGGGAGATTGCGCGTTGTCAGAGGCGATTTCAAGGGGAGATATAGAGCCCGAATATCTCTCCCACGACGCTTCCAACCCAAACATAGCCTTGCGAATATAAAGGGGCCGTGGTTGAAATACTGGTACAGCAGACTTTGACCTCTTGACAGATGAATAGAATGGATCATTAGCTAACGAAACCTTGGCCGAAATAGAAAGGTCGGAAGCATCAATTGTATCAGCCTGATTGTATGGTTCCAGCACCGAGGTTCGGCTATCCTTATGGATTGGTGCAGATATAGCTTTGCTGCCATCGGAAGATACCCGCATCCTATATCTCTGTTCCCCACGTAGGCCACCAGGCGTAAAAGGTGCCGGCATGGCTAAGTCCGGTACGTCAAGTGGGCAGAGACTATCATCCGACAATATAGATGTGCTGGGAGAGTAATTCTGTCTGGGAAATGCACAACCCGCTGTCCTAGGGACTTTTCTTTCCGGACTTGGGCTACGAGAAAGATATCCCCCGAAGATAGAGCTGATTATGGATGTGGCATCATCGCTCACCATGCGGCTTTCGGGGACTGGTTTTCTAGGGGGTGTTGGAAGTCTCTCCGTAGGCGGTAACCCGGGAAGCTGACTAAGGGTAGTCAAAGTTCTCGACAAAGCTTGTTTACGAGCAGACTTCAGACGTTCTGATGTAGATCTCAAGATGGTCGAAAATTGAGTGCCAGGTGCCACGCGTCGGGGCATGGGTGGTATCTGTGGTAAACTGGCCACTTCTTGCGCCTCATATGGATTCGTCGAGAAAGAATTCGGGTTGTGTGCATTGGGCCCAATATAAACTTTCGTTTTAGAGGTTTTGGAGCATGTCCTTGCAAGCCACTTAGGAAGCGACGGATCGAGATGGCTCGAAGGAGCGATTTGTTCGAGGGTGCCAGTGGATGGAGGTTGAAGCCTTGTCAATGGAAGGGAATTGTTGGGTATCGGCACTGTTGAACCTCGTGTCCATGATTGTCTACGTTTCCCGGATAGCCAAGTGAGCCCTTTACTTGAGAACAGTCCTTTTGAACTAACACTAGCGATGGACATGCCGTTCCCAACATCGCCAGTCAACCACTGAATCGAGCCATCGTCTTTTCCGCAGCAATGGCCTGATGACAAACTGTGCAAACGAGGTATTCCAAGTGGATCTACTAACGGGAAAGTCCTGGCCGGTTCCTTTGCCTCGACATGGACGATGGATGCCTCTGTTGACTGGATTCTGGCTCTCTCGAGCCGGTCTTTCCTCCTTAACAAATATACGACGAAGGATGCCGAGATAATCAAGATCCCAAAGCTTCCACCAAACACAATTCCAATTACCGCCCCCAGTGGCGGGGCCGTGGAATCAACATGAGTTTCGGCTCGCGCGTGGATGGAGTTGAGTGGGTAACCCGCGGTGGGGGACATAATTGCAGCTTTCGAATTATGTTTCTGAACTGAGCGTAACTTTATGCTTCGGACAGAGAGATTTTGGTCGTGTCCTTGTTTGGGTAAAGTGTAGATCGCTCGCTGACTGGCGGATCAATGTAGAAGAGTGCCGGGCTGGGCAAGAGATCCGTGGTAGTTCGAAAGGATAACTGTAAAGACAGAAGAGAAAACTGAGATAAGGCACAAAAATGCAAGAGAGAGAAAGATGATGAAGCATGGTGGGAAGGTAGAAAGATACTAGAGAAGTAGTATCACGACGAGACGAGACTATTTACATGGCTGGAATGCGCCCTTGGCTGATTGAACATTCCTGACCATAACTTGCTAGGCGACATCTTTGCCCGTATTTGCATTGAGCCACGAAGGGCCAAGGAATCTGCCCCGTAAATTCATGTTTGTTTACATCTGCTGAAGAATGTTGTTGAGTTCTGCTATCGGAGGTAGCTGTTGATGATGGAAGATGGAAGGTTGCGAATTACACAGAGGGCGGAATTGGCAGCGTCCTCGCTCTCCAATCTACCGCATTTGATGGGGGGCATATGAAATGAGAGAAACCGGGCACAGGAATTGGTATTCCTCAGATGCATCGCTTGATGCTGAGCGGGGAAGAGGGGTGAAGGGTGAAGGGAAGTGAAGGGTGGATGGAGGTGAAGGATGAAGGGAGGTGAAGGATGAAAGGAGGGAGAGTGGGAATGTGGAAATATCTCCACGACGGATATGGTCTACCGTAGGGGTATGGTACGGCAACCTCGCCAAAGGTGCAGTCCCCGCACTCGAGGCTCTTGGTGATTGAAGGCTTCCAGCATCAGCATCATCATCACAATCGTCGTATTCCCGACAATACAAGAGTGAAATCGCTATGTTGCTATTGCTATCCGTCTAATGCCACTACACTAATCAAAGACCAGACAACAGAAATACGGTGCAGACCATGGAGCAAAGGAGGTTGGTGGAGGGATGGAAGTGCCCCTCCTCCCGCCCCTCGCTCTCCCTGCCCTCCATCCCACCTTCACTCACTCCGACATATCTCTCTCACTTCAATTGGCTGTTACCCCTTCGCAGGACTTAAGCCTTCACAGTCTCACCACCAGGATACCCTGCACCATGTCACTACAGCGCCTCGAGACTTCAACGCCCCGAGGAGGTCCCGCAGAACTCGATCTTCAGATGCGCCTAGCTGTTCGCTGCGTGGGTCAGGTCGCATGCCCTTGCGATGACTCGTAGGACCGACTGCCTACCTCCTCCTCGCTCTCTCTTAAAGCCTCTCCAGGACCCGAGACGTTTCTCATCCGTGTCTCCAGCTTCTCCAGTTTCTCCAGCTATAGCTATATCCTCACGACCATCGTTCCGAACCTCTCAACCCCTCAGCCCCTCTGCTCCTCTCAAACAAAGAACCACGAAACCTCCCCTATCAAGATGGCAGACGACGCAATGACCGGCGGGCACTTCACCCATAACAACACCACAGCACACAAAGCAGATCGCGTGCTTCCCCTCTTCTCCCTCAAAGGTCGCACTGCTATCGTCTCTGGCGCTGGGGCGGGAATCGGGTTAGCAGTTGCCCACGCACTGGCGGAAGCTGGTGCCAATGTTGCGATTTGGTACAACAGCAATAAGAAGGCTATCGCCGAGGCCGAGAAGATTGAGAAGGAATACGGTGTCATGTGTATGTCTCCTCTGCCTTACCTTGCGGGTCGATCCTGTTTGCTGGAATATCGATCGGGGTGCGGATGTTTGATTGGAGCGCATAGACTGTGGGGATAGCCTACTGACAGGTGGGGCGGGCATATAGGCAAAGCTTTCCAAGTGAACATAACCGACTACAGCGCTGTTGAGACTGCTGTCAACACTATCGTCCGAGAATTCAATGGCCGCCTCGACGTCTTTATCGCGAACTCGGGTATCCCGTGGACGCAAGGCCCCGCAGTGGATGGCGAGCTAGAGCACTACCGCAAGGTCGTGGCAACGGATTTGGATGGCACCTTTTACTGTGCCCGGGTCGCAGGCTTGCATTGGAGACGGCAAAAGTTGGAAGGTACAACAATTGATGGCAAGAAGCTGGAAAATTATAGGGGAGGCAGCTTTGTGGCCACGGCGAGCATGAGTGGACATATCGTCAATGTCCCGCAGATGCAGGCTGCATATAATGCTGCCAAGGCGGGGGTTATCCATCTGTGTATGTTCTTATTCCCCTGCCTTACTCATGTTTCTCATCTTCCAAAGTACTGTACTAATGCAGAGTGTGCACTGTGCAGGCAAGTCGCTCGCCGTTGAGTGGGTAGGTTTCGCTCGAGCGAACAGCGTTTCTCCCGGCTACATTGCAACCGAGATCTCCGACTTTGTTCCCCAACCCACCAAGAACATTTGGAAGGATAAGATTCCCATGGGTCGCGAGGGAGAGGCCCATGAACTGAAAGGCGCATTCCTGTACCTGGCTTCGGATGCTGCTAGCTATACTACAGGTTCCCCGCCCCCTTCTACACCCTTTTGGATGTCTCTCCGCTAATGCCATGATTAGGAGCTGATCTCGTCGTTGATGGTGGGTACTGTCTCCCTTAGATGGAATTGGAGTGCTCTATCTATGTAGGATGTTCCTGATGGTATTGTAAAGATCGGGATAGACGGCGAGCTCATGGGTTTGGAACGGTTTCATGAGTTGATGAGATAGAGATAGCGTTGAGCATAGATACCTGGTTGAAGTTCAATCACGAAGTATCTTCCCTTTTCAAGCCAGGCTGATGCTGAAAGCCTTTTGGTAACTCATATTGAGGTCCAAGTTTCTCGTTCATACTTGCTAAGGCCTTTTCTCCACTACTTTGATATAGCTATAGAGCGTATTTGCTCTACCAATATGGATATTTCAAAGAATGATTATTTCAAAGCAAGGATGTCATAACCGCATTCAGTCCGCAGGTCCTGCTTGGCGGGGCTTTTGTGGTTCAAGGCACATTTTTTCTTGCTGTATATTACAAGTGATGATATGAGAGGACACAGTTTTATGTCCTTACGCACTGGATCTAGTTTTTTAAGTTATTGGCGGTTCATGTTACTGCTATAACCCCAGGTTATCCATTTATAAAAGGGAGGTTCCTGGGGAAAAGGGGGGGTTCTAGCGTCGATCTTATCGGATATCAAAAGCTAAGATTGCACGAAAAGAAGCTCCTGGTCACCGTAGATTTAACTAAGAAAACACCAATGCCAAAAGACATCCCCGCGTTAAATCACCTTGGTTATTCCCTCAATTCAGTCAGGGAGGGAATGGTTTTCTCAATGCACAGAGAAATTCGGCTCTGCGGAAGGTAGACGCAGTCAGTGAAGCCTTGCGCAAGGCTGTCTCCGAGAACCAGCCTTGATATCCTCGCTGCAGGCGTTGTTGGCCCAGCATGAAGTTTGCTAAGGAACTGGATCGGGATCTCGTCCCAGGTAGGGCAGCAGACCACAACGAGTGCGACTGAGGTTACTGACGTTACATTACTTAGAATGGCGCATCAAATATCTCGATTACAAGCAAGGAAAGAAAAGGGTCAAAGCCGTTGCTCGAGCTGTAGCCCGGGCCAATGCAACACCTCGAACACCTGCCCGACCTGAACTTGGGCCCCAGCGAGCCAGCACATATGGGACGATAGGTTCTTCTCCTTTTGCCAACCGGAATCGAACTCCCTCGACTCTGCGGAAATCTGAGAGCTTCAACAATGGGACCGTCGGCCCGTCCCGCGGGCCTTCAGCGGTTCAGGGCACAGATTCCCGACCCGACCCAGAAGCGTCGTCGGCAGAACCGTCTGCCCTATTGACGGTAAAGAAGACACCTCCAGTATCTATACCAAACGATAAGAGCCCACTAGAAACCCAAGGCCCCGCCATGGGCTATGGCAGCTTTGTCCCGACACCCCCAAAAATAGCCAGGATACCATTCGAACTTCCCGATCCTGCCCTGTCGCCCCAAAGCCCGCTGGCGAATACCTTCACCAATGTCGGTCCTGATATTGTACCAGCTGCCGAGCAAAGCAGTCTCGTAGATTCACAGCCCCATAATGCTTACGAAGTTGGACCTACGATATCACCACGACATGGACGTGCGTCTACCTTTGCGCCGCTTCGCAGTCGAAACCACCCACGACCGTCGTTGATGCGGCGGATGTTCTCTTCCGTAGGAACACCTCTCACGCCAATTGATAGCCGTAGACACGATGAGAATTTAGTGGCGATTGACCAAGTCAGAGCACGGCAGAAGGAATTCTTCGCCTGGATGGATGGTGAATTGGAAAAAGTGGAGACCTTTTACCGCCTGAAGGAGGATGAAGCTGGCGCTCGGTTGAAGGTTCTCCGGGAGCAATTACATGAAATGCGGAACCGCAGAATCCAAGAAGTCGCAGAGGCGCAGAATGCAAAAGCACTTCGGAGAGAGGCCGAAGGTTCAGCATCTGACTCCTCTGGAAAACATTCCAATGGCCGGTCTCAAAAGGAATCGAGCTCTGATCAGCACAGCTCAAGAGACCAACTAAACGCCTGGCTGGATCCTATCGAAAGAGTGCTCGGGGAAGCGAAAGCCGCAGTCATGAAACCCATAAAGCCCCGCGTTGGGTCCAATTCGAGGGCATTACAAAGTATGCAAGCATCGCCCGAACTCCAACCCAAAAGCCAAACTGGAAACGTCAGTATGGATGCTGGTCGCGATTATATACGGCGACCCCGTCATGAGAATGATGTCCCGTATCGAATCGCCAAGAGAAAACTCAAGCTTGCGCTCCAGGAGTTTTATCGTGGCATGGAATTACTGAAATCATATGCTCTACTAAACCACACTGCCTTCCGTAAACTCAACAAGAAGTACGACAAAGCGGTGAATGCATACCCTCCGTTGCGCTACATGTCAGAGAAGGTCAGCAAAGCCTGGTTCGTTCAGAGTGATGTTCTCGATGGCCATCTTCATGCAGTGGAAGATTTGTATGCCAGATACTTCGAGCGTGGGAACCATAAGGTCGCCACGGGCAAACTCAGAAGCTCGCAAGGCAGGCCTGCTGATCAGTCAGCCAGCGCTTTTAGGAACGGTGTACTAATTGGGACCGGGGCAGTCTTCTCAGTTCAGGGTGTTATTTACGGAGCAGACCTTCTCCACCATCCCGATCCAACCATCAAGACCCAAACCAGCTACTTATTACAGATCTATGGGGGATACTTCCTGGCCCTGTATCTGTTTTCTTGGTTTTGCCTTAACTGCAGTATCTGGACCAAGAACAAAATCAACTACAAGTTCGTCTTCGAGTTTGATCCGAGGCATAATCTGGATTGGCAACAGCTGGCTGAGTTTCCGTCGTTTTTTATCTTCTTGCTGGGCCTGTTTGTCTGGCTTAATTTTTCACAATATGGGGCACCCGAGATGTTTATATACTACCCCGTGATCTTGATCTTTGTTACGGTGTTGATAATTTTCTTTCCTGCGCGGACTTTATTTCATAGAAGTCGAAGATGGTTTGTCTATTCGCATGTGTGTTCCACCTCCCTTTTGCCCTCTGTCCATTGCTGATGACTTATAGTGGCGTTTGCTTCTTGCTGGATTATACCCCGTGGAGTTTCGAGATTTCTTTTTGGGGGACATGTACTGTTCCCTGACATATATGACGAGCGTAGGAATATCCTTCTTCCTGGTTGCCCGCTGATCGCTAACTGAATACTCAGAATATCGAGCTATTTTTCTGCCTATACGCACATCATTGGCATAATCCAACTCAATGTAATTCGACGCATTCACGACTCCTCGGCTTCTTCTCAACTTTGCCTGGCATTTGGCGTGCCTTGCAATGCTTACGCCGTTACAAAGATACGCAGAACATGTTCCCACATCTCGTCAATTTTGGCAAATATGGCATGACAATAATGTACTATGTTACGTTGAGCATGTACCGTATCGAGGAGACCCATAGCATGCTCGCACTCTTTACCTCCTTTGCGACCGTTAATGCTATTTATTGCTGTAAGCACAACGGATCATAATTCTTGTATCGAGACTGACCTGCGCTAGCAATCTGGGATCTACTCATGGACTGGTCTTTGCTCCAACCTCATGCCAACAGGAAATACCTTCGCGAGGTACGCGGCTTTAAGAACCCGTATTGGTACTATCTAGCCATGTGCATTGACCCGATCCTCCGTTTTAATTGGATATTCTACTCCATATATACCCACGATCTCCAACACAGCACGTTGGTCAGCTTCCTCGTCGGTCTGTCCGAAGTCACTCGTCGCGGCATGTGGACCCTCTTCCGTGTCGAAAACGAACACTGTACCAACGTCGTCCTTTTCAAAGCATCCCGCGACGTTCCCCTACCCTACGTCCTCGAGACTGGCTCGCAAGAATCCTTCACCGAAGCACAACAAGGTCCAGCTCCCGAAGAAGCCGAAGCCGCCCAGCCATCCGTTTCACCCACCCTATCCCGCTATCGCAGCCGTACCAGCAGTTCCGCTCTCGAACCCCCCGGATCCCCCAGCGCATTATCCATGCGTCGGCGTCTCCAACCCATCCGGAGGTTCACAAAGATGCTGGCGGATGCCCACAGACAGGATTTCGAAAAGAAGAGGAAGCCTGGGGCGGGCGATAGTGATAATGTACAGAATCTGCGGAGGGATGGGTCGTTGGATGAGGATGGTAGGGGAGGGAGCAGTGACGAAGATGACGATCCGGAGCAGATTGAACAGGACATCTTGGATGCTGAGAACCTGCGAAGGAGGGAGAGGCAAGAAGAAGAGAGGAGGGAGAATTAGATTTGTTTGTTTGCGTTTGCGTTTTGGTTTTAATGTATAGAAGATAGATATCCAGGATAGATAAAACGTCCAAAAGTTATTCTAGAGCTAAATGTTGAATTATTTTAGTTAGAGCTGCTCTGTATGCAATCTGCCAATATATAATATTCTGGCTTCATCTAAAATTCCTCTCTCATGAATCGTAAAGTGAATATATCGCATGCTCAATACTTGGAATATAGACATGCCATTTATGTGTATCATCCACCAAACATCTTATTTTGTCCTCGAACCAGCGGTAACTCGATACCTATTCCTTATCCAGAGTCCCACATCATCCCTCTTCACGTCCGTATCCTCACAACTCGGGGAAACTGAATACCAGACAAATCAGCTGTTGTTGTGTTGTCTATCTCCCGATTTACGAATCCTGGATCCGTAAACCTGTATACATGTGTAATACATCTCGTTGAGGGAGGGATGGATGGATTGGTTTGAGAGAAAGAGGGATTAGATTATGCTTATAGAGAATCTTGAGAGGTGGGCTGTGAGTGATATGTGCAGTGGAGTACTTTCAGGAGTGGAGGATTAGATGGGAGGAGTCGAGGAGGGTGTTATAGTCTACTTATCTTGGGAGCTGTTAGTGCTAAATCTTTTTCTGAAAGTTATAGAGGGGGGAAAGAACTTGAGATTCTTTATTCACATTAAGATGTTGAATATCATACTCTAACCTGATGACCTCCTGGATGAGGCCAAGCACAGTACTGAGGTCTGCCAAATTTGAGCGGCTATCAACGGTGATTTGTTGGGGGTAGGGTGTCGAAAGGCAAGAAACAAACGGCGAGTTGATCTCTTCTCTACTAACATCTCAGTGACCTACTGAACTTGTGAGCGAGCTGCATCAATCAAAAGTCCCCAGGCCTGAGGGTTAGGAATGTCGAGATTCCGACAATGAAACAGGCATTGCTTCTATGTCGTAGTAGCACAGGATTAGATCTTCGGGCTATGAATTATAGTCTCGTAGATAGTAACATTCCTTCGAGTCCATCTCTGATCTCGTGTGCCACTACGACACAAGAAATGCCCTCGATGCTTAGCGGCGGACTCGACTATACCTAGCTAGCAGCTCCTGATGGAAAAGCCCTATAATCAACCTCGGCCAGTATTTGCTTGCGCGAGTAAAGTACAATCAGAGGTAATAAAACACGGTGGTAGAATGGATTGTTCAAAGATGGTTTTTCAAGTGAATAGGCTCTTAACGACAGTCCAATCCCCCTCAAATGCCCGGAAATATCACGTGCATAAGCGACCCCCTATTCTTCATCTAGAGTTCAGTCTTCTCATTAACGAAGTCTGTTTTGATGATTGACAGAAATCAGAAATTTCTACATTAAGTTAAGTGACTGTCACAAACTACCTCTGCCGCCACCTCTGATCTAAAGCTAAGGAAGCAAAAGCCTAAAGACCCGTACAATGGACCATCCTCTTAAACTTGGTATAGTATATATAAGCCTTGGTCTTGCCTATTTAAAGTCTTAGGTCCTGATTGTTGTTGGGAACCAGTTTTTTGATTACTCTTAGTTATTGACTAGCATCTAGATTTTAAGTCTCGGGCCCATCTTGTTTTTGTATATTAGGAAGCATCTTAGTTACGGCGTTACGTTTGACAATTCTCCATCAATAACGAACTCTGTTTTGATAATTAGTAGAAGCTATCTCCCTTAATAACGAAATCATGTCTGATAATTATGGCTCAATAACGAAGTTGGGTTTGATAATTGCCACTGTGAGTCTGTATAATGTACCTAGGTAATCTGTAGGATTGTTTTAATAATTAACGGAAACCATCTTTCAATAACGAGATCAAGTCTGATAATTATTCAATTATTGCTCAATAACAAAGTTAGCTCTGATAGTTGCCTCTCCATAGCGAAGTCGGGATAATTGATAGAAACCATCTCTTGATAACAAAGTCTGTTTTAAACAGATACTATTTAATAACGAAACCAGGGTTGATAATTAAACAAGCACTGGACTTTGGTGTTATATAACCACTCTGTATATATGAATAGGTTCAGGAAGTGCATTCTAAAAGCATGTTATTATCTGTTTTGGGGATAAAGCGAGAAGGAAAGTCAACGACATCGCCGCCGAGAGCTACGAGGTGGTTGTCAACTCTACGACAGCGAATCACAATTTAGGAACAACAACCAGATGGCTCGACGACTTCTCGGCGCCGAGACTGAGCCCTATATATATTTCTCACTTGTCCACTTGTCCACTTGTCTTCCTTCTTACAACTCAGATCTGTCTGGATCCCAAAACAAGTCAGTGCCCACCAACAGTAAGTCATCCTTCCTCTACCCCTTCCTCCTCTTGTTCTCTATTGAGACATTGAGCAACTATCTGGTTCTTGTAGTTGACTATCAACAGAGACTTCTCAGACAACCCCGACAAACCCAGCAATAGATCTAATCCTCCCTCCATCAGAACAATTCGGTGAGTGGACACTTGTCCATCTCCTCTTGTGTGACTTTGAGACACAATAGCACCAGACTGTTCATGTAGCTAACCATCATCAAACACAGATCACAATGTCTTCTGGAACCTCTGAGCCCCCGAAGCCGCTTCGTACTCGAAGCAGCACGGCTTCTATCGCTGCCAAGGCCAAAGAAGCGGATCCGAAAGCCTCGAACCCCCCTACTGCTGTTGCCGGCCCTGCTGCTGTGACAGACGACAAGATACTCTGCTGCAAGTTTATCCAGGTCACATCTACCAAGGTTCCGGATTCCAAGCAGATCGCTTTCCATGAGAACCAGCTGTACTTTTTGTGCTCTTTTTGGGCCAACAAATGCGCCAATGCCGACAATGCCCCCAGTGCCAATATCTCCTCAGCAGACTTCATCGGAGCGATCGAACTTAAGCAAATGGACGGGGAGAAGGTCGTCAAGGGCGGAACTCGTTGGTATGCAGTTTATCGCCCCGGACACAAGAATAGTAGCAAGAAAGGTGGTGGACACGGCCCTGATGGTCAATTCATGGAAATCAGCATTAAGAAAGCCGCACGCCAGCTCAAATTGGGACATATGATCGCCACTGATGCACACGCCGACTATGGAGACTGCCACTTCCATCCAGAGCAGAAGTACATTGCAAAATGGTACCATATGATGACAGACAAGGAATTGCGCGATGGTAGCAAGTTTCCGAAAGTCACCACTGGGAGCGAGCAAGTCGATGTTTGCCGTAAATGCAAGAAAAAATGCCCAGCGCAGGAAACAGAGGTGAATATCTTTACCGGCAACCTAACATGCAACCGATGTTTCAAGTGCCAGAGGTATGACTACTATACGCTCCCTAGGTCAGCTGCAGGAAAGACGGTGAGCAAGGAGAACGCCGAAGCAAAGGGTTCGAACGTCAACAAGAAGCAAATGGCGAAGCCAATCCAACAGGAAGAGTCTGACTCGGAAGAGGCCCCTGACTTGGAGAAAGAGGCCTTGGAAGAAATGGACAGGGGGATTAAGTTGATGCGGAAGGGTAAAGCTTATTTCAAAGAAGGCGCCGAGATCATGGACCAGGCTATGGAAAAGGATCTGAAGGCGAAGCAAGATATGAGAAAGAAGCTTTCAAAGAAGTAAGCTATACATATGTGGTCACTGGAAGGAATTGAGGGGCGATAAGGACCAGAGAGCACTAGATCAGGTTTTGCCTCAGTCGATCAACCAGTACCATAGGTAGTCATTCGTACTCCGTAATGACAAAATAAGATATTTTCTGCCTAAATTCAACAAGACCATGACCGCAGTCTACGGCTCCTCATAACCTCCCAAATCCCTACCGAGCCAGCGATTTGCAGACCTGCTTATGCGCGGGCCAATCTTGCTTCTGATGCTCTTTCCCACAATAAGCCACCACCCTGCAGCGAGCACATCGCGAGGTCTTCTCCATCTTCCCACACACCTTGCACGGCAGCAACTCCGTAGTCTTGGTCACGTTGACACCACCATTCCCGGGGCGTACAGAATCATCTTGGTTGCTGGCCACGGCCATCAAATCCTGGATCTGCTGCCGCGTCGTCATCTCACACGATGCCTTGGAGCAGACCGCGTTGGCGAGCACGTTGATGAAAGGATCGGCCACAATATGCAGCCAGGACATGGGAGTCAATAAGATCTTGGCGGTCGGCGATCCGCAAATCCCACATTTAGTGCTGGAGGCTGCGCGGGCTGCGGGCTCGTGCTCCTTCAGGATTGGCTGGACGGTGTCCATAAAGGTTTTGACATATTGGGCATTTTGGCTTTGGCTGGGGTCTGCGGTGACTAGACTCCGGGGGATATTGTGGGTGGCTGTGAATTTTTCCTTCTCACATTGGAACTCGAAACGGACAGGACAGGTTGCCATAATGTATGTCGGCTTGGGAAAGTCTATTTGCCGGAGCGTTGGTATTGTTTGGCCTTGGAAAGTGGATGATTTGGTTTCTGAAGAATTAAATCAGCCGTCGCCACTTTTGCCCAGGGTTCAAAGGATTAGTCAGCCACATAGAGTTGAGGCTCGTCCAATGAGCCTCAACCTTTCCAGTCCACAGATTGATAGGTCTTTGGTCACTGCCGTTCAGTTCCTGGTTCCTGAAATGCAAACTAATATGGCACATCTCTAATGTCTCAACTCTAATCACACGTCATGGACATCAGCCAAGCCCATTACCGGACGGTCCGGATCCATACATTCTTGCTTATCCGATCGCCGATATACGCAGCCTCTTTGAGTCGCGCCACATAGAAGACGAAGCCCTACATTTGAATATGCTTATTCTTTCTACTGGATCTTGATACATCAAACAGGAAAGATAGGTAAGGTAGTGGCGTATTTGTATGCGTAGACCAAAATAGCTAGCCCTACATTATCTCCAGTAGCGGCCGGCGATAAGATTGCCGAAGGAAGCTCGGACGCTAAAACGGACACGCTAAGGATCACCACGATTGTGATTGTGACGTAGAACAACAGACACCTTCATACATGATCTTACCGGCATCCAATTGCCAATGCGACTGGTCTCCGCTGATCTCGATGGGTTGTTGGTCCCCGATGCGACGAGGCTCTTCTCAAGGCTAGCACAATGCTATCCTCGGCCTTGTATGACCCCACAGCTGTTGTCATAGACGGTCCTCGCAGTCGCGCGTCTTCATGCTCAAGCACCGTCGATCCTACCACTGTCAAAGCAGACGAGAAGCCACTTATTCTCGACCAATCGGCGCTCTCAAAAAGGATTCACATTGACGACTGCCCTATCCTCAGAGCCTTCTCCCTTGCTGTCAGGGCAGGACAACATCTCAACCGCCAGCTCCTGTTTGATATCAATTGCGAACAGCAGAAACACTGGAGAGATCCTAGGGTCCAGAGACAAGGAGAATGGTTCAAAAGTGCCCAGCTGACTGTCCCACCAACCTATTACAGTACCCTTTCCCCTATTGGGACCTACATCCTCGACCAAGGCAGGCCGGCCCAGACAAGCCACGACGTACATGACGCCGATTTCCTCGTTGGCAACTGCAAAGATTTAGAGCGTTGGCTTCTTAATGGTACCGGTGACAAGCTTTTTCTCCTACGAGACTCAGAATGGCTTCACACCAGACCCGTCACCAGTGGGTCCACCATGCTGCAAGAGCTCCAGGCAAACGGCCAAAAAGAACTCCATATCGAGGTTCAACAGCTGGAGAAGATATTCCAACCAAACAAGAATTCAGTCGAAGCGTTTCCAATTCATGAAGTCATCAAGAGCTGGTCAATCAGAGATCAATCGAAGCCGCCACTCAACCTCCTTAGTCTGAAATGTATCGATGATGGGACGGTGCCGTGGCCATTGGCAAAGCACTGCAATCTCCTAAACCAAGCGGCGGCCTTCTCGGCTTCGACGGCGCACTCAGCTTTCTATGCAACGGCCGGGAAGCAGTCAATGGAGGTACTCAGCAAAGCCGTCGATTTACAATCATGCATGCATTTCCAGATCTTTGGACAGGCCGGCGCAATCTCCTCCTGGCACATGGATGCCATAGGCCCCTACACCTACATTACGTTGGAGCCGAATGTGGTGGGTCAACCAGCTGATCACGTATTGAAGCTATGGGCTTACGTGCGGACGGACAACCTCACAGAAGAAGAGAGGGACAAGGTCAGAGCCGACTTCAAGCGGCATGGCGAGGGCTTCCGGCCGAATCCGCAGCACCTCCGAGTCATATCCCTAGTCGCGGGGGACACGTTGATCATGCCTCCCGGCACCATTCACGCCCCGATTACCATAACGGATTGCCTGTTCCGCGGCGGAATGGTGATGCAGAAAAAGGAGATGCGACGCAGCATACGCGCCTGGCGCTACTGCTCGGAGAACGGCCACTGCACCAACGAAGATCAACCGCGGCAGACCCGCAGCATCCTTGATTTCTTCCGCATGCAAGTCAAAGCCGACCCGGTCGCATGCGGCTACATTGGCAAAGATGCCGCGGCGGAGTTCGACGAGGACTGGAGGAAGATCGCGGGCGAGTCGCTGGTGTGCCGCTGCAAAGGTAGCTGCTACAAGAGGAGGTGCGGATGCTTCAATAGCACCCAGCGCTGTGGTAGTAAGTGCCATGGAGGTACGGCGAAGTGTGATAATCCGCATGGATGCGAGGCAGGTGTCTTATGACATTTTCGGGGACAGTGTCAATGTATTGAACTGAGTCTTGTACATATTACGATGACGGGAATGACCACACGGTTCTTGGTTGCTTTATGGGAAGGAGTAAGGATAAAATTCGAACCCGGTGGATCTCAGGGTCCTGTTAATAATGCGGACTGCTTTGAGTATTCAGACGATATACTTGTGATAGGTTCGAGATGGGTGAGTAGCCTATTCGGTTCGATAAGCCATATCCAAGCTTCAAACCACACTCAAGCTTCAAGCTTGTATGCACGTCACTTACCTAGCTTTTGCTGTAGCAGGGTCCATTGCGTTGCGCCAGTACAAGAATAGATATCAGCCTAGAATTGGTTATTCTGTACGCAATTTGAGGATTTCTATTGAACCTCTACTCTTATACCCTATGCTCCCAGATTTGCACTATAGAAGCAGAACATCTACTTTCCACTGCTCCTCGATAACAAGCGACAGGTGGACTTTAGTTTCACCGAGTTGAGGTCATATCGCTCGCAAAACCAAGGAGAGGCCCCAAGACCCATGATCAAGTAAGGTAAGCATCAGGAAACACACTTCGAGTCTGGATACGTCTATATATATACGTATATATACACATTATTTTGCATAATAAGAAATCATATTTACCCCGCATTACCATTTTCTCTTACAATCCCCTTGCGATAGGTGGTATCACGTGATCGCTCGCCTCCGAGATGGTGAAATCATTCCCTTGTAATAACATCATTTTAGTCCAGTTTTATACGAACCTGGCTTCTACGCACCAGCTCCGCAAGATGGCTCTGCGCACTCCTATATATGTCATGCAAATGCCAATGGACCGAGAGCGAGTGCTCAAGGCCATTGTCTCTTCTCTTTCACCACCGTCTCTGCTTCTTCGCCGGCCATGTCAGATCTCCCGGCAAAGAACCCCTATGGGCCCGTTGAAGGGCTGGCGGGGGAGCAATATGTCGCGCCGCAGGCAATTATCGATCCTGAGAGCGGGGTGCGGCGAGGCCTCAAGACGCGCCATCTCAGTATGATGGCTCTGGCAGGAATTATCGGTCCAGGACTGCTGGTTGGCTCGGGAGGTGCGCTCTCAAGTGGAGGGCCCGCGTCGCTCTTGATTGGTTTTGGGGTCATTGGGATCATAGCCTTCAGCATCATGCAGTCGTTAGGAGAGGTCACGACGCTCTATCCCAGTGGAGGGGCTTTTACGGCGTTGGCGGATCGGTTTGTGGATAAGGGGTTTGGCGTTGCGGTCGGATGGAATTATTTCATTATCTGGGCTGCGGTGCTGGCTAATGAGTACAATACCATCTCGGCCATCTTTGTCTTCTGGAGCGACAAAGTGCCGTTATGGGGATATTTCCTCCTCTTCTGGTTTGCCTTCCTGGCCTTCCAACTCTTGGGCGTGGAAGCGTTTGGAGAGGCTGAGTTCTGGCTTGCGTAAGATCACGCTCCCATTACCCCCCTAATTCTGTTCTCCCGCTGACTTATCCAAGGCTTGTCAAACTTGGAGGCCTTGTTGCTTACTTCATTTTCTCAATTGTCTACGCAGCCGGCGGGCTCCACGGCCAGAAACATGCCTTGGGCTTCCACTACTGGCACGATCCCGGCGCCTTCGCCGACGGTTTCCGCGGGGTAGCAAAAGTCTTTGTATTCTGTTCTACTTTCTACGCGGGCTGCGAATCCGTGGCCGTTGCCGCCACCGAGACCCGGAACCCTGGGCGTGCAGTGCCGCTTGCAATCCGTCAAGTCTTCTGGCGGATCATCTTCATCTACATGGGCTCCGCCTTCTTCTTCGGCCTGACCTGTCCCGCGAACGCAGCTGGTCTCGTTAGCGGCACCAGCAAGGCGTTGAAATCCCCAATGACGATCGCGATCCAGAACGCCGGGTGGTATGGTGGGGTTCATCTCATCAATGCCTTTATCTTCATAACCTGCCTCTCTGCAGTCAATAGCTCCATCTACATCGGCTCCCGCACCGTCCTATTTATGGCGCAAGAAGGCAAAGCCCCCCGCTTCCTGGGCTTTACTGACAGTCGAGGTGTCCCCGTCTACGCCATCATCTTCACGAACCTCTTCGGCGCCCTCTCCATGATGAATGTCAGCACCGGCGCAGGCGCCGCTTACAACTACATCGTCAACCTCTCCGGCGTCTCCACCTTCCTCGTCTGGGGCTCCATCTCATTCATCCACATCCGCTTCCGACGCGCCTGGTCAGCACAGGGCCGCTCCGTCGATGAACTCCCCTTCAAATCCCTCTGGTACCCGTGGAATGCATATTTCGGCCTGGCGGCGAATGCCTTCCTAGCATTAGTTCAAGGCTGGACCACCCTGTCACCCTTTGATGCGGGGAATTTCGTCGATGCGTATATACTCCTCCCGCTCTTCCCAGTCGTCTGGCTGGTATATAAATTCTTCTTCAAAACACGTTACTGGCGGCTGGATGAGATCGATCTGGATATCGGTAGGAGAGTGGATGTGGATGCGTCCCTTGATGATGCGTATCTTTCGGGGCTCGAAACAACGGATATAAAACGCCCGCTGTGGCGAAGGGTCATTAGGAATGTTTAGTAGATTGCTTCCTTTGAGATGAGATAGGAGCTGAAAAATATAAAAATCTGTATCCATACACTGCATTGCTTGCATCTCGTAGGCCTATCCTATCCCTGAAGTAGAATCTGGCTTAAAAAGCGGAAGTGAGAAAAGCGTACCACGTGCTTAACCATGCCATTCAAAATCAACACAGCAGCAATAACCTCTAATAAACAATAAAAGAACATCCCAGGTTCCCGATCCCTCTCTAGATATATCAAAATAAATCAGCAATGCGGCAAAAGCACGTATCCTGTACTAATACTATATGTCTACAGTCTATTATATAAAACACCTTCCAAATCATCATCTATATTGTCTAAAGAAAGATGAATGAATGCTAAGTGAGATGATCCTCATGGATAAACCAAGGTATGGAGGAGGGCAGTAGATTCATGATTCTAGAAGATGAGATGTGTTTGTTTCCATTCCAAGATTTACAGATCCTGGGAACCGGGAACATTCTAGCCCAACCCAAAATCAATACCTTAGTTTGCTTTTGAGCACCTCCTCCTACGTAGTAACATCCATATTAAACCAATCCAACCAATCCAGCTCACTTCTCTCATCAATCTGAAAGCCCAGTGAGTGATTTCCAAACTCCTCTCCTGAATTATTAATAGTCTGCACTATCTGATCATCCGACATGGCCGAGAACTGAATCGGTTCCAAGACATGACCTTCTGGTTGTTTTGGGACTATTTGGTTCCGAGGTGGCATTGTGATTGCTTGTTCGCCGCGGAGGGTATCCTTCGTTCCTCCGATTACATTACGAAGATGTCTTCCGTATATAGCAGAGATTCCTTTTCGATGGGGCGGGATAGTACCGATCCTCTCCAGCACATCAGCGGTTTCCTCGATCAGGATCCTGATGCTAGGCGCGAGGCGTTGGTTTGAGGTGCTGCCCATGGTGCTCAGGCGGAAACAAATCATCGCTGCAAAAGATCTGGACCTTGCGTTAGTGAGTAAGTCCGGGAACTGAATTTGGGGTAGACATGCATCATAATCACGGTGTTGTTGGGCATGGATTTCAAGCGGCTTTCTCCTTGAACTGCTGCTCGCATTACGTTTAGAGCGGATGAGAGGCTGGCGGAGCGGAAGAATCGCTTCACGTGAATTGGAGCGGTAGGGTGATTGATCACACTGCTGTAAATAGATAGTCTGCCATGCGTTACCAATATCTCGACGTAAGGGGGTATGTTTCCTATCACCAATCAGTCTAGAATCAGGTGGTTGCGGAGCAAATCTACCCTTGTCTCCTCCGATGGCAAATGCCCATGTGGCATACCAGCGGGTGAAGAAGCCTTCTATCATTTCCTGCAGGATTGAAGAGGTAATCTCAATATTGTGGTGACATTTGTCTTTGATAGTGGTTATTAGATTAACCTACAACTGAGTTAGCCATTTTTATAGATAACTCTGTCACGCTCTAGGATAACGTACCAGGTCTCGTCTCAAAACTGTCGAGGATATGATAGAGCCATCCCAGATGTCAGCCAGGTCAGATTTGTGCCATTCATCGCAGGACTCGATGAGCGGCGTAACCGGGACAGTATAACTTCTCCCTCGAGCCAGACAAACACTGCCGTCTAGCATTAGCAGCCTGATCTTGCGAGCACAGGAATGAACCCACCCTCTATCCAGAACAAATAGAGCAAGCCAAACCCTCTCCCTGCACCTCAATAATCTCCTCCCCAAGGCCGAAGATGGAGCAATATGTTGGAAACCATCAAGATCCAAAGCTTTTCTGGCCGCGATACACTCTGATTGTGCTATCTGTGGAGGAACGACTTTAGAATTACTAAAGGAGGGAACAATGACCTTGTCAAGAGAAATATCAATAGCTATCGTCAGCGCCGAAGCCATGAACGAACAAGTCTCATCATCTGACCAGTGTTTTCCGGGAGACATCCACGGAATGTTAATCATGAAAGCCAGCACAATCTCTGGTGAGCGATACCTATTCATAGTAACGTGACGGGCTAGGAACCTGCAGTGCGTTGACAGTCTTCGTGACAGAGCTGGGGTTGATGGCATGAACAGAGCAGAAGCAGCTAATATAGATGTGAAAAGAAAAGCGGATCGGCTTCGAACAAAAGTAGGAGTGTGAAGCAATCGATCCAGACCCCATCTGGTGTGTGACAGGTTCTGGTAAAAGCTGAGGAGTAAGGATCAACAAAGTTCTACACAATTCTCGGAATTTACTTACTAGTTAAACAGCATATCGGTCTCCTCCAGATTTACTAGACCCATATCTACTGGATCAATATCTTCTCCAAGATCCAAATTCGCCCGAATTGGACCGAAAAACGTTTGCAGGTCATATTGCCGACCAATGTCCTGACGTAAGATCTGAGCGGAGGGAAGGATATTGGGGGCATACGTTTGCGGAACCGAAGGGACGGAAAGATCTGATGCCCTGGCGAGAAGCTGAAGTGGGTTTTCCGCATCGTCAACAGAGTAGTTATCATCCGAAACAATATTACTCTCAACCCACGACACTGACCGTTGGCTCCGATTCTGGGCTTCCGGTGCTTGTATCTGTAAGGGGGGAGTGGCATCTGGTGATACCGTCACCGACGCTGCATCACCCTCAGACTCTCTAGGGAGAATCTCCCTCGCCTCCCTCAAAAGACTCTGCAAACGAGAAATGTCTTTCCCATCCCCCCTCCTAATCCTTGACTTCTTAATCGCCTGCTCAATACAAAATACGGCCTTATCCAAGCCCTCCCGTTTACTATCCCAAGTCAGGGTTTTCCAGAACGCCGAGACATCGTGATTCGTGACTTACTTCTTGATACCCTTTTTCCGTCCCACGCGGTAATCCGGAATTACACACTCGGCAGCTGTTTGTATACACCGCCTACATGTCGTATCCCCTGCTTTCCGAATACATCGCGTCTTGCTCCTTCGGCAATTGAGACACGCAGCCTGCTTCACGGCGCTGCTTGCCGGTTGAGCGGTTGGCTGGGCGGTTGGCGGGGTTTTGTCGTCCATGTCCTGAAAGGCGGTCCTGGCCACATCTCAGTCATAATTCTGCATGTGTTCATCGCATTGAAAGTTTCATGAGAGATGTAGAGAATTGGAACGTTGCACTTGAGAGTCGAGACTCGATAGGATGTTTGATGTGGTCCCAAGTTATTTTTGGGATCGTGGAGCCCCGCTTTTTGGAAACCCCGCAATCGCTTAAATAAGGTATGAGGCTATTGCCCCCCTTATTCTCTTATGTTAGCTATGCATCGGTGGACCGCAAGAGAGTATGATTTAAGTCCTTTATTATTACTGTCTCTGTCACAATTACCGTCTAATTCTCTATAAAACTTCCATCTCAACTTCTTAAAGGTCTCCGCGAAAACACATTCCTATTCCACCCATCCTCCATTATCCTGGTCTCCCTAACCAGCTCATATCCCCCAAGCTTCGGAAGGATTACCGCCCACACGAGCCAGTATATCGCCCCCACAACAAAGATGCCAATTCCGACAACGCAATGAAGGAAATAAGGGAGATGTTGATATACATTCTGTCCGGCGTCGGGAGGCACGAAGGGCGCGGCGACGAGATAAATGTTTGAGAGGAAGAAGAAGATGGTTATGGGGAGAGTGGCTCGGAAGGGAGGTGCCCATGTGCTGGGGGTGCGGTCGGGGGAGAAGGGGTGTAGGTATAGCCAAATGAGGGCCGCGGCGACGAAAACGTTGATTACCGCTAGAGGGTAGGAGATTACACTATGGGGGAATAAAAGTTAGAAGTTGGTACAAGACCGGAGGACGGGATAGATAGCTTACTTGAGGATGAAATTGTATGCATCGCCAGGAGGAGGGGCAAGCATGATGATGACCGACACACACCAATGTTCGAAGAGGCCCATAAACGGAGCATTCAACGGCCTGTTGCTAGCCCACAACCTTGAGAATGGGATAATTCCTTCCCGGCCAATTTCTTGCACCACTGTTGGTCAGGTCAGCGCCGGTTTTGAAGAAGGGACGGACGTTATGTTCTTACATCTACCCTGAGAAAAGATGACGCTCAAGACGTTTCCGAACGCAGATAGCGCCACGAAGACAGAAAGAACACGTTCTGCCCTTGGACCAAAGATATTTCTGAAAAATGACGCCGCCAGAATACGCCCAGAGCTGACAATATCTTCCTTTGGCACGGCTGCGAAGTATGCGATCTACCAAAACAATGAGCAATTAAATTCAGAGGAAGAGCAATGAATTACTAACATTGACCAGCATGTAGAGGATAGAAACTAAGACAATCGCGGCTGGGGCAGACCTCTTGAGCGTTCGGACGGGGTTCTTCACTTCAGAAAGAGCATAATTGGCATTGCTGTACCCAATGTAGCTCCAGATAACGTTGTATAGTGCGGTAACCACTCCGTATCTTCGTGGGTCAGAACATTGACTCCTGTGACAAGAATTGATAGATCACTTACGCGCTCCCCGTGGTACCAGCAAAAGCATCGGTAAAGTTATGCGGCTTTTCAATCCGAAGATGGCCACCTAGAGCAACCTGGGAGGAAGGTTAGCTAAGAAACAGGCGCCTACATCTAACGATACTCACAAATCCACAGATTATGATCAAGATCAGAATCAGAAGTTTGACAATGCCGAGGAAATTCTGCAGCCTCAGTCCCCAATTCAAAGCCAAGCCGTGAATGAGAAAAGCGCTGGTAATACAAGCAAGTCCCACACCCCTCTGATTCCAACGATTGACCTCCACGTTTGCCGCATTGAGGATATACTCCCCAAAAATGACCGAGTTGCTCCCGGCCCACCCAAGCAGCACCACATATGCCGCGTACATGCCCGTGACCAAGAACCGCGGCCGGCGAAACACGTATTCGAGATAGTTCTTCTCACCGCCGTTACGCGGGATACCGGTCCCGAATTCCATGTACACGAACATTCCGGCGAAGGCTATCAGCATCCCGCACACCCACATCATGAGTGAGAGCCCGACAGAGCCGGAGAGAGAGAGGATCTCGCTGGGCGTAGCGAAGATCCCGGTCCCGACCATGCGGTTGAAGATGAGGAAGACAGCGGAGATGTATCCCACCTGCCGACGGTCAGAGCTGGTGGTGTAATCGCCGTCATCTGTGCAGTTGCGTGTCAGTAATAGCTGCGAGAGGATATAGGATGGGGAGTTTATGATGTATGATGTAAGATGTAAGATGCAAGATGCAGGATGCAGGATGCAAGAGAGAAGATACCTTCGTTATCAGGGGAACCAAGGGCTTCCTCAAGTGTGGGATCCTTCTGCCTTGGGTCTGCTGGAGAAACGATATTTGAAAGGGGGGGTTCTAGTTCTCGTTCAACGGTGACAATCGAGAGGTCGTCCTGGCCGGCAAACTGCTTCCCCTGAAGCCCAGGCATGACTGGCTATTGGATAGATAGCGAGCCTTGTGCTAGTGGTTCGATTGAGAAGATGAAAAGATAGACTCGAGGGGATAATACGGGGTAACGCTGGCGAACACTCGGCGAGGCGTCGAATCCCATTCCCAGAACAGATCTGCATCGGAGAAAAGCCAGCAGGCGCCATGCCATGACTTTTATCCGACCGGCCCTTCCCTCGTCGCATATTGCGAATCTTCTGTCTGGAAGACGTGATCCCAGTGACGTTCATGAGGCCGAAAATACGAGCCAAAGTGTGGATTCGTTCGGTCATGGAAAGCCGCAATGGTCACTAGTAGGTTGGCGGGCGCGTCAGCCCTATCACACGGACCGAACCGTCTCAATGTCGTGATATTTGGCGCGCCGACAGGAGACACCTTTGCTTCGGGATAGGGCCGGCTTAGGCTCCAAGGAGCGGTTAATGAGACGTCCATGTTGCTATGGTCCTTAGGTTACCAAGGATTCGCTCTCTGCGACTGGGGGACCCCGGAAAAAGTGAAAATTCAGACGCGTTAGTTAGCAAGACCAGCCAAGAAAATGGAGGAAACTGACCACTGTCTGAGCTTGGGAACAGGCAGGCATCTTGAGCATCAAACATCAAAATCAAATCCTTCGGGCCATTCTCTGCTTCCGGGGTTCCAAACTTCCAAAGGCTCCGTGGATAACCGAGACCGCAAGGGACGAAAATGTGAGAGGTAATAAGTAAGTGTCAATCAATAGGTAATATAGAGCTTCTGTCTAGAGCCTCTGCCGCTGGATTATCGTCCTATGCTAGCATGTCACGGATGTGCCATCCAACTAACCAACGCCGTGTACCCTAGATTTCCTATAACGCCAGGCCATGCCATAATCCCGTGGTATCTATCATCTCCAACTACCTTGCTCAATCCAGCAACCATGCCCTGCGCTTTTCTTCCTTCTTCGCTTTCCTCTTCTCCTTGTGCCTCTTCAGCTCCGCTTTCGTCAGCTTCTTGCCGCTCCGTTCCTCCTTCAGACTCCGTCCGTCGTGGCTGTTGGCCGCGGCATCCACGTCAAAGAACGCGTTCATTTGCCTCTTGCTCTTGTTCTCGTCGCTGAATCTCTCAGGTGTGAGGTCTGCATTTTGAAACCGGCCAGTAAAGCGATTGAATGCTGCTGTTGCTGCGTAGGCCTCCGCAGGATCTGTAGATGGCCCAGCTGTCTCCTCCGGTACTGCAGGTTGCGCATACCATGCTGTTGGGTCGTAGTCGCCATGAATAGCAGGATTGTAGCCACCTGCCACCCGCATCGCGTCCGTCTGAGAGGCGGATGCTTCAACACCAGGAGCTCCAGGGTTTGGGGCATCGGGTACTCGAGGGTTGTTCCATTGGGTTGCCCCTGTGAAGCGATTGTAGAAATAGAACGCTTGAGCCGTTTGGTCCCAGATGGGCGCCCAGCCGTCATCTTCCTCGGTCGCAGCTGGAGGTGCCTCCTCAGGGAGTGGCGGGATCGATTCTTCTGGGAGCGGCGGTGCCCCATCGTCGCCCGATGCCTCACTCACCCCATTATGTTCCTTGGTGGTATCTGCATCACCCGTAGAGGCGGTGGCCTTATCTGCATTCCCTGATTCCTTTGTAGATGCATCAGCAGCCTCAGAAGGCTCGGTGTATTCTCCCTCCTCAGTAACGTCTGCGGAAACGGCGTCTTGCTCTTTCTTTGAAGCTTCCGAGGGAGCTAAATTCTTGTTTTTCGTATCTTCATTCGGTGAGGATGCCATTGTGCGATAACTCTATTGCGCGGATAGTCCGCGAGTTGTAACAAAGGAAATAAATGTGCGCTGCAAAGAGTGGGTAGATATTACGTTGCAAGGAACGAAATCGAAGTCTGGGGTTGATGGGCGCTGATCAGTTTTTGGAGAAATGCGCCAAAGTCGATTGGGGTAAGGCTCACGTGATGATGCCTCCCGCCCATCCCCATCTGGCACAGAGAGACTTCAGGATCCCGCGAGAGAAGTCTTCTATAGAAGCATTCTAAACTGCTTGCTTTTACTTTACTAATACACTATTTACAAGACTTAAGAGCAACTTCTGCCTTCCTCAGAGCTTCATTTGCCAGTTTAAACTCCTCGCCTCCATTGGAGTCCACTGGTCTATCCGTCGTCTGAGTGAGGGCGTTTCCAACAGCACTTTCAACCTCCCTCACTGCTTTCCTCCCCTCTTCTCTGACTTCCCCCTCCCAAAACTTCCTGGCTGTCTCCCACTTCTTTTGCATCCTCTTCAGGCTCCAGACGATGCCCAATGCAGCAATGGCACCAGCCTCGTATACAGTAGTAGATAACGTGGAGATGTACATCAGCCCCGCCAATGCGCTAGTGAATGTTGAGGTTGTTAAAGTTTGGAGAACGAGCTTCTGTGCCAAGGCCTGAAGCGCGGGAACGCTCTCTACAGACAGGAATGTCCTGGCCGCAGGGATGTGGAGGGGCCAAGGCTTTGGTGGACTCTTGACTGGCACATCATCGTTCGGCAATCCAACTAGATCTTGGATTTTAGGAGGCGGAGGTCCTGAGCCAACCCACTCTTCGGATATAGGTTTGTATGCCCAGTTGATTTTGGCTGGCACAGAATTCTCCTTGAACAGCCCTGATTCCTCTAGCCGTCCAGCAAAGAATATGATCTCCTTCTCAGCCTCGATCAAGAATCTCTGGCTAAGGATATCGTACGCTATCATGGAGACATCATCAACCCGCCAGAAAAGTTTCCACCAACCCAGCTTCCTCCATCTTTGGCCACCAAAGGCAATGTCTAGTTGATCTCGGAGCTCGGTATGCGAACGTTCGGCCCATTGAGCGAGTCCGACGCGGAGGGAATCGAGTTTTGAAGCTGATACCTTGTCCACGAGTACTGCGTTTAGCTGGCGTGATTGCTCGGCTTCGATTGCGAGAGTAGCATTGCGAAGGATGGACTCAATCAAGTTCTTTAATGGCATTTTCATGGTTCCTTCTGTCCGGGAGGTCCCAGTTTTCAGCCACTCTGATATGGCTGGCAATCCAGACTTGTACCAATTTCGTTCGTATTCCAAAGAATTGTCAACGCTTTCACGGAAGAGCTCCAGAGCCTTAGATCCCGTTGCAATATCGACAATATGAAAGGGGAGGCCCGCGTCGTCACTCTCTATGCGGAGATCCACTGCTGTTCCAATGATATCTCGTTCGACATCAATGGGTTGGGAGATCAACGAAGCAGCCCCCACTATGCCATCTGCAACCACCAATGCTTTGTGAACTGGTGTCGTAACTGGTGTGTATCTCCCAGTACTCGAGGTAGGAATCTCCATGGTTGGAACCAAAGCCGCACTCTCCAATCCCTCCTCCCCAGGTGCAGCATCCATCGAAGGCGGGTCCATCTCCAGCACCAGAATCTCCAACCCGTGACCATTGAGCGTCGGCGATGAAACATGCAACTCCTCCACCAGCCTATTATTCTGCGCAAGCTCATCCGCTCCACTGTCGATCCTCAGAAGCAGAGGCCTGCCACTCGGTCCGTCCCTCGTCAACCTTCGTTCCCATTCCTCCTCGTCCTTCAGCGGGTCGGCGACAACCAGGCGCAGGAGTTCCTTGGCCTTCTTCAGCGAAGCCCCTCCATCCGCAATGCCCAGTACCGCGACCCGGATCGTCTCCTCGCCCGGACTTTGCTCCAGCCCGCGCAGCGCGAGCTGTAAACGAGAGATGTTGACGTAGGGACCGGCATGCTTCTGCAGATCCAGCAACGCGTCTCGAAGCTCAATTCGCGGTTCCTTCGGTATATATCTCACTCCACTGTCTGCAGCCGGTATGCTAGAAACATCAGATTGCTGGCGAACTTGAAGCCCATGCTGTGAGGGCTGCGCGGGCTGCGATAGCCGGGTACGTCTGACGGGGGATACGCGACGCAGAGAGCGCGAAAGGGAGCAGAATAGACATATTTGTGAATTCCGGGAAGTGGGTGATATTCGAGGCAATCCAATTGCCAGCCTCGATAATCGCGGAGGCATTGTGATCCTCGAGGATGGAAGCTAAGGTGAGCTGGGGAAAAGTTGATGTAGAAGTGTTCATGCCTGATTTACGCCTTGGTAATTCGGCAGCCGCGGGATATGTGAGGAGCAAGGCTATGGGAGGCAAGGCTACAGCTTGGTTCACACCAGACCAGCACATTATGTTCACCTGCTTTTATTATGCTATGACTTATTTAGTCCGAGCCCTCCAAAAGCTCTATCTAATTCATCGCCCTCTCTACTCGGAGCCACAACCGGCGTATGCTGGAGACTCGATGCATCAGCACTTGACACACCAGCATCCATGAGGTTCTTCTGGGACATTTCTGATCCCCCAGCAGCTCCAGTCGAGGAAGATTTCTTTTCGGGTTCCAATATCCGAGCATCGCTATCCAGCCAGCCGGGAGCCACCCTGCGCTTCTCCGCCAGCTCTCGGGCATCTATGGCATCCTGCCAGGCCTTCAGCTCTCTATCTGCATCATCTTGAACCTTCTGTATATATGCCTGCAGTGCTTTACATGATGCAATTATCTCATCGGGATGTGCTGCGTGGCCGGACGATGAGACAACATATTGCGGCTTCCCTTCGCTAGAAGAGGATGATGTCCCGGTTGACGATGGCGGCAACGTGGATGGAATGGTCTTGTACATATAGGGGAGCGTAGTGGCGGTGGGAAGAGAAACAAACGGCGAGACCGTCAAGGGAACCTGTGCTAGAAGCGGGTGTGGACCTGTGTCCTTGGTCAGTATGTGGGAGCCAACAGCAGAGAGCGAGGAACGTACGATTATCATGCATCTTTGAGGCGTGTACAGTCGGGATTGTCCTACTTGGATCCTCCCTGAAGATGTTTTTGTATGAAGGCCCTGGATAGAATATAACAGTCGGGACGCGGAGTTGATGCCTCTTGAAGACACTACTCTGTGCTGTAAAATGCAACTGATTGGCGTCGATACTGCGCGGCTTTGGAGAGGACCTCGGAGATTCAGCCTCGTAGCCTTGATGCCTTAGGCCAGCGCGGGGCCCGGACGAAATCCTCCCAGATCCCACACGCGAACACCGACTTTGGCGACCGCCGTAGCGTCAGTCAGGTTAAGGCCATCCAGCTCGCCGCCCTCAACATCAAATCCACCAGCTCAGCCCTGCTCTGCACCACCCCTCGCCGACGATATCCATGATATCCACGAGTTTCACGACCTCCTGTTCTTCCACAGCTCTGTCTCCCTCTGGCCTCTCTCTGCGCATAAACGACCTCTAATCGCCGCGCGACAAGACACACATCGCCCCTTTACCTAGCCTTGACGGCATCTGGGCGTGTGCTCACGATCTATCCCTCGACGACCGCCTGCCACCTCTGGATAATCACCCTCGGCGCTTTCTCTCTAGACACAGACTCTTCTCCGCGCGTTGTGGCCCCTAAATTGAGAGCCGCTACACAACACCAGGAGCAGTGAGCTCGTTTTCCATCCCCGCTCACGTCCATGGAAGGAGAGGAGAACCCAGTTGTGCCTGATGGCAATGTTGGGGTCAAGGTCCAGGTCGATAATGCTATCCGGGCCATTAATCAAAAGAAGCCGGTCCCCGAGATCGACTTCACCCTTCATACCATGGAAGATGGCACCCAAGTGAGCACATTGGAGAGAGTATGCAAAGGTACGAGTCCTCCTTTCGAGCGCATGCTCTTTCCGTGTATCGCGCTGACAATGGCTGCCACCAGATGTGCAAGCACCTGCCATGCACCCCCCGACAGATGAGCAGTTCTTCTCCAGTCAAGATCCTACAAAGCCCGATCTTGCATTTCTCAAGCAACACTTCTACCGGGAGGGACGACTGACGGAAGAGCAAGCGCTATTCATCATCGAGGAGGGCACCAAGGTGTTGAGGCAGGAACCCAATCTCCTAGAGATGGATGCGCCCATCACAGTCTGCGGCGACGTTCATGGCCAATACTACGATCTGATGAAGCTATTCGAAGTTGGCGGCGACCCTGCGGAGACGAGATATCTCTTCTTGGGAGATTACGTCGATCGGGGATACTTCAGTATTGAGTGCGTGCTGTACTTGTGGTCGTTGAAGATCTGGTATCCAAACACTTTGTGGCTTCTTCGGGGCAATCACGAGTGTAGACATTTGACGGATTACTTCACATTCAAGCTGGAGTGCAAACACAAGTATTCCGAGAAGATCTACGACGCGTGCATGGACTCTTTCTGCGCGCTCCCCTTGGCGGCTGTTATGAACAAGCAATTCCTGTGCATTCACGGTGGCTTGAGCCCCGAGTTACATACCCTTGATGACTTGAAGAACGTACGTATTCTGCAAAGGGAGTTGGAACTCTGCTAACCTTGTATAGATTGATCGATTCCGCGAACCGCCCACACAGGGCTTAATGTGTGACATTCTCTGGGCCGATCCTCTGGAGGAATTCGGCCAAGAGAAGACGTCGGAGTATTTCGTCCATAACCATGTCCGAGGTTGCTCTTACTTCTTCTCGTACCCCGCGGCGTGCAATTTCCTAGAAAAGAACAACCTCCTCTCGGTCATTCGAGCGCACGAGGCCCAAGATGCTGGATACCGGATGTATCGCAAGACTCGCACGACCGGATTCCCCAGTGTCATGACGATCTTCTCGGCTCCCAACTATCTCGACGTCTACAACAACAAAGCCGCGGTCCTCAAGTACGAGAATAATGTCATGAACATCCGACAGTTCAACTGCACCCCGCACCCTTACTGGCTGCCTAATTTCATGGATGTCTTCACCTGGTCTCTTCCCTTCGTTGGTGAGAAGATCACCGACATGTTGATCGCGATCCTGAGCACGTGTTCCGAGGACGAACTCAAGGATGATATGACACCCTCTTCAATCGGGTCGTCCGGTGCGATCTCGCCGCCGACAAGCAATGCAATGGATCCAGAATCGATCGAGTACAAGAGGAAAGCTATCAAGAACAAGATCCTGGCCATCGGCCGGCTGTCGCGCGTGTTCCAGGTGCTGAGAGAGGAATCGGAGAGCGTCACGGAACTGAAGACGGCCTCGGGTGGGAGACTGCCTGCGGGGACGTTGATGCTGGGAGCCGAGGGGATCAAGAATGCAATCAGCAGTTTCGAGGATGCACGAAAGGTTGACCTGCAGAACGAGAGGCTGCCGCCAACTTCGGAGGAGGTCACGAGACAGAGTGAGGAGGGCAGAGCGCAGGCGTTGGAGAGGGCCAGTAGGGAGGCGGAGAATGACAAGGGGTTACAACTGCTCTCGCGACGGCTGAGCACGTAAGTTCATGAAGCATGGATGCCGCCTGGCCGGGTCTCACTGACGCGCCACAGGGATCGCAAGAGGTAACGGGCAGAGGTGAAGGGGCACATGGTATCAGAATCAGGGTGATTAGCAGCGAGAAGACCGTGGGACAGGCCCGGCCTCCCGTTAAAGAATCGAGCGAATATGAGAGAGATCTGCTCTTGTCCAAACAGAACTGGTTCCTTATTATTTCCTGCCTGCACCATCGTCCTCGATGGCCATGATGGATCGAGGCAATATAGCATACCCCCCTTCCGATGCCAAAGACAGCAAACGCCTATCCGAAGCAGCAGAACCGCATGATGTTCATGAATCATAACAGAATTACAACCCCCGAGCGGCACCCCTTGGATTATTTTTTCTTTTTTTCTTGTCTTTCTTCCCTTGTCGAGTCACCAGAAAGGAAGCGTTTTTCGTGATTGACCGTACTGCACACCCGCTCTTCGCTGTATCGCAACAAACAAAAAACAAGAGAGACAGACAGCCCCATGCATTCCGAGTCCTCGCTCACTCACTCCATCCCTCAACTCACGTCCCATCAACCCCCACCCCATCCCTCTCCTGTTTCCTCCCCCTCTCCCCGTCGCCCTCGGCCGCTTCTTTCCCGTCCCCGTCTTTTCCTCTCTCCCCTTCCCCATCGTCCTTCTTCTTCTCCCTCACCCCCCTCACATCCATGATGAGATCGCGCAACCACGCGTTCTCCGTTTCCAGCTCGCGCACCCGCCCCTCCAGCACCCGCAGCTTCTCGCGCTTCTCCTGCGCGTTCCGCTCGAGGCTCTGCTCGCGCGCCTTCTTCTTGGCGCGGAACCGCGCACTAGCCGCCGTGTTCCGGAGTCTGCGAGTCGGTGGAAGATGTTAGTTCTTCTTTCTCTCTTCCAGCTGGGGATCTTGATCTTGATTCGGCAGACAGGACAGATAGGGGCAAAGGAAACAAGACAACGCACCGCTTCAAATCGGCCTCGTCATGGGAATGCTGCGGTTCCGACCCGCTCGATGTTACGGACGTCGCGTACTGCTGCGGCGGGTACGCATTCATAAACGGAGGGCCCCGCGGCGGCGGCGGGGGCGACGACGACGGCGAGCCGTGGTATGGCGGTGCTTGCATGGCGGGCAGCGGGTCGTGTCTCTGGGGGTGTTGGTGGTGGTGGTGGTGGCCCTGGTGGGCTTCGAAGGCGGGCGGTGCCCAGTAGGAGGAAGCTGGGCGGGATGGGTCAGTCTGGGGCTGTTCTCTGGTCTGCTTCTGCGTCTCGAGATGTGTTCTTGATATATGCTGCATAGGTTCAACGCAGGGAACGAGTGAGAGAGTTGAGAGAAAACACCAACGAACACCAGGCTCAGCTCACGCCGCTTGGCCAACGAGGAGAAATGAGGATATAATATCGATGCTTATCTCTCTCTCCCTCGCTCTCTTTGCTCTTCTCACTCTCCTCCACTCCCGCACCCCCCCTCCCGGCATTTATCTCCATCAGCCGTCTCAGAAGCTGGAGATGCGCCCGTCGATCAATGCACGTCAGGGGAAAGGGGCGTCACGTGGGATGGCGAATGCAGACACGGGACATGACGCCTTCGAGGGAGGGACGCTATGCCGAGTTGGGCGGGGGAGGAGTTTCCTGTTTGGGCAGGGGAGATGCGGTGTGATGGGGGATGAGGCAGGTGCGGTGTGTTGTGTTGTGTTGATATGTTGATTGTTGATGTGTTGATGCGTTGATGCGGGTGTTTCGATGTGTTGGGCGTTGTGAGATGGATAAGGTAGATCCATAGATGCCTCAGGTCCCCCCTTTTCTCTGCACTCGCAGTCACCATCTCCTCTCCTCTCTCATCTCCATCCTCTGTGTGTGATTGAGTGAGTGACTTACACTTGTAATCCACTCCCTTCCACCTCAACTTCCCTCAACTTCCCTCAACTCAACACCACCTCGCCCTCTCCAAGAAAACCAAAGAACATGAAAAACAAGTCAAAACAACAATTACACCAACAACAACATACAACAACACGTACCTCGAGCAGCCCCCGGAGCTACGTGCTGTTGTCCCCTCTCATAACTCGCCAGGTCCGCCAGCACATCAAGTTCATAACCCGTTGGTGGCGGTGGCCGCTGCATCATCTCTCTCCCTTAGACTCGCTTCATTCCCTTTTTTCTTTCCTTCTTCTCCTGGTGTTTTGGATGCGTGCGTGCGTGCGTGTTTGCTTGTTCTCGAAAACCTTTCTCGAAAACTGAATGATATACATATACATACCTACGTACATATACATATATTTATATATATACCTTAGAGCACCCGCCTCTAACACAAAGCCGCAAACAACCCCAGCCTCCGCGGCGCTCCTCCCTTTCCCATCTCGATGATTGGTCGTGCGGACCTGAAGCTCGTAGGTAGCATTGACTTGCCTACAGCGGTTAGAGCTGGAGGGGTGGTGGGGGTGGTGGGGGGTGCGTAGGTGAGGGTCTGGGGATCGAGGGATGATGGTGTCATTTCGATGGAGGGCGGAGGCTCGGAGCTGGCTAGGTAGGTAGGGGTATGGATATATTATTACTTTATACTGAATTTGGTTCTGCAGATCATAGAAAGACTCAATCAATCATTATCAAAACAAGAATTCCATCTCCCTCTTCTTTCTTCCCAGACTCTCCTCTCTTCTATGGTATAAGTCGTATCACGACTTCGGTCTTCTATTCCCGCCAGGGAAAAGGGGGTTGGAGGAGAGATCTCATCCTCTCTCTCTTTCTGTCTGCTATCTCACAAACTAATTACTTGATATTCACTTTCTGAGGTCCTACCATACTATATCATACCTAAGGTAGGTATATATCATAATATCACATCACCCCATCTCCCTCCCATCCAACCAGTATCCTCTCCTTAGCCTCCTCCAACTTCCTCTGTACGAACACCTCCATACCCTCCCTCTCTTCTCTCCCCAACAACTTCAACCTACCCATAAACCCACCTCCATCATTTTCATCACCAAAGAATTTCCTATCCAGCCAATTCCAAAACACCCCGTCAAAAGCCCAGCTCTTGCGCGCTGCATAATTCACCCAGAAAGCCCCGCTCTCCCAGCTCTCTCGCATACGCGTGGACAACAACATTTGGGAATCCCCTGATATGCCTCTCTCCCTTTCATCTTTCTCCCTCCCCTCCCTCTCCCTCTCCTCCAGCACTCGCAGAAACGTTCCAAGTCGCCGTTCATACGTCGTCGCCCAGTCCTCAAGACCCCGTGTCCAATACTCGGGCATCTCAAGCAGGAGCCACCACGGCGGACTATAAGTAAACTCGACCGGAGCCGCATACGTGAATTCCCAATCGAGCACAGCCACGATCTGGAACTCAGCATTGACGAGCACGTTAGCCGGACGGAGATCATCGCAGAACAGTCTAAAGGGCCCAGCTTCTAGATCGTGCTCCCCTGATAATCGCGATTGCGAAGCGAGCTTGCGGAATAACTGTCGCGCGATGTACTTGGAACGGCAATCGTCCGCGGATTCGATCGCGTCGTTGTGTTGAGTTGAGAGATGCTCAAGATGCATGTCTGCGAGTGCAGAATAGTAAGTGGAAGATGTAGAGAAGGTTCCTGATGGTAATCTAGCACGGGGGAAATTGCCGAGCTGGACAAGCTCGTTCATGTTGAGTGTGAGTGGACGCTTAGTGATAGTCCATCTGTCGTCGTCGTCGTCGTCGTCGTCGTCGGTCTCAACAAGAGATCCGATTCGCGGAAAGGCGCATTTGGAAAGCTGTAGTAGGATATCTGCCATCTGGCTATACACAAACTCAAGCCTTTCCTCAGATATGTTAGGATCCAAAACAGGCCTATCCTGGAGGCCAAGACCGGGGGTATTCAAGACGTCCACAAGATCATGCGCATGTTCGACATACTCCATGATAATAAACGGGCCCAGCCCACGCGGACTCTCATCCGTCATCCCATAATGGAGCACGAACGGCACGGGGATTGAGGTGTGGTGCTTAATATACCGCATCACAGCTACTTCAGCGCGCACTTTCTCCTCGGGAAACATCACGACCCCAGGACACGGGAACCGTATCAAGGCCGATCCCCCATCGCGAAAGCGCATCCGGAGACAGACGTTGAAAGCGCCTCGGATCGGCGCGTAGAGCTCTTCTGGGACTCCGCCGCGATGCTGGGCTATGAGTTGACCGATTTCTCGGAGTGTGTCGGCGTCGTAGAGTTGCTTCTTCCAGGTGTCGAATGTCGTGTCGCTCTTCTCCCACGCGACGTCGTCGTATGGCATACGAGTGCGCATGTTTGTCCTGACGCCTGGGAGGGCTGTTTGAAATGGAGTTGAAGGAGCTGTAGAGTCTGGTCTGGAGATGTGTGGTAGGTGTTTTGAAACTGTGAACCGGAGAAAGAGTCGAAGGAATCAATCAGTCACCCCCTCCATGTCTCTCTCTCCTCCTCCTATCCCACACAACCTACCTACATATACCTGCATCGCCCGCCAGGTCCTACATTATCCACACTATCCACAGACACAGAAAGCAAACAAGCCGAAAACAAAATAATATAGAATAAAATAACATAAAACAGGATATAGCACAAACCTCCTAGTCCCAGTGGAGCCCCCGCTAATCCCCCGTCTCGGTCCGAGCCGTCAGCTAGTCCTAGTACGGCCCATTTTAGAGATTCCACGATACATTCTCTCTTTCCACACATCCTGCCAGAAGAAAGAGATTGTAATATGGAGTTGCTCTGAGGAAGTAGGGGAGCGGAGAGGGATAGTCGGTTCAGGATTTCTTTGTGTTTCTCCTACTGATTTCCTCACTCAGCAATAGCTTGGACGGCGAGTATTGTAATATTCTATTAATAAATTAAGAGGAGAAGAGGATGAATGATGGATGATAGCTGGAGATATACCTTCTTCTACCTTCAACATCTTATCCATATATATCATATCGTAGAATAGAATATCCATGCCAAATAGGTTATTCATAGATTCGCTCAAATCTCAACTCTACCCCCCCTTGTTCGCCTACACTATCATACACAGCACAAGATAGATTCAAAAGATAAAACGATGCGAATCTTGAGAATAACTAATTCATTAATTTGTTCTATATTATTGAGAAATCGGATTTGTCTTCATTTAATAGAAGGTTAGGTATTGTATGTAGCCTGAAATAAAAAGGGATCAAATTACAACCCCCCCCCCCCTTTTCCCTAAAAGAAAACAGGCGGGAGAACTAAATCAACCCCACATGATCCACGATCCACAAGCCATTCCTCATCAATCCACCTCTTTTACACACATACATACAGACATATTGTCAAACAGCAGGGTCAATTACCACCGGGATACAGAACCTGTTCCCCTAATTACTAACTGACCCTTGATTAATATACAGGGATCGATCCCTTACACCCTGTTTAATAGTTTATAGTGTTGTTAGGATTTAGGCACTTAGGCACATACATACCCTGTTTATAGCGGATACAGCGCCTATACATGTAAATAGTAACCCCTTTTTTAAGTATATAGAGTAGGGGACTACCCTTTGTTCTATTTAATTTAGTTTAATTTAATCTACTTCTAACTAACTTAAATTCGCCTGTTATTACTACCTTTATACTATAATATAACCTTAATTATTTAACAGTTATAAGCCTAGGTTACTTTAATAGCTATTCGGTTATTTTGATATAAATCAACTTATCGACTAATTAGCGCTTAGATTACCGAGCCTGTCTAATATAAAACGACTTTTTAGCTAATTAGAGCGCTCAGATTACAGAGCCTCTTAAAACAGCGTTAAAAAGGATTAATCTAACTCCTTTAGCATTCCTTTAACTACTTAGTTCTAAACTCTACTAACAGCTGTTTAAAACTACTACTAATAGTAGAATCACACCTAATTTCGACTGTTTTAGTAGTACTTACTACCTAGTAGAAGTACGTTAACTACTCCTTTACTCTTTAGTAATAAGAGTCGCCTTTACCTCTTCTGTTTACCTCTTCTTTTAACACATACTTCTACTAACTAATACTAGTAATATGCCTAGTAATATACCGGTTCTAAATAGATCTAAAGAATAAGATTACTAGATAAAAGTCATTAAATCTAAAGCGCTAGGTACTAGAGTTTAGATATATATTAACCTAGACACTACAAAAGTAGAACTCCTTATTCTAGTAGAGCTAAGCCTCCTAGATCCTTTAGATATTAAAGGAGTCCTTAAAGATAGCTTAAGAGTTACTTACGCTATACTAATAGACGATAAGAAAGAATAATATCGTATCTACTAAAGGTATTACTCTAAACACTAAAGAGAGTATAAGTGCCTAGCTTAATTAGTTAGAGACATACGCTCTCTAATTACTAGATTAGTAAAGAGAGAATACGTTAAATACATTAATACTAAGGATATAGTGTATAAGATCCTAGTAGATCTTTAGTAAAAAGTTATACCTTCTAATAAAGTTAAACAAGATCTCTTTCTATAAGATCTAACTAACGCTAGTATGTTACTAAGAAGAGGACAGTTAGTTATAGCCTAGGTAAAACGCTTTAAGTCTACTTACTTAGCTTGTTTAGTTAACAAGATACTAGAGGTGTCTAGTAATAGACTAATTAAGGCCTTTATTAACGGCTTAGAAGAAGTTAATCTATACTTTGTTAAGATAGTACGCTATAAGTTACTTAGGAAAGAGGTAATAACGTTTAAAGAGGTATTAGATAAGTTTAAACTTAACCTTAAGAGCTAAAAAGATATTAGAGTGTCTAGATCTAGACACTATAGCGCCTTCTTAACTACAGACGCTATACTTAGTAGAAGGGGTAGTAGTAGTAGTAATAGTAATAACAACAAGCTAAAGTGTGTCTATAGTAGCTACTATAACTACTATAACTACTATTACTTAATACTAACCTAACGTCCTAATTAGTAGAAACTAAGAAAGGATGTCTAAAAGAAGATTAACGACTAATTAAACACTAATAGTAAACTTAAAGCTACTATTAAGTTAATTAAGAGGTAGAAAGAAGGTAGTAAAGGTAAGAAGTAAGGTAATAGCTATAAAGGAATTATAAAGGACAAGGAGAAAAAAGTCCTTAAGGCTTTTACTATAGACTTCTTTATATCTATATCTAAAGCTTTTTAAGCTAACTTTAGCTACTCTATTTTAGTGTTAACTCTAGTAATTCTAGTAGCCTACTCGGTCTAATTACTCTCCTTTAGGCCTACCTATCCCCTTAAGAATAGCTTTATCTTAGACTTAAGAGTAATAGTTTATGTTTATAATAAGTAAGTAAGGTTCTATAACATTCGGCCTATATTACTAAGGAGCGTACTTATTACTAGTAAAGACTATATCTAAATTAAGGCTTTTAGAGATGTTAGGATCTAACTACAAGGCCTAAAAGGCTAGTTTAGTATAGATCTTAAGAGCGTAGCCCTAGTCCCTTTCTTTTATACTAGTATAGTATCTTTGTATAAGATAATTAAGAAAAGAGTCTACTAGAATACAAAAGAAAACCGCCTTACCTGTTAAAACAATACCTTTTATTATACCTTAGTTAGGTTTAACTAATAGGTATTAGAATATAACAGTACTACTACTAGATCTACCTTCTTAACTATTTAAGAACCTTCTTTTATTAAGAGTACTTCTAGTTTAAATGTTTCTACTATTGTTATCTCTATACCTGTTGTCCTTATATCTGTTTCTACATCTATTTCTATACCTAAACTAATTAAATATAAGCTATAACTAGTAGTAACAGTTGTATTAACTGTCGAATTAACAGCTGTTTTAGCGGCCTTTCTGGCTAACTTATACCTACTAAGAACACTATTAAAAGCGTTAGTTAAACTCTAGTATAAACGGATAGGGTACCTACATATAAAAGTAATCTAACGCCTAACTACTAGTACTAAAGGAGTTAAGTTAGTACCTAAGGATTAGTACCTAATCTTACTATATAAGGTTTACTATCTAGTAAACGCTAAACAGATTATATCTAGAGCTCTTGTTAAGTATATAGACAAACTGTTTACTAGGATCTACTTAGATCTTATTTAAATGTACCTAACAGACTCTAAAGAGGTATATATCCTTTACTTTCTTAATAATCTTACTAAAATAAGCTTTGTATATATCCTTATAACTAAACAAGGCTCCTTAGCTACTATACAACACTTTGTTTCCTTAATTAAAAGACACTTTAACGCTAAAGTCTACTAGATTAAGCTTAATAGAGAAACGTCTCTTAAAAGGGATTTTAATAATTAGGTAAAGGTAAAAGGCTTTATTATTAAACAATTAGTACTACGTATAGTAGCCTAAAATAGGCTAATTAAAAGATCTAGAGGAGTACTCCTTAGTAGAGTAAGAGTACTAAAAATAAGATCTAACTTACTATTAAAGCTATAGCCTAAACTAATAAAAACAGCTAGATACCTAGTAAACAGATCTCTTATTACTTCTTTAGGCTAGAAAACACTATATAAGTATCTCTACTACTCTAAACTAAACCTCTCTTACCTCTACGCCTTTAGCTATAAAGCCTACGCCCTAATTAAAAACATAGTACGCCTAGATAAGCTAGAACTAAGAGCTTTTGTTAGATACCTAGTAAGATATAATTCTACTAACATATTTAGGGTCTAGATTCTAGCTAGAAACAGGGTAATATTAGCTAGAGACGTTATATTTAACAAAATACAAAGGTACTAGCCCTAAGATAAACAGGACACTACTAAAGAAGTAATTAAAGCTATTAAAATACTAGTAATTAGTAAATACAACTAGTAAATTAAAGAAGAAGACGATCCTTTTAATCCTCTTGTTAAGAACAGTAATAGCGTGCCGCTTAATCTACTAGTAGATCTAACAGATCTTATAATAACAATAGATCTAACTAATCCTATTATAACTCTTATAATAATAAGGAACCCCTTAGCTAAGGAAGTAGAAAAGGGGACTAGAACTTACTACTTATATGCCTAGAGAACTACCTCTACTAACTTAACAAATCTATTAGTACTATAGGCTCTTAACCCTCTTTTAACACTAAGAGCTTTACTTGTTCTAACAACTCTTTCTTATCTACTTGTTGACTTAAGTAAAACCGTAACTAGGGATATTAATAAGGTTATAACAAGGGATATAAATAAGGATATACTAGAGAGGTAGCTAGAGGATAAAACCTAATAGAGGGTCTAGTAGTGTAGATCTAACTCTACTAGTCTTAATCTAGCTAATATACTTCTAATAAGAATAAGGAATAAAAGAGTAAGAAAAGAAGCTTACGCTATCTAAATAAAACAAATTAGAGCCTATAGTAGCTTTTATACTACCTTTTAAACAAGAATAAAGTACGCTAAAAGAAAGATCTATAGAACAGAACTACTAGGCGTCCCTAATAACTAAAAAGAGCTTTAAAACTACTAATATAAGGATAAATTTATAGTAGTAGTAAATAAGGAGTATAAGGATCTTAAAAGACGTAAGACCTTTAAGACTGTTCTAAAGAGCACATCTAAAGGATTAGCTATCCTAGTTAAGTAAGTGTTTATATATAAATTTAATACTAATAGCTTCTTAGACAAATTTAAAGTAAGACTTATAGTTAGAAGAGATCTTTAACATCTAACTAGCTAAGACAATTACACTACTACTCTAGCGTTACAAGTGTTTAAAGGTTTAATAGTAATAGTAGGCTACTTTAATCTAGAGATCTACTAGCTTAACGCTATAAATGCCTTTACTAATAGTAATATAGACAAGACTATCTATATTAAATATCTTAAGGGTTTTAATAACTTAGAGTATATTCTCCTCTTTCTTAAAGCTCTTTATAGGCTACGCCGTTCCCCTCTCTTATAGTATACCTACTTTACTAAAATACTAGCTAAGTTTAGCCTATATCTAGTTTTAGAGGCCGAGTATCTTTATATAAATAAATACCTTATTGTCTTCTTTTATATAGACGATATTACTATCTTAGTAAGAAAGAAAGATTAATAATACCTTTAAAACTTTAAATAAAACCTGTTTAATAGCTATAAGATACGTAATATAAGAGAATTAAAGTAGTTCTTAGGTATTAGGGTAACTAGAGACAGATCTACTAGAAGATTATAGCTTAGTTAAGACTCTTATATTAAGTTAATTACTTTAACCTTCTACCTAAAAGATAAGAAAGTACTTCTTACACTACTAGAAAGTACGCTACTTATCCTAAATATAAGACAGGCTTTCCCTTAAGAGATCTATAGCTACTAACGTAAGGTAGGATCTATTCTTTATACTATAGTTGTCACTAGGCTAGACACTATTAGATTAGCTAACAAACTATCTAAGTTCCTTACTAACCTATCCTAAGAGTACTAAAGAGTAGTAGATAGAGTAATCTAATATCTTTATAGAACCTAATACTTAGAGATCTAATTTAGAGGTAGTAATAGAGGCTCTAAAGCTTTTACTTACACTAGTAATACTATATATACTAATAATCTAGAGACCTAGAAGAGTACTAAAGGATACGTGTTCTATCTGTTTAGAGGACCTATTAACTAGAAATTAACTAAACAAAAGACAGTTACTATATTAAGTATAGAGGCTAAGTTATTAGCTCTCTTCTATACTATAAAGGATCTTTACTAGTAGCGACGCTTCTTTACTAAGATTACTCTAGAACTACATAAAGAGTTTACTATTAATGTAGATAACGCCTAAACTATCTGCCTTATGTAATTAGGAACTCTACGCCTAGTTACTAAGCTTAAGCATATAGATATCTATTAACACTAGCTACACTAAGAAGTAACTAAAGAGAGACTTAGTCTATAGTAGCTGTTAACCTATAACATACTAGTAGATAGGTTAACTAAGGCCTTACTACGCTAAAAACACATTAAATTTATTAAATTACTTAATCTAGTAGATATTAAGACCTTAAACCTAAACGACAACTAGCCTACAGATTAGGGCAGTTAAACACTCTTTATTTAAGTAGAAAACCCTTTTGTTTAACTACTAAATACCTAGAACTAGCTATTACGCTAGTCTAAAGGTAATTCTTACTTAAACGATTAAGTAAGAGTTCTAGGATCTAGTTCTTATCTTAAGCTTGATTTCCTATTTAGGAAGTCTACTTTTTGTACTGTATTTCTTATTTAGGAAGTCTACTCCTTTTTTTCTTAGAGATTTAACTGTTTTTATAGTTATATTCTTTAGTTCTATTTATTTCTACTACTTGCTTAACCTTATTACTTAATATGTCTCGCTACTTAGAGTACTAGGAGTCCTTAAGGTTCTTAAGGAGCTTTAGGACTTAAACGTTAAGCTCTTTTTAATCAAGTGCCTACTATTACGTACTTTCCTTAATTCTTTAACCTTCTACTTAAGAAGAGAGCCGTACTAGTAAGTACTAGTATACCTTTAGGTATAGGAATAGCTTTATTATTACCTAATTAGGGAGAGAGCTAGGGAGAGAGCCGTACTAGTACTTGGCTCTCTAGTCAAGTCTAGAATCGGCTTAATCCTTAAGGGGGTATGTTAAACAGTAGGGTTAATTACTACCGGGATACAGAACCTGTTCCCCTAATTACTAACTAACCCTTAATTAATATATAGGGATCGATCCCTTGTACCCTGTTTAATAGTTTATAGTGTTGTTAGGATTTAGGTACTTAGGCATATACATACCTTGTTTATAGCGGATATAGCGCCTATACATGTAAATAGTAACCCCTTTTTTAAGTATATAGAGTAGGGGACTACCCTCTGTTCTATTTAATTTAGTTTAATTTAATCTACTTCTAACTAACTTGAATTCGCCTGTTATTACTACCTTTATACTGTGATATAACCTCAATTATTTGACACATATGTTACCTATCTCCATACCAAACGACAACATCCCATCCCATCATTTATCATAAGGTACCTATATATTGATGCGCCGATATCCCAGGCATCCAAGACACCCGGCCCCTAACTAACCCCCGATCCGAAGCACGCAATCCATCACCCGGATGAAACCACCCACGGCGATGGCATCATCGCGACGCGCCCGGGGAGCGGGTTTTCACAATTCGGGAACTTGCTTTTTTATCATTGGCACCGTTCCGCATCTGGGACAGATATGGATGGTCAGGGGGATGGATTAGCAATCAGGGAGGCGTGTGAGGTGAGGTGAGGTGAGCTGCTGATGGGGATTTGTATCTTTGATGGATGGATGGATGGATGGATTCTTGGAGTTTGTTTGTATTGTTTGGGTTCTTGGGGAGAGAGTTTGTGGTTTTATCTATTCACCTTATCTATTCATCTATTCATCTATCTATCTATCTATCTATCTATTCATCCATCCATCTATCGATTATCGACTTGGTTGCTTTGTTCAAGCTGCTTTCAAGTGCATGATTCGTGGTCGGGACAGGGAGAGCTGGTACGAGGTGAAGAGTGAAGTAAGTAGCACGCACCCCCCAAGACATCGATGCATTCAGCACTTCACCACGGTTCCTGACTGAGATCCAGTCCCATCGATGAAGGATATGATCAAATATATGATACTCTAGATCCATTCCCATCAGCACCCACCATGATCCCGACCGCATCTCTCGACCACGCGGCAACGCAACCGCTCCTCTCTCCCTCGCCCTCCTCCTCCTCCATCACGCCCTCCGACGAGACCGAAGGCCAGATCAAACTCACCCGCCATATCGAGGACACCGTCCTGCCCGAGACCCTCCCCCAGGGCCGCAACCTCTCATGGAGCAGCGCGTACATTCTCGTCATCTCGCGCGTCATCGGCAGCGGCATCTTCGCGACGCCCGGCTCCATCGTCGCCAGCGCCGGCAGCGTCGGCCTCGCCATGCTGCTCTGGGTCGGCGGCGCCCTGATCGCCGCCTGTGCCATGGTCGTCGGGCTCGAGTACGGCTGCATGCTGCCGCGCTCTGGCGGCGACAAGGTCTACCTCGAGTTCACGTACCAGCACCCGCGCTTCTTCGCGTCGACCCTGATCGCCGTGCAGGCGGTGCTCCTCGGTTTCACCGCGAGCAACTGCATCGTCTTTGGCGAGTACGTATTGTTCGCTCTCCGCATCGAGCCCTCCGAGTTCTCGCAGAAGGCGCTGGCGCTGGGCCTGCTCACGGCCATCACCATCGTCCATGGATGTTTCCTGAAGACGGGCATCCGCATCCAGAATCTCCTGGGCTGGGTCAAGGTCGGGCTGATGCTGTTCATGGCGCTGACTGGCCTATATGTTGTGCTGTTCCGGGTCAGGACCCCTGAGGGTCAACCCGCAGAGCAGATCCTCTCGTGGGACGGCTTGTGGAAGGACTCGAACTGGGGATGGGGCACGCTATCTACGGCCGTGTTTAAAGTCTCGTATTCCTATGCCGGCATCCAAAATGTGAACAACGTCCTCAACGAGGTGAAAAACCCCGTGCGGACACTGAAGACCGTCGCGCCAGCGGCTCTTCTCACAGCCTGCTTGCTATATTTGTTAGTGAACTTTGCATACTTCTCAGTGGTGCCCTTGGCAGAGGTAAAGCAGAGCGGAGAGCTCATCGCGGCTCTTTTCTTCGAGAGAGTGTTCGGGAAGAGTTTCGGAAGGACTGTCCTACCGCTGGCAATAGCAGTCTCGGCCGCTGGGAATGTGATGGTTGTCACATTCACACTGGTATGATCCACTCCATCTCCCCAGAGGACCAAGCTGACGTCCACTAGGCCCGAGTCAACCAGGAGATTGCCCGTCAAGGCTTCCTTCCCTTCTCCCGCCTGTTCTCCTCGTCGAAACCGTTCGGTGCCCCAATGGGTGGTCTAATCGTTCACTACATCCCCTCTCTACTAGTCATTGCGATCCCGCCTCGGGGCGATGTCTACAATTTTATCCTAGACGTTGAAGGATATCCGGGTCAATTCGCTGCACTCGCAACATCATTCGGTCTTCTCTTGCTGAGGAAGAAACGGCCGGACCTTCAGAGGCCATACAAAGCCTGGCTGCCGGCAGTCTGGCTACGCATTGCCATCTGTTTGGCCTTGGTTGCAGCCCCTTTCTTCCCGCCCAAAGATGGGAAGGCCGATGTGGGCTTCTTCTACGCGACATATGCCATTGTCGGGATCGGGATGTGAGTTACGCAGGCGTACTTCCTTGAATGATTGCTGACTGCTGTAGTATCTCGTTTGCGATATTGTATTGGTACCTGGCGTTCGTGGCGATCCCGCGCTGGTATGGCTATAGAGTGGAGGAAGAGACGGAAGTCTTGAGTGATGGAACTAGCATCACGAGGCTTGTTAATGTAAAGAATGAATGATCAGATGATATCATGCAAAGGGGTTTGGTTTGGGATAGAAATCTAGCAATTTGGATGTGTTTGGAACCAGCAGAAGGGCGTTCAGAGGTGCTTTAGATAGAAGGCCACACTTGGGAACCTATCGTTTTTTCGCCTTGCTGTAGGCAAATGGGGATAATATATTTATAAGTGAAATAGGAACATGATAATCAATCTGATGTCTTACCATCACTGTGTATATGTACAGTTGGTTCAGCATTTTTCAACGGAGGGGAGGAAACGAGGGGAAGAAAACCACAAGGCCACATTAACCCAATTTGGGTTAGCGCACTATTGTTTTATTGGATGAAATGTAGCCCTTCTGGTTATTCCTAAATTTCTTCAGCCTTGCGACGCGAAGGACTCTTTCGAGCTCCTCAACAGTCTCAGCCTCTCTCAAAGCAGCCCTTCAGATTCATTGTAATCACCCATCCGAGCTCTTCTTCTCCTCCTATCATTTGGTATTACTCAATCTCTACCGCCAATCCCTTGACAATGCCTCCTACCACCATCCACACACCGCCAGCCCTCGATTCCTTCACATCTCTTACCGAGCATCAGTCTCAAACCCCCGCAAGTTTCTACAGCGCCAAGCCGGTTCTCCATTATCATGCTGTGGGTGTACGCGCGCTTGCATCCCGCAATCATGTCTCGAAGCTTCCAGTATTCCCCCAGATCGCGGATGGCCAGGCGGCACCCCAAGAGGCTGGCGGGGCGGGTACAGATACCGAGGGCGATGCCAGCGGTGCCGCGGCTGTAGCAGTGGTAGAAGCTTTTGTCAACTCCGAGTAAGCCCACTATCACAGCCTCGTGATGCCTTGTCTACCCATAGCTAATGCATACTTCCCCATAGGAATCTGACCCTCTTCAACCGCACCACCTCTACCGGCGTTTCAATCCCCTACCCAGCGATCTCCCTCCATGCGATCCAAAGACTTGACGACCCTGCAAACCCGTCTCAGCAAGTTCAAGGACTATACATGCAACTGGAGTTGTCAGATCCATTTGAAGCCGATGAAGATGATGATGCCGATGTTGTCGAACTGACCTTGATTCCGGAATCCCCTGCTGCGGAGGGAACCCCGACAACATCAGAAGTGCAGACCATGTTTGAAGCAGTTTCTAATTGTTCCAACCTCCACCCGGACCCCGCGTTTGAAGAGGACACGGAGATGGAGGAGAGCGGGGGCGATAGTAGGATCATCTTCGAGGGGAATGTGGGGTATGAAGGGATTAGCGGACTTCCTGGAGTCCAGAGAGGTGCTACAGATGGTGGCCTCCCTCCACCATTTCCTGGCAGTGGCGGGTGGATTACCGCCGAAAACGTGTCAGAATACTTTGATGCGGAAGGGAATTGGATTGGCGGGGGTGAGGCTTTAGGAGAAGGCGCTGGCAGAGTAAGAACACGGGACGAGGCTGACGGAGACGGGGTCAACGGACATGGCGAGGAAGAAACCGATGATAATAAACGTCCTCGGACGGACTAACGCCCTGATTGATTTTGACCGTCTTATATGCTATGGGCTCAATCTTACAAGTGTCTGACACAGGCATACAAGGACGAGACTTCAATGACATTGGATATGCGGGATCGTAGTCAGAGCACAACCCCAGCCTAAGGTGCCGTGCTGTGCGACAACTTGCATCGCGCTGAAATCAAAGCTAGCAAGAGGAAGAGATAGAAACGACGGCAATGGGGTATCGTATCACAAAAGCTTGGCATTATGGGGAAATCCCGATTACTCTCAACAGTCGTCAAGCATTCGAACTGGCCATGATTGATTCCCTGCAGCCTTACCATTAGTCAATCAAGAGAAACCAACCTAACCCGCCTTTCTCAACGGATGTGCAGTCACAATCTCTCGCGTCCTTTTGGATCCTGAGACTACTAAGTGTTGAAGAATGGCAAGCAGTCTATACTTTTTTATGAGAGTTCAAGGACTTGTCAGTATCTGTGCTATGGATGAAAATATCACAAGCATAGCTTCTGCCCCGCTCTCCCGAGTGGTTGAACTTCGCTCTTGAGTCCGTTAACGAACCCAATTCCAATTCTGCCCTACCGTCCCATTATTCGAAGAATGTCTTTATGATTTATCTCAAACCAAACCCTGATCAGTTGCAATACATCAAGCGGTGATCATCCAGATGACTCCACATCTGGCATACCGAGTCGACGAAGCTGGTGCGGAGTCGGGGCGAGGTAGCGAATTGAAGACTCAATCCTCAAAAGATATCCCGCAGCTTGGTAGGCTTTGTGGCCTCCACGACGATCAAAATCTATCTACGATAGATTGCATTCAGATGCTTCATTATATCCTCCATTTTCGTTATTCTAGGCCCGTTCTTCTCTGCCATCAGTGTGTATGCACCATCTTTGTCCAGGCCGTATCTGATTGTGCCGGACAGTGGCTCACTACCTTCCTCCCTACATGGAACGTGGGCACCCATCTTGGCCCCGCTTCAAGTTCAGAAGAACATATTCTCGTGATCGTCGGAGCCGCTTTAGGGATAATTATACTCTTGCGTACGTCTAAACCTGGCTTGTTCAAATATCCGTTGGATACTGATGCAGGGATTGCTTTCATCTTCATGTGATTCCATGTCTTGACCAGATTCTCATATACTGCGCTGACTGCATAATTCTTGATACCTCATTCTCAATATCCATAATCAGCTACCTATTTCTTCGATCCCAACCTAACTCCGGCAGCATTGTTTGAGATACAGAAGAAGCAGAGAAAGTCAACTTCTCCATCTCCCAGATGACACATGGTCTTTTTCTCCTGGCTTTCTTTGATCATATCGGATCACATCAACAATTTAGGTAGATATTCCTTCCAGATTTCTGATCTCAGCAATCTTAGCTAAGCACCTCCTTGCTTCGTGACGGGCGTTGCCGCATAGTCTCGGACTGGTCGTCGAGCTATCGGCTAACGCGGCGGGATCTACGGGATTTAATCAGTGGGTCGTGGAGAACTCTCTGATAATCCGATTCCTGGCGGTCTTCAATGATCGGTAATGGGTTCCATGAACCTCCGACTTTGAGGTTCGGAGGGATGGTTACAGACCCAACGGCATGTTTTATACGCATATTCGGCAGAGGCTGAGACTCTCACTCGAACGGTCGTTGTCCAATTACCTGGGAGAATAGTTGAGCGGCTTTCAGCTGTTCAGCAGTTCAGCTCCACTCTTGAAACGTCCGCGTTACCAGGGTTGCCAGGCTAACGACGAAGATACGAAGCTGACGGCTCTTAAAAAGACGAACTCACATGTTCACTCTCTTGGATAGTTATTCATATTTAAAGACAGAGATTCTTGATTCCTGATTCTCGCTTTGAAGTTTTAAGTTTGCACGGCTCTTCTTCAACTCGCAGACTTAGCCTCTAGCTCTACCCCACAAGAAAGCAACAAGGCTGCCAACAAGGCTGCAAGGCTAGCATCCAACATGAACATCCTACACAAAGCGCAAGCCGGTCTTGAAAGCCTGGAGGAGGGAATAAAGAATGCCTTGGGCAAAGGCGAAGAAAAGCACTCGCACACCCACCTTGGGACGCACTGCGATCATCTGCACACGGGCACGGAAAACCGGTTCCATAGTTTCGCGCCCCAGCGGGCCGAGAACGAGGCCAAGTGGTTCGTGGACGGCTGCGGCTACATGTGGGCCGTGTCGGTGGCGCTCGAGGAGGCAAAAGAGAGCATCTGGATCCTCGATTGGTGGTTGAGTCCCGAGCTGTACCTGCGCCGGCCGCCGTCGGTAAACCACCAGTACCGCTTGGATCGGATGCTGTTTGCGGCGGCGGACCGGGGCGTCAAGGTCAATATCATTGTGTACAAGGAGGTGGCGAGTGTTCTGACATGTGAGTTGAAATCTGGTGTTCCTGGCACGGTGAGATCCTGCATGTTGGAGTAGTGCTGATGTCCGGAAGTGTCCTCGGAGCATACCAAGAAGGCATTGGAGGTCCCGGAACATCCAAACATCAAGGTATTCCGGCATCCAGAGCATGTTGTAGACGGAGATATCCTTGAATCAGCCGTACTTTCGGATCTTAAAAAATTATCTCTCAAGGATTTTGACCTAAGTCAGCTCCCAGAAGACGCCTTGAAGAAGCTGTATGGGTTAGACAACGACGCTATTCTATACTGGGCTCATCACGAGAAACTATGTCTTATAGATGGGAAGATTGCGTTCATGGGCGGCTTGGACCTATGTTTCGGACGTTGGGACACGAACCAACACCCCATTGCCGATGCTCATCCCATGGATATCCACGCGGTCCTTTTCCCTGGACAGGATTACAACAATGCTCGCGTCTATGACTTTGAGGATGTCAAGGATTATAACCAGAACAAGCTGGATCGAACAGTTAGCTCCCGAATGGGCTGGTCGGATTTGTCGCTATGCATCCGCGGCCCGATGGTCGAGGATCTCTGCGCCCACTTTGTTCAGAGGTGGAACTTCATTTACAATGAGAAATATGCCGCTGATGAGAAATATCAAGCTCTCTCCTTGACGGAAGCACAGGTTCCAGATGGATACTATACGCTCGATGGGAAGAATGTCAATACTGCTAAGGGGGGTTCGGATCCTTCACGGCATAGCTTGCTTCACATGCCGCTGAGAGGTAATACGAAGGGCAAAGTCCACACAGACCCTACTCCAAGTGCAGACAAGAACTCATCTGGAATATCCGTTCAGCTTGTCAGGAGCTGTACCGAATGGAGTAACGGCGTCCCTACAGAAGTGAGTGAAGGTGATCAAATGAATCGTTATCATGCTGACCCCAATAGCACTCGGTTGCCAATGCATACATCCAAGTGATTCACGACAGTCAGCACTTTGTCTACATCGAGAATCAGTTCTTCATCACCGCTACCTCCGATGAGCAACATCCAGTCAAGAACAAGGTCGGAGCTGCCATCGTAGAGCGTATTTTCCGGGCCCACAATGCCGGCGAAACGTACAAGGTCATCGTCTGCATTCCCTCCGTTCCTGGCTTTGCCGGTGACCTGCATGCTGAGGAGTCTCTTGGAACCCGAGCCATCATGGAATACCAGTATAATTCCATCTGCAGAGGGGATCATAGCATCATCGGGGCCTTGAAGAAAGCCGGGGTTGCCGAGCCAGAGAAATACATCCGCTTCTATAACCTGAGGAACTACGACCGCATCAAAGCCGACGAGACCATGTCCAAGGTTGAGAAGGCCAGCGGAGTCACCTACGGGGACGCCGCAAAGGAGCATGATGATATCGTAGGAGCGGGCTACGCCGGCGAGGGCTTTGGCACTGGAGCCGTGAGCGGCCAGCCAAACGCCAACTTGGACGGATATCAAGAGGCCGCGTCCCAGATCCTCAGCCGCGATGGGACCAAGTATGACAGCGTCAGCGCGTGCTACATGGAGGGCGGCCCGTCCCTCGAAGACATCCCCTGGTTCGGGACGGAGGAGGATGAGATCAACGCCTTTGTCAGCGAGGAGCTGTACATCCACACTAAGCTCCTGATCGCCGACGACCGCGTCGTAATCCTCGGCAGCGCCAACATGAACGACCGCTCGCAGCTCGGCACCCACGATTCGGAAATCGCTGTCGTAGTCGAAGACCACACGACCGTCCCCTCGAAAATGAACGGTCACGACTACCAAGCCGCCAAGTTCGCGGCCAGCCTCCGTCGTCAGCTGTTCCGCAAACACCTGGGTCTCCTGCCGCCGCAGGACTGGACGAAACCGACCCCGAATTTCCTACCCATTGACAAGGGACCCAACCAGTATGACTGGGGCTCTTCCTCAGATGACCTAGTGCAGGACCCTCTCTCCCCGGCCTTCAACAGTCTCTGGAATGGCACTGCTAAGATGAACACCGAGGTCTTCGCGAAAGCTTTCCACTGCGTCCCTGACGACCGCGTCCGCAATTGGGACCAGTACGAAGAGTTCTTCTCCAGCCGCTTCGTCACCCCGGACAAGGAGGGGAAGTACACGAACCCGCCACCCGAGGGGAAGTACCAGTACGGCCATGTGGTGGCGGCGGAGTTCCCTGGGGGCGCGGCGGAGTTGAAGGCCTGGTTGGGTAAAGTGCGGGGCACGCTGGTGGAGATGCCGTTGCACTTTATGGAGGATGTGGACTTTGCTAGCGGGATTGCCTTGAATGCGTTGACGGAGCCGATTTATACTTGAGAGGTGTTGCGTGGTTCTTGACTCTTGGGAATGCTGATTTGTGATGAGATATGGATGGAGATGTCTAATGAATGTGAAATGAAGTGAGTTTGAAATGGTACGAACAGATAATGAGAAATATAGCGTTATATTGGTTATTCTGAGTTCGAGCTAGACCATGAGAACATGAATAGCCAATGCTAAGAATGCCATATAACATGTTACGATCCCCCCTTTTCCCTTTCGATATAAACCCGTCCACAGCCCTATTCCTAACCATAGTGTTACGGAGTGAAGGACGGACTCACGGTGGATGCCATCACTTGGGGTCTTACAGTTAGGAACTACTGCCAGGATGACGGAAGATAATCAACACTGCCATAAACAGACTTAGCAGTAGACAAATGAAACATCATCACCATACAAGTTGCCTATCAATTAGTAGCAATACTTTGCTACGGTCGATTGGGATTCCATCCGAATCCGGGGGCCATAAACCATCCATTCCTTATACTCAAGCGTCGATAATCCTTCACCAACTTTTAAAAACGAGAGACCAACTACGTTCTTGGGGAGGGAAGTGTGAATGGGAAATCAGAGTAAGCGTTTTCGATTTCCTTTTTGAAGAAGATGAGATGAGGTGACAAGCACAACGACAATCATAACGATAAACACAGTCACAGGGACAATACATTAGCCCAGAGTAAAAATCAACGCTCATCTGGGAGCGTGCCACACTTGTAAGTTGAACTGGCCTTGTGCATCTCTCCTACATTCCCACGCTGCTTGATGGCCATGCTCAAAAGACCTGGCATTAATACCTCGTCTGCGTGAATGTCTGTACCTAGGTATCTCAAATCTATCAAATCCAACACGTTGGGATCCCTTTAGATCAAACAGATTCAATATGATTTAAGTCAAACAGACTACTGCGTGGAAATATTAATACGCTAGGCAAAAGAAATACGGTAGTAATATCACACCTCCTAAAGCTGTCTCCAGCCTCACAGGATCATCACAAACTCAGGATCTCTATCATCCGCATACCCCGTATACCTGTCGTACTTCCCCTCTCTCTTATCTCTATTCACCTTCGCACAATAAAGAACATTAGATAGAACCCTAGTTCTCAATATCAGCAATCGAACTCCTGTAATTACAACACCAAGGAAGGACCTACAAAAACCACGCTCCTACAAGCAGCGAAAGAATCACCGTATGGCCCTTATGATACTGCGGTCCCTGCTTCGCAGGGTAGACAAAAGTCGCTACAAACCCGCCACTATTCGCAATCATCAGCTGCAACGCAGTCGTCGTCGCGCGTTTGTAATGGCCCGCGCTATTGTTCGAGTTCCAGACTAGCACGGGCGGCACTGAAGCGTACATGCCCGTGGCCATGAGGAAGGTCATGCCGTACTTGACTTTCGGGTGGGAGATGCCAATGTTGGCAATCACGGCGTAGCCGATGATGGCGGGGATGAGGGTGAAGAGCATCACGATCCCGCGGAGCTGTAGGCGGTCGGAGAGGAGGGCGATGACGACAGTGACGACGGATGCCACTGCGTAGGGGATTATAGACCAGAGCTGGGCTTCGTTGGCGGTGTATCCGAGCTCGACGATGATCGTGGGGAGCTTTTGGGGTTAGAAAGGCGTGGGTTTGGGTCAGGGGGAACGTACAAAGAGACCAAAGGAGTAGATACCAGCTAGGATTCCGAAATAGGACGCTGCACTTAACCATGTGGAGATACTGAGCATTCCTCGTCTGACTTCAGACCATTGGAATCTTTCATGCTCACTATGTTCAATCAGCTGCAGTGCATGAGGCAAGATGAGAGATATCCAGCTTACGTGCCATCTTGCACCACCCTCGACGGCACATCCTGGTGCAGTCTCGATACTGCAAAGATCCGCTCATCCTCTCTCAAGAATGAAGCTTCCGCGACAGTGTTCGGGAGTAGGAAGTATGAGAAGGCTCCAACTCCTACAGTCTGTAAAGTATCAGCCCCATTGAAGTTGACTTCGAAGTATGGAATGTATACCAAGAGACCTTCAATAATAAAGATCCATGACCAGGGTGCCAGGTCCCCAACCCTCCCAATAGACGTCAAACCCCGCGCCAGCAGTCCTGTTGATGCATTTAGTTGATATATTTCATTCTCTAACTCCAAAAATAACACAGACCTCCGAATGCACCACTGAGAGATGCGCTGGTATAAAATAGACCGATCCTCAGCGCCATCTCAGGCCGGGTGTACATGCCTGACAGGTATAGTATCTACATTATCAAGTCATTAGCCACGCACCGAGATATACCTAAGGAAACAACCCACGATCCCGGGCAACAAGCCCCCTTCAGCAACGCCTAACACGGCCCTAACAGCCATGAACCCCGAGTAATTCCTGACGAATCCCAGGCACATCGTTATAATGCCCCACGCGACCGTTAACAGCGGGAGCCAAATCCTTGGCGATACCCATTTCAGGATCAGGTTGCTGGGGATTTCACTATTGATGGAGTTCCCTCGTTAGCCACACGACCTGCATTCGCATCCATTTTGTATATATAATTGGGATTTGGGAATAGTGATAGACTCCAAAGGAAAGCGACGATGGTCCTTACCTAGCGATATAAGTAGCATAATATACCGCCAAGCCAGTATCATACTGATGGTCCGTTATCCCAAGGTCCTTCTCCAGCCCATACGTCTTCGCGTTGCCGACATTCGTGCGATCGAGAAAAGAGCACAGAAAGAGCAGCGTCAGGACCGGCAGAATTCTGGAGAAAGCATCAATACGGTTCGATCCAGGGACATTAGAGGAGGGCACCTGAGATCGAGCTTCAGTATAATGCGCCGCGTGAGGGCAGAGCGCTCGCGAGCATTCATGCTGTCGCTGACAATGGCCACATCCTCGCATTTCTCATGGCGAGAAATGGAGCCCTTCTCTGGAGATGCAGCTTGGTTGCCCATGTGTTCTTGCGGCGGAGTGTTGAGGATGAAGGGGGATCAAACCAAGGAGAGGTGAGAGAGATAGTGAAAAGCAGGATGGAAGAAAAGAAGAAACAAAACAAGAGAGAAGAGGAAATCTGGGGTTGACTAGCAGCCCCTCGGGGTAAATCTGGGGACGCGGCATGGTGAACCAGGGATGTCTCACACTATACGCGGATGCAGGAAACAGATAGACAAGGTGATGGGCGGTCCAACCCTGGGCAAAGCTGCGAATCCCTGTTGTCCAGAGGGGAATCATTTATTGTCATATTGACATGTTGATATTGGTTGATATTTGACATGTTGATATTGACGTATTTGATATCGACTCCCCTTTCCCTCGCGTCGGCCATTGTTCTATCCCCGCCGCCCCGCTGCCCCACGCTCTCCCGCTCTCCCCCGTCTTCGCATCGGCTATTGATTTTCCGCCGTCCTCGGCAAACGACGACCGAGCCAGAACGTCCCGCTCTCCACGCATTGTGTGGTTGATATATTGATATATTGATATCTCGATATACAAAATATATATCCTCATGTCGAAGCTCTCTCCTGCGCTGAAGGCCCTCATCGCCGCTCCCTTCGCGCGCCCCAACACCCTCCCCGCCCCGCCGCACATCCGCTCCGTGTATGAGCGTCTGCGGACTGAGGCCGCTGCGAAGAAGGTCGGGTCGGCGCCATGGCTGGCTCTCTCTGTACGTTGCTTGTTTGTTCTCTCGAGAGAGGAGTGGGAACTGACCGCGCGCATACAGACGGCGACCACGATGACTATGAACTCCCCCGATGCCCTGACGGAGCTGTTCAGCCTGGCCACGTCCAAGGCCGACAAGGCGCAGGCGGTGCAGACCGCGGAGCTCATGCGTGAGATTGGACTGAAATGCATTGGCTTCAATGGCGTATGTCCTCCTCGCTCTCCTCTGTCTCGCCCGCGCCTTCAGACTTCGTGACTTCTTGACTCCGTGACTGCGAGGCTGACCAGTCCCGTGCCAGGTCCCGCGCACCATCAACTGTCTGAATGCCTTCCGCGCCGCTCTCCCGCAAGACATCGTCTCCGCTCTCTCCACAACGCCTACTCGGTTCTCCCCCCTTTTCCTATCCCCCCATCCACCATATCTCTCCCATACTAACCATTCCTCCTAGCACCCCCACAACCGAGAACATCGCCTCCATCATCGCCCGCGGCCAATCCCTCTGGACATCAATCTACCGGCCCTTCGACACCAAATTGTACGACAAGCTCGCCGCCTCGCACCCCGACCTCCCAGTCCACATCCTAAACCACGAGTACGGCGCGCTGTTCGCCGACCCTCCGGGCCGCGATCCGCAAATCGCCGTGGGCCGCGTCTTGACGTCCGTCGTGGCGGTCGCGTGCCTGCGCGCCCAGACGGGCGTCGCACCCCAGGTCATCAGTCATGTGTTTGGACTCCGGAAAGCGTTCCAGGATGGCTCAGCCGAGGCCGAGGGAGAGGCCGCAGTCGAGGGAGGTGAGTGGTTGGCGAGTGATGAGGGAAATGTGTGGTTGTTGCAGAGCGTGGATAGCATTGTAGAGGCGTTGGGAGAGGGGAAGGGGTCGAGCTTCGCGCCGGGGTTGGCCAAGTTGTAGATGTTTGCGGGATGATGTGCTTTTACGGGGATTGACTTTCATAGGACGAGCTTCCTGTGGATAGGCAGGTATGTATATGTATGCGTTTGAGAGCAGATGGACGGTATAGATCCATCTCTGCTATGATTGGTCATGATCTACATATTTCAGCCCTATAGACCGGAATTTAAATATCTACATATGTACAACTCTATCCCGCAGCACGCTCTATCGCACATTATAGCATATAAATCATCTATTCCATCGACTTGATCTCATCCGCAACCTTGAACTTCGCACCCGTCTTGCTCTTGATCTCCTCCACATCCACGCCCGGCGCCAACTCAGTGAGGGTGAGCCCACCGTTCACACGGTCAACCTCGAACACACACAGGTCCGTGATGATGGTGCTGACGACGCGCGCACCAGTCAGCGGCAGCTCGCACTCCTCGACGATCTTGGCGCTTCCGTCTTTGGCGACGTGGTCCGTCGCGACGACGATCTTGGTGCGGTCGGGGTTGCCGACGAGATCCATAGCACCACCCATACCCTTGAAGAGCTTGCCGGGAATCATGAAGTTGGCCAGGTCGCCGTTGGCGCTGACCTGCAACGCGCCCAGAACCGAGACGTCGATGTGTCCACCGCGGATCATGGCGAAGGATTCCGCGCTGTCAAAGGTGGCACCGCCGGGGTTGATGGTCACCGTCTCCTTCCCGGCGTTGATGAGATCGGGGTCGAGCTGGTCTTCCGTGGGGTATGGTCCCATTCCCAGAAGACCGTTCTCCGACTGGATCCAGACCTTGACGTCGGGGGAGAGGAAGGATGGTGCGAGGGTAGGGATACCAACACCGAGGTTAACGTAGTAGCCGTTCTTGAGCTCCTTCGCGACCCGCTTCGCGATTCTCTCTCTCCTCAGAGCAGAAGCTGATTTCTTCTCCCCCTCACTGCCTGCCTCCTCCCGCAACTTCACGATCTCAATCGTCTTCTCCGTGGTTGTCGGCACAATGCGATCGACGTAGATACCGGGCAGGTGGATCTGGTCCGGGTGGATCTCGCCAACCTTCACAATGTTGTCCGCTTCGACGATCGTGACCTTGGCCGCTTTGGCCATGATCACTCCGAAGGCCTTGGACGTGTATCGGAACTGACAGTTTCCTGCCTCGTCAACCTTCCACGCGCGCAGGATGGCGACGTCACCCGGCAGCGCAGTCTCCATGTTATAGGTCTTGCCGTTGAATTCTCGCGTCTCCCGTGTCTTTCCACGCTCGAGGACCTTGAGCTCCTTGCTGTTCCCGTCCGCCGGTGCGAGACGGACAGGGATGTCTCCAGTCTGCAACAGGGTATCTAGACGTATCTTCGTCAGCTATGTGCACATACCGCAAGGCACATCACGAGCACGTACTGACTCCAGTAGGGGTGAAGAACGCAGGGATACCCGCACCCGCGGCGCGGAGCCTTTCTGCGATGGTTCCCTGCGGAGTGAGCTCAATGGCCACTTCACCAGACATGTATTTCTTCTCCAACGCCTTGTTGTTCCCCAAGAACGACATGATGAACCTCGAGATCTGTCCCGCCTCCACCATTGGCGACAGTCCCCCGCCCGTCGCCGTCCCTCCATTATTCGACACCACTGTCAGGTTTCCCAGCTGCTCGGGGCCTCTCTTCTTCATCGCCGCAATCAGCGAATCTGCACCATAACTTACGATCAGCATCACCATAAATCTAGAATATAAGCACTTGCGGTCCTCTTCTTACCAGCAGTACCACACACTCCGAAACCCGCACTGAGGATCGTTGATCCGCTCTTCAGATCTGCGACCGCCTCATCTGCACTTTTGAAAATCTTCGACGCCCCCCGCACAATTGGTGGTGCCGCATCCCGCTTCGCTGAACTGTTCGCTGCGTATTCATACCTCGTCGGTGTCGAGTGTAGGTATCTCGCGGTCGGCATAGCGGCCGCGCGCACCAGCCTCGCTTGGCGAGGCCGCAGAGCGGGCGCCAGCCCGGTGCGGCTCGAGGTCGCGATGCATGCGGACGAGAGTCTCCTGGAAGCCATTCTGCGAACGGGGCAAGGGGAGAAATGGGATGGGAGAGGGAGGCAATGGAAGGCAGAGAATTAAGTATATAAAGTATACGGAGCAGATCATCGGAAGAGAGTCGCTGATGTAGTCTCACAGCTCGGGTGGGTCCCGGGGCCAAATGCCCCGGATAAGGCACGTCAGGCTGCTATCGGGTATACTTTTATGCCCGGGGTTCCGATTCGCAAGGAGACACGTTCCGTGCCTACAAAGGTACAAAGGATACCTCTGTAGAGCATGACTTGCCTCCATGAACAGATCTGAGAATTATCATGAGCAGAGCGTCTAATCACCGATGTGGAAAAATCATATTCAGGTACGATTCAAGTCAATTAAGGTATGCAGCTGGCGTCTTGTCTGTATATACTATCTGCCGCGCCCATATCCGAAGCTATAAACCCACGCTGTGCTCTAATAGGGGGGCCCACTTGAGTTGCGCCTCACCAGAGGCCAGCGGTCGAATGGATGAAAGACACCCATCTATTCTAAAATCGCCCCTATTTACATACTCCCAACGATACTCCCAACGATAGATAGAAAAATATTCCGCATCTAGATACCCATCTATTCAAACTCCTTATCCACACTCTCATAGTGATCAAAGAAGCCCTTGAATATCCGAACTCCGAGTCCGGGATCCAGGCTGCCCGTCGTTGCTCGGATGCTGTGCATGCTCAGCTGTGGGATCCCCGCGTCGATGGCCCGGACCCCCATGGCACTGCTCAGCATCGGGCCCACCGTTCCCCCAGATCGCGAATCGTTCCGGATCATGAAGAGCTGCAGCTTATCGCCGTTCTTCTCGGCGACCCGCGTCAGCAGCGCCGTCGAGACGGAATCCGTCGTCATGTGGCCGTTGCTATCGGCGGAGACGACGAGCCCGGTGTTGAGTCGGGGGGCGTGGTTCTCGAGGTACGCGCCCAGGAAGTTGGGGTTCACGGCGTGGACCACGTCGGCGGAGATGAGGAACGAGTTGGCGTATGTCTGGGAGAGGATGTTGGCGCTGGATCCGGACGGGGAGAAAGTCTCGACGATGCGCTCGATCGTAGAAGGGAGGAAGTTCCCAGCTGCACCTTGACGGAGGCGAGAGCCAATCTCTTCGTCGTCGAAGACGCATACCAGTTTGATCACCCCGTCTTCCTCATCGCTAGCTTCACTCGCGGATGAACTTGCTGCGAGCAGGCCTTCCACAGCGGCCCATGAACATAGCTTGTCATCGATACGGCCGCCGAAGATGAATTCCTTGTCCAGACCACCTGTCTGGGCAGGCTGTGTGTCGTAAAGCTCCAGTTCCCAGTTTACGATGGTCGAGTAATCACTGATAGAGAGTTCGCTCGCAATGGCGCGGACCAGTTTTGGGGGTTGTGTCGCTGCGAAGCATCGAGGGTCGCCGAGGGTCAGGTTCTGGAATTCTTCGGACGAAAAGGGGCGTTCTGAGTTGTCGAGACCAATGATGGGGACGGTTTCTGTCTCTTTATTCTCGTGACCTGTCATACCAATCCCGAAATGGGGTGCGAGGGTAGGGATACGAGCAACTGTCTGTCATTAGTATCTCTTGTAGAGTGTAATAAGGCAGAGAGGACGTACTGGGCCAGCCAAGCTTCACAAGCTTGGTAACAATTTTGCCCGTCTTCGGGTCCTTGACCAGTACCCGGCCGCCTATACCAAGATCACGGTCCCACCATGTACTGTTTAGAGCGCCAGCATAGGGTGCGACTCCAAGCTGTACATAGCCTGCAGAAGTCTTCTTGGTGGAAACGGGCTTCAGTCTCGCAGTCAGAGCATCGACATGCCCAGCAACCATTGCGACTCCATTGCCACTCTTGTATTTCTTTCCCACGATAAAGGCGGCGAGAGACGAGCCGTTGCGAGAGATGAAGTATTTCCCTCCAGGAACCAGCTCATCGTTCCAAGCCTTGCGTTCCGAGAGCTGTAATTACTATACGTCAGCAACGTAGCCAATTGAAGATCCAATGCCCAGATGCGACAAACCTTCTTAAAGCCGGCCTTCTCCAGCCTGTTCTCAAAATATGCCACCGCATGGAACACGGTTGGGTTGTTGGTCAAGAAATCACAGAACGGCTGGGTGTACTCCTCAGCGCTCTTGAGCTTGAATTCCTTGAGCCCCTCTTGCTCCTTCGCGACCCGATTGGCAATTGGGGTCTCCCTTTTCCTCGCCTCTAACTCCTCCGTGTACCTCTCGAACAGACTCTTCTGCGTGTCGTCCCTTCGCTTGGGATCCAGCTCCGGGTATCTCTCTGCAAAGCTGTCCAGAGCGGGTTGTGTGGAAGCTGGTGTCTCGCTATCACCCCATAGGACTGATCTGCTCGCTCGCGCGGTAGAGTGGCTTGGTACTGGCCGGGGCGTTTCCGGCTTCTCGATGTCCCTCTGACCTCTGCGACTCGCGGGAACGTCATTGCCGCCATCATGCTCCCATGCCGGGAGATTCAACATCCCAAGTGCAGCTTCCGCGGAGAATGCCTTGGGCCGCGATTCAAGATCCCGCTGTGCTGTCAGGGCAGCAATCTGGGCTTCGAGTGTCGCAATGTATTCCCGGGTATGTTCAGCTTGTGCAGAGGGCATGACGTTGCGCAGGGTGAGGTTGGACCTACTGCCTCGGAGGCTGTGGATGGACGAGTGGGCGGATGGGGCGTTCTTGACCATGCTTGGAGCTGTATGGGTGTGGTCGCGGACGCAACAAGATAGAGATATGGTACTGTATAGAGCTGAGCTTTGCTCCAAATGTGGGTTCGGGTCTGGTTATGAAGGTGACGAGTCGTGTTGACTCGGTGGGAAATGGTGTTGACGAGGCGGGATCGATGCCCAGGTCTTAGCGTCAAGCTTGAGCTCTGAGCTGCCCAAACCCGCAAGGTGTAAATAGGTACCTTAACCTAGTATAACCCGCCGCCCCCAACTTCAACCATCACTATTTATGGAAACCTAGGTTCAGTAACAACTTAGCTGGCTGACAGTCTCGCAATAGTCCGCCAGCCTGACAGAACACATCATCATCGAACCCCGGGAATTACTGCATATAGGAGGGTCACACATCACGATCAAGCCATGCCAGATGATAAGAGGTCGAGGGTCTTTCGTTTCCCTTTTTTTTTGGTATTTATTCTTGTTTTCTCGTCAAGTCATCAAGTCCAACGTAGAAACCCCATCGAGGCAACGCGCGAGCTCACCGCACGCAGTGAAGTAATCCTTAGCAACCGAAACACCCGCCCTGAATCATCCGCAGTACGGGGCGTTTTGACAACCACAGACTAACACCTAGTATCCGTTGTAGTTGTTGATCTGTACGGGGGCATCGTACTGGTTGCTACAGTATGGCACGTTAGTGGCTGTTGCGCAACGGCACGACGGAAGAAGGACACTCACGGGTCGTATTGGTCAGCACCGTGGCCGTCAACGTAGTGCTCATCGTACATGCCCTCGACCTGTTGCTTGGCATGGTACTTGGCCTTCTCACGGTCGATGAAGTCCATTCCCTTGGTCTCGGCCAACTTGTCGACCTCAGCACCGGCGAATCCGGCAAGGAGCTCCTTGGCGAATTGGTGGGAGACGGGCTTTCCTGTAGTCATGAAGCATCGAATCAGCGGCTGTCCTGCGCTGCATATCGGGGGTGATGTGATACTGGGCGGGGTGGGAACGTACCCTCCTTGCGCTGGTGGTCCTCGAACATCTTGAAGGCACCGAAGGACGCGGCACCAGCTAGAATCTCGTGGCCGAGGCTGGATTGGTTGTCGTAGTTCTGGACCTGGCCGTAAGCATCTTGAGAGTCGTCTGGAAAGGAGTGGACGTTAGCAGCTGTCTTGGGGGCAGTGAAGGGGTGGGATGGGGTGAGACGAGGAAAAGGGGCAAGGCGAGGTGGTGAGACCGTGAGAGAGGGGGAGAAGTGGCGGCTTGCTTACCCCAGAAACCCATGGTGACTGATTTAGTTTTCTTGGATGATGAGAGTAGATTGGAAGATTGATGTGAAATTGCGAGATGGTGGAGGGCGATGTGAAGGGAAGAGAGAGAGAGGGGGAGGGAGAGGGCAGAGCGAGGGGCAGAAACGAGGGGTATTTATCCAACACGAGAGGCCCCGCGGGACTCAACAGCCACCAGTCACGAGGTTCTCTGACACTTTAACCTTACTACAGTACGGTACCTTGCTGGCCTGATATTAGTTACTCCCTCCGTCACAATCACACACTACTACTGGCAGCGTAAAGCTTCCTAGGCGCTTTGGATGGGCCATTCAGCGGCGTCCGGTGCAAAGACCCGTCCCCTCTCTGCGTCGCGGGTCCTGGGAGACTGGATGGAGTAGTGGAAGGGCTCAGGCGGCCAGGGGCACGCTAGTTGGCATGTGCTGGTAATTCCGCATAAAGCCGGGTTGTGATTATGAGATATCGGCGTATTTGATTCCCAATACTGTTCAAGTGTACCGGTATATACGACTAGAAATATAGCCCACACACCCAAGGCTTGCGTGGCTCTGCGCAGCCATGAAACCACATGGACGACCACCCTTGGATACAAGGAGGGCTTGGATTGGATTGGATTGGATTGCTCCTTCTTGATGCGACCTGCACGCTGAAACAGACATGATAATAACAATAGTAATAGTAATAGCAATAATACCCTTCGCAATAACCGATGAATGCGAAACCTGCACAGCCCCAGGCCGGATGTCTGGACCCTGGCACTCAGCCACCGTCGCAGTCAAGTCAAGCTTTGCCGAGGCACGGCCAAGTCTCGGCTCAACCTGCCTTACCTTAAGAGGATAAAGAGCCGATGTACCTGACGCCGTACAAGAGTAGCCTCATATAGGTACTTACACTGTTGTAATCCTTCCAGACAATGTCAGTAACACTTGATAAGACTATGAGATACCTACCTAGGTGGGAAGAGCTCGCAGTTTGGTCCGTACGGCCCAACGGGAACACCTGAGCATAAGCGACCTTTGCAGTATCAACTGGAACACTACGATTCCTTTAGCTTCAATACTCCACGCCCGCCTACCTGCCCCATTGCACACAAGTAGTTCTTGATCCAAGGCCATGGCAAACCGTGTCATCTCTCGTCCTAAATCATTATACACAAGGTAACCTTTACGTTATAAATTGTTATACTTATTTGGGTACACCTGTGGCAGGAGGAGGAGGAGCAGAAGGAGGAGGGGGGGGGGGGTGTCTTGGGATACTACAAGACGGCTGGGCGGCAAGGTAGCATACTAGCATGCCTGTGACAGAGTTTGTTCCATGTGGGCAAAAAAAAAGTCTCGAGTCTAGCTATAAGCAAGTGTAGATATGAAAACTCCTTATGAAAGTCTCGCTCATGGTTTCTTGCAACTCAAATGCGCCAGATATCTCTACCTTATTTATGCGAATTTTATACAAAGCTAAAGCCAAACCATCAAGTTCAAGTCTATCCATCCCATCAACCTCATTATGGATGCATTATAATAAGGATCATTCATATATCACTCTTTATGCTCGTGGAGGTGCTCCCACCATGCCTGGGGGCGAAGATACGTAAGTTACAGATTAGACGACTCTTTACGAGGACGAAGTCGTTACCACCTTAAGTGGCGGAAATACTTCCGAGTCGCGAGAGTCTTCCCTAGCCAAAACAAAGCTCTTTTGCCTCTTGAGACGACTAACATGCTGCTGGTTCGATGCTGATAGATTTTGGCTCTGGCGATGTCGCAGCGTACTCTCTTGCCTGTTGCCTCTTGGATGTTGTGAGGTGCGCCACACAAGGTAATGCACGTGCTGATAACAGATAAGCATATTTGATATCAGGTGACCGTGTAGCCCCTCCATCACCTTACCGCATCCTAGTCTACTACATCGACCATTCAACCCCCTTCACCCGCAGCATCAGAAGCAAAGTTAAATCACAGAATAAGGATGCCTCCTCCACGTCTTCCAAGGAAGGAGGATTTCCCCCCAAACCTCGTCCTGGATATCGTCCCTCCATCCAAAGGCGCGCCCGTAAACGTCCTCCTCCTCCTCCACGGCATCGGAGACACCAATAGACAATTCACAGAACTTGGTACGCCACCCCTTTCCTCGCCTCTCTCCCAGATCTAACACCGCCCCAGCTAAGATCCTCAACCTCCCCGAGACCGTCTGCATCTCCCTGCAAGGCTTTAGCCCCATCCCGCCCTTCTTCACCGGCTCCTCCACCCCCGCCTTCCACTGGGCCAATGACATGCTCATCGACTCTCAAACTGGCACCGTCGACCTCGGCGGCGGTGGTTTTGACCGTCCCGCCCGCACCCTCCGCACTGCCGTCCTCGACGTCCTGACCACCACGTGCGCCTTTCCCGCCCGCAACATCCTCTTCTTGGGCTATGGCCAGGGCGCCATGCTGCCGCTGTACTTCGCTGCTTCGAATCCTGACATCATCCTCGGCGGCATCGTTGCTATCGGAGCCAGGCTCCCGTCCTCTTCTTACCCGACGAGGAAGAGTAAGACGCCTGTTTTGCTCTGTGGAGGGAGTCGCAGTCGCGAGGTCACGCGCTCGGCTGTCGACGCGTTGAAGGCCAGTTTCGAGGACACGAAGTATGTCAAGTGGGAGAAGCCAGATGACTCGATGCCTGCGAATAGGGAGGAGATGTTGCCTATAATGCAATTCTTCGCCCGAAGGCTGCAGAGCAGGGCTGGTGTGCCCGAGGGTGCGGTCGAGGTTTGAATTATGGACTGGTAGGCAAAGAGAATTGGACTGCCAATGTGGGCAGGGGGCGTGATGGAGCTGAGATGCCTACTGGAGAGAATGGGATTCTCATGTGCTATCTCTCTCTGATATTGGGGAAACGGGGGTTTTCTCCTACTTGCTCCTGGGAAGCTTCATGATAGGGCGAGATGCACTCACTGTATGTGCGAGATCAACTAACTACATGCGGGATCTGGGAGCGTGTACCGCTCGAAGTGCTACACTGCCGAAGTTGCTACAGAAGATGATGAGAGGAGCTGAACCTGCATGTCTACCCTAGAAGTACAGCCCTTTGGCTTACGGGGAACTTCTCCATCGTGGGATTGCCCCTGCGGTAAAAACCAAGTTCCAGAAGAAATAAGCTGCATCCCGTCGCGCTGCACTACATTATCTTGGTGGTGATATCGAGCGATAGGTGTTGATTCTCTACTTGTGAAAGGTTTCCTGATAGGTAACAGGAGCTGGCTTAAATACTACTACTGCTCTGCCTTCGGCTCCTCAGTAGCTGTACTTGCTTCCTTCACCTCCACCGCCGCCTTGCCTATTTCGGCGTCAGCAGCAGCCTTCTCTATCCTCGCCTGCCGCTCAGCATGCTTCTTCTGCCTGCGACTCATCCCAATGACCTCTCCCTCCCCTGCTCCCTTCTCTCCATCCTCCCTCCTAATCTTGATCGGCCACTCTGCTCTCGCCCTCTTCTCGTCCTCCTCACTCCACTCCTGCGGCAGGACCGCAAACACCAGATAACTCGTGTGTGTCTTCACCTCCTGCTCTGTCCTGTGCACCAGCCTACCCTCTTTGTACACCTTCTTTTCAACCAGGCTCTCGAGGATCTTCTCGCGGTTGTTCGGGTTGATCTTCTCGCTCTTCTTGCCTTCCGTGCGCTCCCCTTGTTCGTGGAAGTTGCGAAGATTTCCCTCGACTTCAACCAGGCGCTGCAGAGCTTCATCGACAGAGGCGGGCGAGGTTTGGAGGCCACGCTGTGCGCCGTTATCGATCCCGATGCGTTGGCGCAGGATGTCGAAACGCTTCTGCGATACTTCGACCATGGAGATGTCTACCCAGCCGAGTTGGCGCATGGCTGAGACGGTGCGCTGCACTTGCTCGATGCAGGGGGAAAAAGTGCAGAGGTGGACGGGGGCGGATGGATTGAGAGGTGAGACGAAGGGTTTGGGCGAGGCGTCGCCATTACTCACTGAGTCTGTTGGTGCTATGCCATTTGGCCCTTTCAAGGGTGGTGGTTTCGATCGGGTGAGGTGTGGTAGAGCTAGCCACGGGGCTGGTAGATCAAGGAATATTGCATCAGCATTGGGACTTTCGCCATTAACCAAGAACCCATCCTCGCAGACATCCCGATGCGTGATCTGTACGATGCCGTCTAATCCATGGTCATGGATCTCTTTCTCTAGCTTCATGTGTCTCTGTTCGTGGAATTCGAAGCTCCAGACCTTGCCCCGCTTCCTCTTCTTGGTTGTTGAACCATTGACATCTCCCATTTCTGGATACCCACTGTAAACCGCTCTCGCAGATGCGTGCGTGAACGATCCACTTCCGGCCCCGGCCTCGATGATGTTCGTTCCCGGTCGTGCTCGTAATCGGTGTAGTATATAACTATAATCGGGTGTGTAGACCACCTGTGTGCGATGTGGCAATGAGATCGTCCAGTTCTCTGGCGTAGGAGGTAACAGGTGTATAAACCCACTGGAAGCAGCAACTACCTCGGCGCCCTCTTTTGGTGTGGGTGGCGTACTGACTTCTCCATCGTCATCTTCCGTCTCTGCTAGCTTAGATCTCTTCGTTAAGATCTCTGCAGCTTCAGATTCTTCCCGTTTGCGCTTCTTCTCGTCCCCCTTCCCTCGTCGGCCTCGAGACCCTGTGTCAACTTTCGAGGCTCGAACCTGACTCCCCCATGGCAATCCAATCAGTGTGCTGTGTGGGAACGAGCCAAATCGTGTGTTCACCACCTTCCCCTCCACATAGCCTTCGTTGTCGTCGTCGCGTTGTCTAAGAATGGTAGGGAGTTGGAGGTCTCGCCGGAGATGGATGATGGCGAGTTTATCCTCCACCGAGCATGGGCCGGGGTGAAGAAAAGGGGACGTCGTAGGGGCCATCACTCTTCGATGTTGCTGACGGGGTTGGTGGTTGAAATGCAAAAATTCGGACAAGGCTGAAGCTCAAAATCCTAAGCGAGGTTTCTGCCGCATCTGGCCTTCCACAATACAGTAGACCGCCAGGACATCCCACTGAGTCAGTCGCCCTCTCCCATATATGCCCTGGAAAGCCTGAATGCTTGTTAAATACCGATATCCAGTCCTCCGTCTCTTCTCTTCTAAATTTCATATTCATGGTCCTGTTCTTCGAAAATACACTGCGAGTACGACTACCACAATGGCGGCGCATTTGAAAGTCCACAACTCCCTCAAGCCAGGCCCTCCTGTCCCCTTCGTGCCCATCGAGGCGGGCAAAGTCTCGTGGTATGTCTGCGGGCCCACTGTCTACGACTTCAGTCACTTGGGGCATGCCCGGAATTATGTGTCGACGGATATCATCCGGAGGATCATGATCCATTACTTCGGTTTCAGGGTCAAATTCGTTATGAACATCACAGATGTTGACGACAAGGTTTGGTCAGTTCATGCTGTCAGGGAAATGGATGCTAACTGGTGCGCTGGCAGATTATTTTGAAGGCGCGAAGACAAAAGCTTCTCGAATTAGAGAAACAAAAGACATACACAGAAGCGGAACTCTCGAAGCTTGCGGCGGCTGCCTTTGACTCATATGCGAAGTCAAATCTCCCAGAACTACTAAAGGTATCTGACGGATCGCCGCTGAGCCCTAGCAACTATGCCGAGAGGAGGGACAAGGTGTACGCGAAGGTGTTGGCTGGTGGGACCTTGACGGGAGAGGGGAAGCCTGGAGACAATGAGGCCAAGCTGAAGATGCACATTAGCAACCTTACCTCCGCGGCGACAGCGATCCAAGAGAACAGAGTATTTGGGGGTGCGGACGAGATCCTCCTGCCTTATCTCGACTCTTTATACAAGGATACGATTGATGCGAGGGATCATGGCATATTCACGGATGTTACGAAATACTGGGAGGAGCAATTCATGCAGGATATGGATGAGTTAAATGTTATGCGACCGGATGTTCTCACACGGGTCACGACCTATGTCCCACAGATCGCCCTTTTCGTAGAGAAGCTTATCCAAAAGGGTTTTGCATACGAGGCTGACGGGTCGGTGTACTTTGATATCGCGGCCTTCGAAAAAGCCGGAAACCCATACGCGCGATTGCGTCCCGATAGCCGAAATGACAAAGCTCTACAAGAAGAAGGAGAGGGCTCGTTATCAAAGAATTTAGGGGGGAAACGTGGGGCTGGAGATTTTGCCCTCTGGAAGAAGTCGAAAGTAGGAGAGCCTAGCTGGCCTAGTCCATGGGGAGAGGGTCGACCAGGATGGCACATCGAGTGCTCAGTCATGGCATCGGATGTTCTAGGGGCTCAAATTGATATCCACTCCGGAGGAATTGATCTTGCGTTCCCCCATCACGATAACGAATTAGCGCAGAGCGAGGCGTACTTTTGCGAGCATGGCCATGAACATAATTGGGTCAAGTATTTCTTACATATGGGCCATCTGTCAATTTCGGGGTCCAAAATGTCGAAGTCATTGAAGAACTTCCAGACTATCAAGGATGCGCTAAAAACGGATTATACGCCTAGAGGAATGCGGATTGTCTTCTTAATGGGTCGGTGGAACGATGGTGTTGAAATATCACCAGATATGAGAACTCAGGCGGAAGGATGGGAGTCAGGTGTTAACGTGAGTTTTCCTTGAAATTCTCCTTTTCCTCATCCACCTATTACCTGTTTTATTCGTTCTCTTCTCTTTTCTTGATCCCGCACCGAACCCCGCACTCTCTTGAGCCTAGAACTAATCAAAGCAGAACTTCTTCATCAATGTCAAATCGCACATTCTTGCTGCCTCAGACCAGCCAGCTGGGGAGTTGAAATCCCTTTCACTCAACGGTACCTCGGACAGTTTGCAGGCATCTCTCGAGACAGCTCAAGCGGAGATGGAGAGCGCTCTTTCAGATTCTTTTGATACACCACGGGCGATGCGTATTATCGACCAATTAATTAAGCAAGCCAATATCCACATGAACAAGGGTGATCCAGATGTCCGAGGACTCGAGAGCATTGCTCGTTGGGTTACCAGGATGGTGGGAATCTTTGGCTTAGATGCGAACGCTTCGCCTCCATATGATGGTCTCGGATGGGCATCTAGTCCGGCAAGTAGCAACCTCAGCGCCGAGGAGATTGCGAAACCTTATGCCCAAGTATTCCAACAGGTGAAGGGTCAAGTAGAGAGCTTATCCCTTAACTCACCTGTTCTCGACAAGATTCTTGCCAGCGATGTTGAGGGTGAGTTCAGGTCGCTTGCGTCATCTAGAAGCGATCCCGAGACTCTTGCCATGCCATACCTTCGTGCGGTCTCTCGAATCCGGGACGAGCTTCGAAGATTAGCTCCCACATCACCTTCGAAGAAACAAATCCTCGCTCTCTCTGATCAAATCCGAGACAATGACCTCACGAATTTAGGTGTGTATCTAGATGATAGAGGTGAAGAGCAGGGTGCACTCATCAAGTTTGTGCCGAAAGAAGAGCTCTTGGCACAGAAAGAAGAGAAGGCCGCAAAGGAGCGAGAGAAACTCGCCCAGAAGGAAGCTGCGAGAATAGCGAGAGAGAAGCTAGAGGCCGAGAAAGCAGAGAAGGCTAAAGTTCCCCCGTCCGAGATGTTCAAGGATGACAGATTCAGTGCTTGGGATGACGAAGGCTTGCCGACCAAGACGAAAGACGGGGAGGATGTGCCTAAGAGTGCGCTGAAAAAGATGAAGAAGGACTGGGAGAGGCAGAAGAAGGCGCACGAAGAGTGGAAGGCTAAGTCAGGAGTATGATTAGTCTGTTCTGAATGCGCGACGTGCTACTGGGCGGGTCATAGAGCGGTGTCCAAAAGGTTCGTGGAAAGGGCTTGGGGGCAATTATCAGGTACTGTCCTGTAGATATATGATACATCGTTGCAGGGTTGCATGCTTCGACTGAAATAACTGCTATGATCTTATTTCCCTGCCTAGATTGATGGTTATCTTAGCTACGTGATGTTAAATACAGAATTTGCCTATTCAGGCCCTATGAAGGCGAACAAGGGAGAGAAGGTAGTGAGTATATAGGAACAGGCGGAGGAGAATGGAATGAAGCTCTTGACCTCCTTACGTACAATACCCTCGGTTTTCACCATCCAACCGTCTTTCTGATCGATGATGGAGGGTGTCGGATTGCGTCCACGTGCAATCCTTGACCCGCGAAACCCCGCCTCGTCTAAGGTACATAACCTTATCCCCGCACGCACTAGGAGAACTAGTCTCATGTGCTATTCTCGGCTATATCAATGACATCGACATGAGATGATGAGGTTTTTATCACTGTTCAGATATTTCTACTATGGGCGGCAAGGTCACCCAGATCATGTATCTCTCTGTTACTTGGCTATCTATCAAGAGAAATGTTAGCAGAGCCTCATTTTGTTATCCGCATCCGGCCTATTTTCCCCCTTTCCCCTTTCCCCCCTTTATAACCGTCCTGCGAGACACGTAACGATTGCCCAAGCTTAGTATGAAGCTTTAGCAGTCGAACTCCCCACACTGGCCTGATACCTGCTCGCTACTTACCCATCAATCACCTGCCTCCAAGGGAGGAGAAAGCTTCTTTGCTATGCCGCCTCGTTGGTGTAATCCGTATTTCGGTTTTCGTCGGCATAGGAATGCTTTCCGTCGTCATCCACCACAACCTGCCTATTTATATTGATTTACACCCTTTGCTTTCACTGTCACTGATCGATCTGTGACTGAGATGGTCTATTTTCCCATAGATATAAACGCACCTAATATGCCGTTTTCAAACGAACGGAGCGAGCTGATTGGTGCCTTTCTTTCTTATGTTCTTCTTAGCTTATCTATATTTATAACATACGTAAGTTCTCCATCGTACAGTGAAGAAAGCCTCTGACATCTACGGCAGCTATTATCCCTTGCCCTTTATCGACTGACTTTCCACCCTCTTGCGAGATACCCAGGACCTTTCCTGGCTAAGATTACCGATTGGTACTCCGTATATCATGCATGGAAGGGTGATAGGCATCTTGAATTCTGGAGATGCCATGAAAAATATGGTATCCATCTCTATTGGAACGCACGCTGAATTGTCGCGTGCTGATATGTCCAAGGCCCTGTTGTCCGGTTTGGCCCGAGTAGTCTATCGATAAATACTAATACGGCACTAAAAACGATCTATGGCCACAAATCAAATGTCAAGAAATCCCAATTCTATACCGTCTTCCCGCCGACTAAGGATACCTTCAACACTCATAGCAGCATTGATAAAGCTAGCCATGCTCGGAAACGGCGAGTGCTCTCCCATGCCTTCTCGGACAATGCATTGAAAAGCATGGAGAAGTATATCCTGGCTAATGTTCGCACATTCTGTTCGACATTGGGTCCCAAACCAAAATCTTCGACTAGGGAGAGTGGAGGCCAAGCCAAGTGGAGCGTTGCTCAAAACATGGCAGACTGGTGTAACTACTTGACCTTCGATGTGATGGGTGATTTATGTTTCGGGAAAGCGTTTGAAATGTTAGAGCACCATGAGAACCGGCATGTGATCAATCTGATCGGGAGCGCAGCCCACATGCATCTGATTGTAAGTCGCTCGCGAGGGACACTTGAATTTATGCTAATTTACGAAGCTTGGGTCGAACCCCCTGATTAAGAAGCTGGGATTAAACAAGATACTTTTCCGAAAAATATATTCTAAGAGGATGGAATATATGGCTTATAGCAAAGCCCAGGCAGCAGAAAGGACGAAGATCGGTTTAGACACCGACCGAAAGGATTTCTTCTACTATCTGCTTAATTCACGTGACCCCGAGACTGGAAAGGGGTTCACAACTCCAGAGTTATGGGGAGAGAGTAATCTTCTCATCATTGCTGGTTCAGATACTACATCAACTGCGCTAGCGAGTGCATTCTTCTATCTCGTTCATAATCCTTCGGCCCTCGACAAATTATCCGAGGAGATCAGATCTACCTTTTTAGATGTCGAAGAGATCTCTTCAGGCCCTACACTCAACTCTTGTACTTACCTTCGAGCTGTTATTGATGAAGCAATGCGCCTATCGCCACCAGTTGGCGGAATCCTCCCTCGAGAGGTCCTTCCGGGGGGGCTTGAAATTGACGGCCTTTTCATTCCGGAGGGCATTATAGTCGGGACGCCACACTACGCACTTCATCACAACCCCACATATTACCCTGATCCTTTCTCATTCAGGCCAGAACGCTGGCTTGTAGGTGGTTCTCCTGACAACACACAAGAAGCAGTTGAACTGGCACAGTCGGCATTCTGCCCCTTCAGCACCGGCCCAAGAGGCTGTATCGGAAAAGGATTGGCGTACGTGGAGCTCATGACGACTTTGGCGAGGGTTGTATATCTGTATGACCTGAGGTTGGCGGAGGGAATTAGTGTCGGCGAGGGAAATCCGATGTTAGAGTGGGGAAGACACCGAAAGGGTGAGTATCAATTGATGGACTCTTTTACGAGCATGAAGGATGGCCCGTATGTTCAGTTTCGGGAGAACGGATATTAGGGAAGGAATTCATCTGGGCTGTCTCTTGGCAGAGGTTGGCGCTGGAACGATATCAATTCTTGAAGAGTGCGTAGCTGAATGCAACCACAAATATCCGACTACAAAGCTACAGTTTCGACTTCCAAGTAGGCTCCCACCGTCCACCGAAGTACAATGTCACCGTCCGATCCTTATAGTCATGCCACAGATGAACCTTGTTCACATTACAAAAGTCCATACCAAGAATATTAACACCGGCAAAGCGTGAGTTCTTCGGCGACATATAAACCGAGTGGGAATATCCAGCGAGCTTAACGGGGGTGGGTTGGTTTTCCATGATACCGAGAAGTTCACATGTCTAGAGTCAAGTTAGCGACTAGCCATTCTTTCTAAAGATAGGAGCACTCTCACCTGAACCGAGAGGTATGTCAACGGGGCACCAGTGACCACAATGAAAAAAACCCAATGAGCTTTATCGCCATGAGTAACAACACATGGAAACATCGTACGGATATTCCGACCGAAGATATAACCACGCCCGGCTCGAACCACAGTATTAGCATCAGCCTCAGTCGCCTTCTCAAGGTATCGTATGCCCATGACATCCGCAACTTCAGTTCGCAATATCTCGTCGTCAATATCCGGGATCAAGACATCGAAATCTTTCGGGTCCGGGCCACCAATATCATGAATATCAATAAAATCACCGCGGTCTCTAGCCTCTTCCCCACGTTTTCGCGCAAAAAAGGCTAGTGGATTGGGATATTGCGAGGAGAAGCGTCGTTTAATAGTATCGTAACTCGGAGGTCCAGAGTACGGAACTTGCGTGGCGTGCGAGGAGGAGAGACGAAGAGGATAGTGGAGAGGGCTGCGAAGAGGACTATGAAGAGCCTTGAATGGCTGTCGGTTGGGTAGTCTGAACATGGTCAAGACTCAAGCCTCGAATGTCTATCGGTTGGGTAGTCTGAACATGGTGGAGCTGTCAAACGGGAGGAAAGGACTCGATTGAAGAGTGAAGGTAAGGGTCTAGAGAGACAATATATACAGAAGTAGCAACCCCCTTAAGCGAGGGTATTATGTGACCTGATTTTTATGTGACAGAAGCCTTGAATGTTGGGTAGTCTGAACATGGTGAAGCAGAGAGCGACGAACGAAAGGATGGAGATGATGATTTGGAGGTGTTATCGATAAGGTAGGTCATGACTTAAGGTAGCTCGCTACTAACGCCGCGTATCCTAATAGGGAAAGAAAGAATGGATGAAGAGGCTTGTCGCGGCATCCCAATATAGTTAGCTTACCTCGCTTCGCGAAGCTGAAGGATTACCTTAACATGACCACATTTTCTGGTGACCTACGCGAGCTGCCTTACGCACCAGTTCGTGAGCCCAACTCCTGCCAACCTCTATACCAGTACCTACAGAAGACCTCAGTCAGAGCAAGCCCAGGACTTGTAGTTCTATGCCAGGTAAATTGGATCCGTCCCACGAAGCACACGAATCGACGCCATCGATTGCTCGCCTCGCAGGCTTGCACATTCCGGGAACCATTTTGGGACATCTATTTCAGAATCCGAGGATCTCGATACGTCCTTCAATCAAGCCTCACTGTCACTAACACACCCAGCACGACTTCATTCTCTGTAGGCTGCGCAGAAACCATGGGTCCCTACGAAATGGATCGGGGAGAATTTGACCCGTGGCTCCCCCAAACAAATCCATGACCCAAGCCATACCTTGGGAGTGCATCGTAAGGCACTAAGGTAAGGCCATTGTACCATAGCTGTGATACATTCGCGATACCTACCTAAGGTAAAGAGCTGATTAGTAGAAGAAATTAGTATAAACTCCATCACGTGTTACATCGCCACGTGATAATTTTGAAGCCTACATCACGTGTTGGGTCCTTGGCAACCCATGGGTTGGGGTCATGTTACCTAGGGCCCAGCCACGTGCTAGAACCCACCCCATGGATTAGATCCCCATGGGTAAGGCCATGTATATAAAAGCCCAACTCATAGGCACCCATTGCGCAGTTGAATTTCGGTTCTTTTATTTCATTACTTTTATCTATTCTAACCTAACAACCTTACCAGACCCGCTCAGTTCCCCCCGCCCAAGTTCTTGCTGCTGCTCCTGCAATGCCTCTGTCCACGATGCCAGCTAGTTATAATCTAAACACAAGTTCGAATGCCTCTGGTTGCTTTGGTCACTTTTACAGACTTGACGGAACCAATTGACTCGGCAGTCTTCCCCGTTCAACCAAAATGTTACCGGCGCCAAGCGGTTTTTCCGACAACCAGTACATTTCGGGGAGTCAGGACAATTGCTAAAGACGGTGTGTTGATATCCAATGTCTCGAAACCTAACAGGCCCAAGAGTTAGGAAGGAAGTGTAAATCGTGAACGGAACGCCAAGAGACTTCCTAGGAAAAAAATGAGCAGAAAATTAAGCTTATTCTTACCAATGGATTCTGGAGTTATCCTCGAACAAACCCAAGGCAATGCTATGGACAGGAGCATCGCCCCACCTCTCGTAGAAGAATCCGCCCGCACGATCTAAATGGTCGAAGTAGGCCCCGTATGCCGGACTACGCCAGAACTGTAAATCGCCAATCTCAAAGTTGCTCCAGAAATGACAGGTGCTGTAACCATTGGCTATCATGTGCTTGTCAGGTCTTAACGAGCTGTCTGTCAGCCAATCGAGCGAATTGCTTGGATTGAGGTACTCCGGATGCTTTGACGTGAAGTTCATCGTCTCAGGCCAGAGCGACGGTAACGTATTGGGATCATCGTAGATGTTTATAGTAAAGCCGTAAGTTATATTATTGTCCCCTATGTAACGAAAGACGTCATAGTCTATGTCACAAAAGAACCTATATATTGACGGTATTAGTCCAGAGCTTGAAGTGGTAAAGGAAGAGGAGAGGATTCAGACTTGACATTGGGCTCAACACGCCAGTAGTACCGAATGTCGTTGAGTGCAGGATGGCGATAGAAAAACCCCGAAAACCACCGACACATTTGGTGGTAGCTTAATTCAGAAGCGTATTTCACTCCTTTTAGTTCCATGTTCCGTATAGAGTTGTTCAGCTTTGTGGGATCGATCCAGTCTGGTATCTCCCAGTGTTCGGTAGGAATCAGCTCTACGGAAGGAGCAGCCATGATTAGTGTGATCTGGTGCAGCTTTTCGAACTAATTTTCCAGGCAAAAAGCCACTTCTCTCAGTTGTAGTCCATGTGAGATTGTACGTACCGTATCTACATTCTGCTTTTGTCTCTGCCTGGGTTCTCTTCTTGAATTCCTCGGTAAAAGGCACGTTGTTGAAGAATATCCAAGGATAGTTATATTTGGAGTTCCAAACGGCTTCAAGTTGTCGCATGGATGAGACGATACCCTGTAGATCTTCATTGCGCACCAAGGAGATGAGTGCTGCTCGCATGGGAGTCGATCCTGGCGCGGCATCGCTCTTGGTATCATGGGGCCAGGTCGGCGCAGGGCTCGCTACAGTTGAACTTAGCTATCAATCAAGAACGAGCCGCCTATTTGCGCAGTAACTCCGAGATAGACCGAGCACGGCACTTTCTTATAGAAGAAATACATACAGATTTGTAACGCAGCAACAGCTTGATCGCCAGAGGACATCAAGGAAGGTCTATAAAGCCAAAGTAGTGCTATGAAGATACTAGTGAATGCGGAAATCCTTAGAATCTGACGCACGTTATACATATTGGCAAAAATAGACAGGCCATTAAGTGACAGTACTATATCATTCAACTTTGCCGGGAGACTGCTGAAGACAATAGAAGAAGGGAGAAAAAAGATACGGAGGCAAGCCATGTAAGAAGAAAAAGAAAGCAGATCCTGTTGCTGATGTTGAGAGTGGTGGTCTTCAGAAGATGATGCTAAGCGAGTTTGTTGCTGGGTTTATGTAGATTTGCGCGACATCCAATAAGGCCGCCAAGAATGGTCACTGCGGACGCCACAATGTCACCAATGATGACCCATTGGGCAATTTATATGAAATCTTGGAATAATGCTAACCTGCTGCGGTGCTGGCCCTCCGAACCCTCCGAGCCCTCCAAACCCTCCAGAACCTGTTGGTTAATTAAATCCACCGATCCAATTCAGAGCGTCGGGCGCCAAATCAAATGCGGGGACCCCGGCAAAGGGCCGCAATTCAGCAACTTTAGGTAGGTCAGAATGGAAACCTTATTTTAACGGCAAGCTACAAACTTGCCATGTACACCGTCGCCCAGCTGTCCTGCACCATGACTTGAGAAGCCAACCTAGATTCCTACATTCGGGCCGCTAACTTCTCAATTATGGACGAAACCTTGTCAATACTGTTCTTCAACCTTGGTGTCGGTCATGGTTATCATCTCCAGATGCTGCAACATCTCTATCCTGTCGAAGGCCATGAAAACATGTTTTTCGATCATAAATTCGAAGGTCGCCTGAATTCCCCGAACGGACTGGGGATAGCTGAGATGCAACCATATGATCCTATGCTTTCAGGCTTCAGCATTGGACCCTTTCCTCATGACACCTGCAATGCCAAGTGATGAAGATTTCAATGGTAAAGGTTTTACTGAGATTGTTCCGGAATTGTTTTGCCACAGTACTGGTGCATGATTAGAGAGTTGGGGTTTTGGCTTTTCTCAAAGTGCCTCTCGGCCTTGATCCATTGTAGAAGCCCTTTGATCGATGATGGCTATCATAACTTATAAGGCAATGTAGCGTGTATCAGAACCGCAACAAGATGAGCGAGAAGAATAATAAGGATTTCGACGCTGAGAAATTCAACCTTCAAAAAGTATCAGCCTTTACAACACCTATATGGTTGATCTATGATAGACATGTATGTTAGTGCTTACGAGTAGACCCTAACCAAACTGCCCAAGGAGAGAGTTGCGACTGAGAACTCATTATCGATTGAAGCCGAATGGCCAAGAGTCAGTCATATTGCAAAGCGATATTTTCCATGCTGGGAAATGCAACCAAAGAGCAACGAGCCTCATGCCTTTAGACCTTGGAGGGCAGCGAAGGTCATGATTTTTGAAGGCAAACCCGGATTAACCTCACTAAATAGGGGGAAGCGATTGGCTCGGCCATCTACCTAGTTCACGGACCTGATTATTCTGTCCTCCAATCACAGTTATGCGCCTATTAATCGTCGGTCTTGCTTAGGGGTTTTAAGTTGTCGCATTTACTCCAAGTCCACGGAAGCATGGCGGTTGGGCTGACCCTAATTCCCAGTTTCATAGTTCAATGCCATACTTACCTACTTTTTTTTGCACTAGGCCAACTGATACTTTAATATAATAAAAAAATTAGATTTTTCTAGTCTAGGTATCTGCTTCCTTTAACTAAGGGTTGAGCCGCTTGACAAAGCCTTCTTGATCGATGCGCCAAGTTCCGGATCTACTCTTTCGAACATTTCTAGTACTTGTTAACATCACCACACTATAAAGACTTGGGTGTATAAGAGGCAAAATCAACTTACTGATGGTCCCCGCCTGCACTTCAGGCAATGCACTCTTGAGATGCACGGAAACGTTGTGCACAAAGTCTTTTTGCTGGTTAGTCTTGCCCATGATTTTCCACAACTCCCTCGATTGGATGAAGTCCTCATCGGTAACCTCGGAGGAATAAGAGGACACCCGTCCCACCCATTCTTCATGTCCGCCTGGCGAATAACCGTTCGCTCCAACTCGTCCCTTGAAATGTATTGGCCTGAGCTTAGAACCGACGTAGTTTGGATCGCCACCAAAGTTGTTGTCGTGTCTAACTCCGTCGCGTAGGTACGGCGTGTAGACTTGGCTAACAGGGGCATTGCACGGGAGCTGTTGATAATTCACCCCCAAGCGGTAGCGGGCGGCATCTGGGTATGCAAACATTCGTGCTTGTAACACTGTAAAGTTGATTAGCAACTCGACTACTTTAACATAAGGGTTGAAGGATACGCACTGGGATCTGCGGTTGGGGCAATGCCGGGAACCATAGTAGATGGAGAGAATGCAGCCTGTTCTATATCTGCGAAATAGTTGGTTGGCTGTTATCTGTTAGTGAGCGACCAAACATCTAGATATCATAAGTAATCACGAGCTACTAAGGGTTGACGAACATTTCGGTTTAGAGTCAACTTTCCCACTGGCTGAAGTGGGAAATCGGAATGAGGCCAAATATGAGTTATATCGAAAATATTCCAGCGATAATTCTCCGCTTGCTCTGGTGTCATGACCTGGAGATACATGGTCCAGGTCGGGTAGTTCCCGGACGCAATGGCATTGTACAGATCGGCAGTGTGGTAGTCTGAGTTTTGTCCGGCGAGGCGCTCTGCTTCCTGTTGGGTAAGATTCTTGATGCCTTGATCTGATTTCAAATGGATTTTGACGTAAACAAAGCCATCCTAGTAATTGTAAGTTTTAGAGCAATTAGAGATCATAGAAGCAGATATCAACGCACGTCAGTTGTAAGCTTGTAAGTGTGGCCACTGAATGCGTGGATGTTTCGAATGGATGCAGGAGTTCCACGGTTACTGAATAGCATCATAAGGGCATGAATGCCCTCTTGGTTGTTGTTATGGAAACTGTACCGCTGTTAGCCTATCTACAGCAGTCGAGAACAATATTAGAGGAAGCTAACTCCCAAAACTATAGTCGAGCAGGTCAGCAATTTGGATCGACTTCATCTCGAGGTGTAGGTTTGATACTTACCATGGTAGAATCAGAAAGGTTTGACGCGGGATGGCGCTTATGAGACCGATTCATGGAAGGAAACTTGATCGGATCTCTGACGAAGAACACAGGCTGTTAATTTCATCAGCGACACTTTCACTTCAAAAACCGATGGCCGTTGCATACAATACTGTTGAACACAAAATCCTGGTTGCCTTCCTCAGTGAAGATCTTCATTGCCCACCCTCGAACATCCCTCACAGTCTCTGCATGTCCTCTCTCTGGACCTACAGTCGAGACTCTCACAAGTACCTTGCTCTTTTTCCCAATACCGTTGAGGAACTTGGCAGATGTGAGGTGCGAGATATCGTGAGTGACTTCAAATTCCCCCCATGCACCTGCGGCAGACGCGTGGACTGTACGCTCGGGAATGCGCTCCCTGCTGAAATGGGCCAAAGTTTCGATGAGTTGAGTATCCTGAAGAAGGATCAACCCCTTGACCGGACTGTTGCCGACACGCACAGCGGTTGTAGGATCGGCTACCGGGCAACCTGCAACCTCGTTAGCACTGGCATGAATTCTGACAACATAACGATTGCGGAATGGTAACGACTGACCCTCAGCGAGAGTGTAGGTAGGCACATCATCTTTCTGGTGCTGGGTAGACATCTTGGATTCAAAGATTGGTATTGATCTGAGTTGGGCGGATTCTTGGAAAGAACTGGGAGATCTCTACTCAACGATCGTGGAGACATTTTATACTGAATCGAGCGTGAGCACCTGGTCTGGCCGTACTTTGATGTCATTATTTTGATGTCATTGTCCTGAAAGCAGGAAAGCAGGAAAGCAGGGAAGTAGAGAGATAGTCGTGAGTCGTGATCTTAGCACAACCCATCTAGACCATCGCCTAGACTCTCACCTACACTGACTCTCACCGGCCAAGTGGGTTTTGCTAAGGCCATGATTACTTAGGTAGCTCTTGGTTGGCCAGGCAAATAGACAAGTCGGAAATATCTACACCGTAATTGTCGGCTGTCGGAAACGACGTGGAGGGCCAGCGATAAGCGAAATCCGACGATTGACTCGAGCGTTTCCCAATAGCTGCTGGACTTAGCTCGGGGGGTGTCAAATAAGTTAGGTCAGCGGAAATAGTTCGGGATTTGCAACAATAGTTCTTGCCTTAGGTACTGAGGCACATAAGGCCCGCAGTTCGAGTGTCTTGCGCATCGACGGGCCGTGATGTTACGTAGAGGATATAGTACGACGACCTTATATACCTAGGTAGATGTTCTATCTTTCCTTACTGTAATCTAACTACTACTTTAACTATTAAAATTACTCTACTATCTGTGATCATTATGTCTCTTGTACTTAGAAGCACTAAAACTACAATTAATTAAGAGCGCATCTAACAAGCTAAGTAGTTCTTTATAAAAGATTGTTATAGCCGTGTAGATATTTTTATTAATTAAAAGAACTTAGTTATTATACAAGGTTAAGAAAACCCTTATGCAGGCTATACAAACTGATATTAGCGCAGGCTGTCACAGGCCAATACAATAATACTTAAGTTATATCATGAGGAGAATACTCTAACAAAGGATAAGAGTTAGCAACAGCGTGTTGAGCTAATACTGTATGCACACCATGCACAAGCTCAAATTATCCAGTTAGGTCGATTCCGGCGTCTGATGGAGCCTCTGATTCCCAACCCTGTTCATTGCGGAGCATGGCGAATTGCGGCGGCGGCGCATGCTGACGCTGTGGCTGTGTAAGCATGCTGTTGATCCTTTGGCACGAAATGCATCATAAACGTAGCGGAGGGAGCAGAGGCCAACTTCAATGTGCGCGGGTTAGGCCGTGCACATAGGATACTGCAGGTAGTCACTAGCAATCAATCTGATGCTTAGAACGTGGTGTATTGGCATTGGCATTTCTGGGCCGCGTCACGCCTTCCACACTGCCTTGAATCCATCCCTTCGCTGCGCTCCTAAGACGCCTCGAAAATGAAAACACTGTACCTCTACATGCCAATTGGGTCTCCACGCTTCTCTGGGATCCACGGGTGCTTGGCGCGCAGCTCGGCCAGGTCCTGCGGCACTGTCACGGTGTCTGTCTTATAGTTGACCCAATACAGCATGCGCCCATCCTCGGTGTGATCGAGTACAGAGGGGTTCTCGCGTGCGCGGTACTCGTCGATCTTGAGCGGGTTGAGCCAGCTGGTCGTCTTGGTCTCGTGGTTGATGTAGTATGAGCGACCGCGCACGTCGACGCAGCGCTCGATGTGCTTGGGCAACTGCGGGTCCTGTGCTGGAGGCGTAGCCGCCGGGTGATACCAGGAGACCGAGTTGTCGTCCTTGTTGCGGTAGAACGGGCGGCCCGAGGGGTCCAGCTCGCGGGTGTAGTTGGCTGGGAGGGGCTCGGTGGATGTGAAGGAGAAGTCGGTGATGCGGGGGGGCTCCTCGGTGCCTGATGGAGGTTGAGGGACGGTGGTATTGGTGTCGGTGGCCATGGTGATGTTGATGTTGTTGGTGTTGATGGTGGTGTTGATGGTGGTGTTGATGGTGGTGTTGATGGTGGTGTTGATGGTGGTGTTGATGGTGGTGTTGATGGTGGTGTTGACGGTGATGCCGAGGTAATGAGGCGGGGGAGGGTAATAGAAGGGTCAAGCCCAATTTGAGATCAGGAGGATCAACTCATTATAAAGCCGCACAGCTGGAGAAGTGTTGCCTAGAGCTGTGAAACAGGATCCCGGGAGAAATGTTGTACGTACAAATCCAGGGACAAGCCTCGAGTAAGGCTGTGCCAGCGCTACTTAGCGCCCGTTTCGGATTGAGGCTCCCACAGCCTTAAATCCTCAGCCTCAATTTGGTACGTTCGGCTCCCTCAGGAACGACAACGCCACGGGGAAAGCTCGAACAATCCAAATATACAGTTTTCAAGCACTGAAAATAGAGTAGGACGTGGAGATGATGGCCATCCTTCAACTCCCAGCTCTTCAAAGTCTCCGGTTTTACGTATGGCTCTGGGTATATATCTGAGCAGTGTATCGCCCAACAGCGGCATCAAACAATTCTCTGAACATCTCAAACATCTTCAAAACTCTCCAAACCTCTTTAGCCATCTTCACCATGCAACTCTACCAAGTCATTGTCGGAGCCGCCCTCCTGGTGCCCGCCCTCGCTGCCGGCACTCCGCCCCCTACATCCAAGCACTGGGGCCTCGAATGCGGTCCCCAGGTCAGACTATCAACCTGCAAAGACCCGCGACACTTCACACGCTGCAACGGTGCCAACCCCGTGTGGACAGCCAATGCCTCGCCAGAATGCGAGCTCTACTGTCACTGCTCTGGTGAGTATTCTATTCCCTATGCGTGCTCCATCCCCGTATTCCCAAGCTGACGCACCATATCACAGAGGACGCCGGCACACCTCCGCCCGCTTATGGAAAAGAGCACCCCCCGCAGATCCCCCCGATCCGCCCCGTTAGCCCTCTGAACTTGAACGGCAAGAAGGGCGGAAAGGTGAAGAGGGAAGAGCTTTTCGTTGCGTAGGCATACAAAGCGATAAGCAGGAAGCGAACTGAGTGGCGTTTTGGAGTTCCGGATAGCTGTAAGATTACGTGCTATGTATTGCAGACTAGCTTAGGCTAGGAAAATTCAAAAGTTTTGCTCCTCTTTCAGGTGACTTCTCTAATTGCCAATGATGAATTCGGTGGTGTGGCGCAACTCCGCCAGGTAGCGAGTAGTCGCCCCCGAACAGAGCAGTCCCGTAGAATTTTCGCACTCTATATTGACTCTTCGACGTAGATGATCAGTCTGGACAGAGCCACTGCTCGCCACCTATACGGAGACGTTGGTGAGCCCGGCCGACTAAGCAGAGACTCGTACAAAGACGAAAACCACGTGAACAGTTTGATTGGTGATCCGTCAACCATCCGTTACACATCGTGGGGAAAACCTCCGATGCCAATGATATCACCTCTATCGGTGGGTGCCTTCCTACGATCAACTGCCCTCATGAGGACGTGGTGTCGGCTGTTTTGACCATGCAGGATGATACAGCATACAGTACAGTGGCCGTATAAGATGTGAAGGTTTTAATTAATTAGCTACGACGGATTGCTGACCAACGGCGCGGTGGCAAGTGGGATACTGGCCAGCGGGCCAATGCATTTTTGTTGCGACAATAGCGGGCCTCAGCGATCCCCAAGACCAGGCCTGGTAATGAATGCTCTGGTACTATTCTAGCAGAGCGTACGTCCTGGTTGTATAGGTAGCCAACTAGATACATAAAAGGAGTGTTATATATAGCGCAATAGAGGGAAGGCATAGATATATGCTTCAGTCCCGTCTGTCTTGCATGCCCATCCGTAGGACCGTATCCAGCTATACAAACTCATTCCCCGGCCCTCAAGAGCTTCGTCAATAACCGTCGATGCCCCCGAATTATCTCACCTCCATACTCCCCCGCCAGAGATTCTCTACAACGCCGTCGAACTTCTCCCGCTCTTAGCGATGAAACCTCTATTTTGCGCCAGCAAACGGCTGAGGGAAGCGTGTCTGCCGACTCTCTTTCGTCGGGTGAAGTTTGTGTTCTCTGAGGCAGGGCTTAGGGAGCTCAAAGGCATCCTGAAATCAGATGTTCTCTGTCATGTCGTCTCCTGTCGTCTCCTTTACTAGTGTCAAACGACAAGATCTTAGGTTGTCAGAGTCTCTACAAGAGGTAACTAGGTTCTGTTCGTATCTTACGCCTGACGGTATTTTACTAGGAATGAGTTGACCCAAACACGCGGAGCATGACGGATCTAACCTGTAGGATCTCGTATATCCGCTGATAATGAATCGGTCCCGCGCACACGAGGACACAGTCGATATACGGAGATATACAGATGGGGAGCCAGAAGCCAAGAGACTGAGGGGAGATGTCATCTCGAAGAGGCCACTGCCGAGCGAGGACACCGTCCATATACGGGCTCAGACAGAGACGGAGCTAGAGCAGAAGCGACCAAGGAGAGAGGGTGAGGGTATGGAAAGGGCGCAAAGAGGAGCCAGTGGGGATTTTGGAGAAGTGGAAACAGCGAAAGGAAACCCAGTTAATATCGGGGAAGCCTGGGCAGAGACGGAGGGGGATGTTGCACAACGTCGAATTAGATTTAGCAGGGGAGCTATAGCATCCCAAAAATTGTCGTAGTGGGTTCGCATAGCCGTAAGCACATTCCTCGCATCTCCTTGTCCTTATAGTGTGCCTGGTATTACCAGTCTCCATTCCCAACTCCTTGGTCAACGGCTGAGGTTCCTCCCCGGAGGTGGGGGTCTCTGAGAGGATGAAGTGCTAGGTGAGCACCGATCGCGAATCATCTCCTGGTCTGCATTCCAAGGGCCATTCTCGGTCTCGGATTCTTGTGCAATATTTTGGGAGGTTGTAGGGGTAGAAACAGCCTCGTTGCGAGGTGCTGATGCCAGGAGCGTCAGGCGGCTGCTTTTTTGAATGGCTTTCACGAGCACATCAGGAGCAGCTAGGTTGTCTTCATAGTATTGAATTAAACTCCTGTCCTGGAAGCAGCAGACCAAGGAATTATGCCACTGGCATGAGCATTAGAGAAGCCTGAAGGAGGGGTGATTAGGCAGAAGGGGCAGTGCACACCTTCTTTCGATCTATGGCGCTCGGGAAAGTGCTGGATGATGCTCCGTCGTATACTCCGGCTGTCGAAATCGAAGGGGTTTTGTTCAACGTGGGTGTTTGTGTTCGAGGCAGGTCAGTGCGTTTGGGGAAGGTATATGATTAATCGACCGGCAATAGACAACAGATGTATTTATTTTAGACATTTATAAACCATTTATGCTCTAATGCCTCCTGTGCCGTGATCCTCTGCTCCGGATTAAAGTTCGCCATTTTCACAATAAGGTCTCTAAAATCCTCATCGATGATTTCGTCCTGCCATAGAGAGAATGGTTCCCGAGGGTGTTCGGCGTTGAAACTAGTCCTTACTGCGTAGAATATCTCGATCCAAGGATTTTCTGGGTTCCCATTATGGAGGTACTGGAGGAACCCATTGAATGCTTCTAGATCCCCAAAGTAAGACAGCTGGCGTCCAAGAACAATGGCTACGAGTTCCTCGTCTTCGCCAAGGTTCTTAGGGTTAGGGTTAGGGTTAGGGTTAGGGTTAGGGTTAGGGTTAGGGTTAGGGTTAGGGTTAGGGTTAGGGTTAGGGTTAGGGTTAGGGTTAGGGTTAGGGTTAGGGTTAGGGTTAGGG